TTCTCGGAGGATACGTCTAGGGGACACTTCCCCAGAAATTGTTCGCCCGAAAGGGTTTCTATTTTGAGGGTTTACCGGTTTCACCCAGGCTGTGAGGCCACGTAGCTCATGTCCCTAAAGAACAAACGACACAACCAACTGGGGTTGTCTCAAAATAGGGGGAACCCCAAACTTCCAGGGGTAACTTCCCCATTCTTTCCAGGCATCCGAATCTTTCCAGAAAACCATCGGAACTCCAGGGGAAACAGCGATCGGTTCTTGAAAAGAACGATGGTTGAACAAAATGGGGAATCAACCTCTAGAATATTCCCCCTGCAGATGAACGTGGAAGCCCAAAATTGCAGCATTTGTCGAGGAGTCTTCGTTTGAGGGGACGCCGTTTTTGGGTTCCATGCCGATTTGCAGGGGAGTACCTTGTTTTAGGGACACCCACAGCAAAGCAGCCACTTCAGGGGTTTTCGTACTTCGTGCTTGCAACTTATAAGTGCCCAAACGTGTTGCGGCAGGAGCAACCATGCTTTTGTAATGTTCAAATCACGGGAGAGGGAAGAGCCGAACATCGGTCTTATTTGTGGTGGTCTTGAAGGAAAGAGAGCTCTTGCATTAGAACTGAGCTCACTGGCTTTGCAGGGCTTTGTTGTCCGCACTGGCAGGGCTCAGCCTAGAGGCGAAGAAAGCAAATGGGAATGTTGTCTTCGAGACTACAGTTTTTCGGGGCTGTTTCAAAGGGAAGCCAAAGGGAAATCACACAGTTTCGGGGGTTCCCTCAAAAAGACAAACCTAAATCCAAAATATATTTATCTTTCGCGCAAAAATTCCTTTGGCCCAGATACGAGCCTGGGCCAAACCAATCACGTTACATTTTGACAGCCACAACTTTCGTCAGGAGTGCGCCGCTACCGGGCATGATGCAACTTGGCGACAGGAGGTTCGTTGCAGATTTCCAGTAGTCACAGGTGGTCTGTACTCCATTTGGCCATGGTTCAAAGCCAATGGTACCATTTTGGGATAGGTGCACCACCCACTTTGCCCACTTCAGTCTGTTTTAGTGGGGATTGGGATGTTCACTGGGGGTACGGGGTTTTGACCCATGGCCATTTCAAAGGGACGGGGGGAACTCACTGAATTTCCAGAAGCAACGAGGCCGCTGTCTATATTTTCGATGTACGCTTGGGGGAACCTTGGGGTTCCAACGCATCCCATCTTTTTCGGTTGGAAGACTAGCAGAACGGTGCCGCTTTGATTCGTGGCTTTGAGGGAGTGTGCGCAATCAATCGGTCCCTTCTTGCTTTCCCAGAAACAACTAGCAAGCAGACCATGTTGAGAAGTTCAAGTGCCAAAGGGAGAATTCGTGCAGCTTCATGAATCTCCTCCCAAGGTTGGCGGACATACATTTTCTTAGTGATGTCCATTAAAGGGTTCCCAATCAAAACTGAAGGCCATGTGATTTTGTCTTGGGTTTTGGAGGCAAGCAGCGTTCACCGAACGCGGCTCAAGTTTCAAATCAAGTGCTGAGTGTTGTGATCTCACCCTTCAGCATCCTTGAAGTTCATGGCGGGATGCAGTGACTGCAAGAAGATCAATGCCAAAAACAAATCATTGTCACTCACTATTCGGGCCGGTTTCGTGAACTGTCATATCATGGACGAGGATGTCGGCGGCATCACCATCAAGAAGTCTTTCTTAAATAACCTGTACTACAAGCACTTTGACATGAACCTTCCCCGTGCCTGTCATTCACTTTCCAACCAGGACTTTTCCAGGATCCGGGCTGCACTTGCAGAAGATCGTAGCGCTAATTTTTGGCGGAGGACTTGATGCCGACGCCAATCTGGAACGTCTCATGTGGCGTACACTCGGCTTTCCTCTTCAAATTCGGCGGCACTACGACTGCGACGTGTACTCAGTCTCACGATTGTGACGACTATAGTGAGGACGATAGTTATGATGACAGTGGCGATGACGATTGCCACGACAACCATGCCAGTGCGGATCTGAATTCTTATGGATTTGTGGGGGGTTCGAAGTCTGCAGAACCCAAGCTTCCTACATTTTCGGCGGGTTTGAACTCGCTGGAATCTCGCTCGAGTCAAAGCTAGGACATTGGTCGAGTCAGGTTCTCGAGCCTCCTGGATCTAGAGGCACTGGAAGATGGCGAAGGCCTCGACATGTGGCTGGCGGTCAGTTGCGATGACCTCTTTGAAGGAGATGATGGTGGATTGATATACTTTGATTCGGACCGCAATGGACACCATTTCAGTTTGATCCTCATAAGCACAGGCTAGAGATTGAACATTGGGACTGTGAAGGCATGGCATTTGACAGAAGGCAGTTTTTGGAGGACCCTCTTGGAAATTGCGATGACATGTGGTCAGAGGAAGATGAGTCGCCAATTGGCTCAAATGTAGAAATGCGAGATTGGGCAACCTGGAGTGATTGGCAAGACTGGTCAGATAGGAATGGCTGGCAAGGACGGCAAGATAGGAGTGGCTGGGATTCCTCACATAGAAACAGTTGGCAAGATGAATCGAGATCAAGACAGTGGACGCGTCGCCCATACTATCAATGACATTTGCAGGAGGTTGGAAACGTGCAATGGCAGAGCTTGCTTGGCTGGTGGTGTGCCAGTTTGTTTAGCGTTAGGCTGGCCTGCCATATCTCGCGGATTGGCTTGGCACACCTTGGCGTGCCGGATTTTCGGGAATCTGGAAACAACAGTGCACCAAATACATACGTACAGTTAGATGCAGATGCTGCATAATATTAAGATCATTTGAAGCTGAAAATTGAATTTCCGCTCAGCACGAGTATTCCTGCTGGGCGGGGTCAGTGGTGAAAAGACACTAAGGCATTGGATGATGTAGCTTACAACCGACCGCTGGAAGTTGCACTGGCCACTTCAGCTTTCTCTGTACAGTCAACAGTTTCCAAGTTCAGCATCCACAGGACCACAGCATCAACAGAAAGAGAAAAAAACATGAGTTTTGCTCAACACTGGGAGGTACCTCATGAGCAAGGAAACAATGCTGAAGCAATGTGGCAGTTATTTGCTTGAAGAATGGGCTGGTGATGCATGAAACTGTACAGGAATTCAGGATTCGAAAACCCCTCCCAGGCGTTCTCTTGCGTCTTCGTGTGGCTCGTGTTCCACCAGTTGTCAGGTATCCCTTAGTAGGAGTTTTGGATTGGTTGGGGGATTTGAAGCCCATGGTCGAACCACGCGGGACACCACCCAGCCACCAATCCAAACCAAACAAGCTGAGTGTTACCCTCCCCCAGGCTAACACGGAAGCTCCAGGACCCCTTTGGAAGACTTGGTTCCATTTACAGGGGCCTTCCGGAAGCTTCCATGTTAGTCTGACGGAGTGTTACACCTGTTGCGGGCCTTTGTGGTCCTTAAAGAAAAGAAAGAACACAACACGTCGCGCTTCCAAGGACCATGCCACCTCCTGGCACCATGGTGTGCCTTGGAGGGATCAGGTTCGAGGAATTCGGCTCCCATCGCATGTTGCGTGGTCACAAGGGCCGAGGATGGACAAATCGAGCACATGGGGACACAGATCTACATCGGTCGCCCAAAGTGGGAGTCTCATGCTCCGAAAGGGAGCCACAAATGGCTGTGATTTGTTGGATTGGGGAAGAACCTCAGTGGTTGGTGGACATGAATTCCCACCTAAATGATGTCCACCAAAGTAACGGTCCCGGGATGAACGATGGGCTGGAAAGGTCCGTTGTTGCTGAGGTCCGTCGCCATCGACGGATTGCCATTCCGGTATCAGTTGACGGAGGCGAGGCTTGGAAAATGCAGCGAATCTGGAAGCCAAAGGGGAAGCTGTGCAAGTGAAGTTGCAAATGGTCCACACCAGGACCCCCCCGAACGTCAGGTTCCGTGTTAATTGGTGGGAGGGTACCAGAATTTCCGCCTTTTTTCCATTGCCATTTCGCCCTCTCGGGTTCAACCTGGTTGATCCTCGATGGTTGTCAAGGTGAGAAACCAAGCAGCTTCCCGTTAGGAGAAAGCAACCAGATGCACGTAGTCAACAACGCCAGACGAGCAATTCTCAAAATGCTGGACTCCCTTTTGGTTGGCATTAAAAGGGAAAAGAAGGCCCGACCATGTGAGGGAATGGACCGATTCCTGTTCTATTTTGAGAACACCCCAGAGCAGAGGGCTTCCAGTGAATGCACTATGGGATCTCAAACATCATTCGTGTCCGCTCGTGATTGGGCAGCTCACTGCGCAAAGCATGTATGCATTCATGTCTATATCATGCGTGCAATGATGGTTTCTTCAATCTATTCACACACGCAAGCACATCCGCGCACACACACACACACACAATACATAAACAATTTGACTGTGACTGCCCAGCTAGGCCGACCTCAAGGAGACCTTCGAGAGATGGGGTCGGGTGCAACTGGTGCAGGCGGGCTCCCCGCGAGCGGCGAGCGGGAGTGGTGCGTGACGTGCGGGGTGCATTTTTTGGCTTTGGTGTTCATCCGGAACATCCTGAAAATGAGTTGGTGAACATGAATCCCCATGTAACTGATGTCAAACAAAGGGTTCCTCTACTGGACGTGTTTATCCATTTGAGTTGCGGGAGATTTTGTTTCGGTGTGCGTGCTATTCTTTTACCCAGGCTCAGCTGCACTCGGTGCCCGGCGCAATCAGCCAAACAAAAGAGGTGCGAATGGGTGTGTCTTGTTTTAGCAATCGGACCCCCCAAAGTGGCTTCGGTTTTCCTTTGGGTTTCCTTTTGGAACTTGATAAAAAGGGGTACCCTCAAGAAAAGACACCCACAGCCAAATGTTCAGGTCTTCAAGCACTCAAAGCTAAACTAAGACCACCCACGACCCGCAGCCACCAGAATAAGCAAGCTGCTGACTCGGACCCAGCCAACACCGGCGTCAATCAACGCCACGCAAGACGCGCGCACCGAAACACCCACCGGCCAGAAACCCAGCTAAAACCAACTCCAACCGCTCAAAGCAAAACACTAATCCATGCGATGTGCCCAGCCAAAACCCAGCTGAAGCCAACTCCAACCGCTCAAACCCCCGTCAAAAACCCAGCTGAAATCGACTCCGAAGAACGAGGCAAACCCAAACCTCGCCACCATCAAACAGGCCGCCCGCTTTTCGCCCTCCAGGTGTCGCGGGAGGGCAGGGATGTGGGGACCGTGACCTTCGTGGACCAGGCGGGGTCCGAGGTTTTCGGATAAGAAGAACCGGGCCGTGTTTTGTTTTTGTTTTTTTGAGGTGGTCCCCGTTTGCGTCGGGTAGCCCTTGTGATTTAGTGGTAATTGGATTGGATTGGTGGTTTGGGGTTGGTGATTTGGAACTCTTTGATTTGTGATTTGGAGTGGTGGTTGGGGGTTTGAACCCCAGTTCGTTTTGAGGAGCAGTGGGGAAGGTAATCCAGGAAGCAACAAACCAAACCACCCCTAACCCCTTGGTTCGGATTGCTTTGGACCTTTGGATTTGGACACCTCATGGTTCTTGTGGGTAGATGAAGTCACCAATCCAAACCAGCAACTAGGAAGCTGAGAGTGGTTTGGATTTGGATTTGTGGAGCGGAAACGGGGGGGTTCCACTACCAATCCAGACCACCGAATCGGGTGGGGGGTGGGGGGAAGATGGGGGGGAAGATGAAGGGTTGGTTCAAAGGTAGACCAAATGTTACTTTTTGGCTTTACTGTGAAGAAGGACCAAAAGGAATCCCAACATATTGTGGCGTCCCTAAAAGAAGAGATCCATATGGCGGACCACTTATATTTCCACGAAAGGCAAGGGAGAACCCAGTTTTCCCATGCCCTCTTGGAGAAGCAAGTCATTTTATCCGGGTCTCAGATGGATTCACTCTCTTCGCCGTGCGTGCCCAGCTAGCAAAGGCACTCGTCTTGCCGTAGCAAACTTTGACCTGTCCACAAAACCATGCCGAGCCGCGACGGCTCGGCTGCTGATTTCGTGACAGCCTGTCAGTCTGCAAGTATTCAACTCGTCAGCTGGGAGAAGGGAACTCAAATTGATCACGGCCTTAGACTGCGTGGCCTGTCGCCCGCCTTGCCGTTTGCGGCGTGGCTTTTTCCAAAAAACGCATTTCATATAGTAAGCCTTGCTTGCGATACCAATATCTAGGCCTCTACAAACGACCTTTTCGCCCAGTGCCTGCAAGTCGGGCCTCTGGATTCGCACTCTGAAGCAAGCAGCCAGCTGCACGCGGAAAGCCCAAAGCCTGTGAAAAGGGCGTGCAGGTTGCTGGCAGAAAACGGGGGAATATACGCGCCAGTGGTTTTTCTTTGCACTGGTTTTTCCAGGGATTTTTTTTGGATCACCCCCGGTTTTCCGACGGCCAAGAAACCGTTGGCCGTTTGCCGGCGTTGAGTTTTCTCATGTGGGTACAAAATTAAAACTGCCGGTTTTAGTCCTTGGTTCCATTTACTAGGGTTCCAAAAATGGATACCCATTTCTGACCCACAGCCATGTGGGCCGGACTTCAACTTTCAGTTTCCCTTCGTCGCCGGGTTTTTTCGGGGCCTCGGCCCCGGGCCGGTTTTTTCGTCGCAGGTCGACGCGCAGGATGCGCAGAAGCAGCTCACGGGGCAGAGGTGTAGCTTCGACGGCGCCGAGGGCACTCTGGTGGTTGCCATGGGGGGCCCCTTCCAGCTGGATCTGTCCCTTGGCGCATCAGGCTGTGTGTGTTTTTTTTCGAGGAAGCGGACGCCCCCCCCCCCCCCCCCGGTTGCTGGATTTTGAAGGGGAAAATTGAAATTCACGCATTTTTCGAGGGGTTTTCCAGGTTGAGACGCACGGGGGCGGGTTTGATTTTGCGAGAAAATAACAAGAAGCAACAGAGCATGGGTTCAGTGTGGTGGCAAGCTTAGGGCTTAGGGTGCTTGATGAGGGCCTTGGCCAGCCTTCACCCAGCCTTTCTTAGGCTTGGCACTTTGTGCCTGCCTCGTAAGAAGCATGCGCTAAGAGGTTGCCGGAAAGTTTCACAGCTCGTGGGCACTTGCAATTTGGGTCCTCACGCCGGGATCAACTCGATGGTTTTTTTTCGGCAGCTCGGTGGCCTGTTTATCACTAAACACATGGAAGCCACTTGTCACACCTGAGATTGTTTGTTGCAGATTAATGACTGAAGTCGGCAATTTCGCCAGGTACCTATGCTTCGTGCCATCTTGAATCCCCCAACATCCTAGCAATGTGGTACAGGCCTATGGGGAAATTCGGGCTTCCCATGTTCTGTGCCGGGAATTCTCCCTCCTCGGGAAGGTTCAGAAAGGCGAGCAAACCTCCCCTGCGAGGTCAAGTGAGACGTCAAGAGATTTCAGGCAGAGTCGGAGTCCTTTTTTTTGCCGGGGCCACGCTGGGATTTCGAAGCGCCGGCACCCTCCATTCAACGAAAGATGGGCAAAGCGGCAAATCCTCAGGCCCAGAGCAGCGCCAGGCGGGTGAGACCTCAGGTTTTGGAGGGGTGCCAATGTCCAGGAGTGAAATTGTTTTTGGAGGGGTCTACATACATGGGGGGCAAGGCCAGTGGAGCCGCATGTTTTGACTCTGGCTCACGTGGGAGCGGTATATTCCAAGCTTTTCTTTTGTTGTTCTGCGAACGGATGGACCTCGCTCCCATGAGTGAAAGAAACACCGGGGATCCAAACAAGGTAAGAGGGGAAGGGACAACCCACACGAGCACCACGAAGTTCTGAAGGGCCAAAGCTCAACAGCAACACCCAAGTCCCCGTTTTTGTAGGCCGACTCTGACCTCCCATCTTCCCTTGTAGGCGCCGTCCCGACGCTGGTGGCTCCGCCAGGCTCGGGAGTTGAAGGGGTTGACCTATCGCACTCGCCTGCGTGTTTTTGGAGACGCGGGGTCTCCGCGAACCCTGGGGGGAGGTTCGGGCAAATGGTATCGACCGTGAGGTGTGCGTAGCACGAGCTGTCGCAAGGGATTTTTGGGACTACATCTGGTCCCAGTGGCGATGTCGAACACTGGGCTGACCAACTTTGAGAAGTTGGGAGCAACAATGCCCAACAATGTTCATGGAATGCCAGCGCACGTTGCCTAAGTAGCGAAGGCCAGGTTTCTGCACGCCGAAAAAACACAGAAAAACCCTCGCGACGAAGTCGTTTGCCCAAAGCAAGGGTCAGAATTTCGCCTTCCGCGGAGCGGCGGAGCGCGGGCGGTTTTTTGGTATTCTATTTGGAGGATTGCGGGTTGTTTTGTTTCTGTTTAAGCTTTTTTTTCCACACGGTTGACTTACATTTGGACTTGCATATGCACCACGTTCACAGTAGCAGCACCGTGTCACTGCATGCCGCGCAAGTCATTTCCCTCCTTGTGGTGGGGGCAGTCATTGGACCTTCACACAACCCAGACATTGAATGATCACCTGATCATCGTTGCCCTCGGAGCCTGCCAATACTTTTCTCAATTTGATTTTTTGTCATGTGTAAATGCATAGCATAACATCAACACCCTTATTGCAATTTCTTCAACTGCCACGACCGCTGTTGAGTGCAGACTGGTGAAACCAAATCGTTTCGCTTCCCTTTTTTAAGCACGTTCTCGATCCTGGAGGTTTGGCGAGGTTGTTTCTTCGAAACCGGATTGCGCTGATAGATGATGTTTCCGCAGGCGAAGAGTCCGGAACCTGTTTGAACATCTCCCCCCCCCCCCCTGATCGCTGGCGTCTTGCCGGTCGCAAAGCCTGGCGTCGCCTCGAGGCAACATCCCAAGCGCCCCGAAGAACGGGCTCGACGGCAAGGGGCTGGGAAGCCTAGAGGACCTGAGGCTTCTTGGGTGCGGCTAGGTAACGGAAAGCCCCCCCCACCTCGACCGCCATTTTGGGTTTCATCATCCCACGGCGCAGAAAGAGAATTCAACCCATCTAAGCTCAGCCTCGTGATCTCGTGCACTTGGCGTGTTTCTGGGGCCGAGGTTGGAAGCTGAGCTTAGTTTCTCCTTCACTCCTGGCTTTGATCATGCTAAAATAATCGCCCGTCGGAAGGTTGCTTTTTGTGAGAGAGAGAAAACGAAACCAACGGGGCCACGTGGAGCGCCAAGGAAGCACCATGTTGACCCTCGCTGACCAGCGTGGCCAAATTTCAAACATCAGCGTCCATCCCCTACGGCCATGTTGATATGGGTGTGTCCTTTGTTGAAGGTACCCCTGTTTGGTCGGTTTTAAAAGGGAAATCACTTGTATTGGGGTCCGCAACAAAAACACACACACACACACGCACACACACTCCCATATGTTGTTCTCCCGCCTTATTTGGGATCATGGTAAGGCCTGCAGAAACCTTTATGCCATCTTGGTTGAACCAAGATTTAATGAGTCTTGGGTGCTGCGTGAGCGCTGGTTTTTGGGTGCTCCTCTTGTAGACACGTCTGCACAAGAACTGCGGAGTGTTTCATTCGAGGCCCAATGGCGTCCGGCCCAACTGGTGCTGCAAGATCCTGGTGGAGGCACGGAGTTGTTTTCGCTGACCGGCTGGAGAAGAACTGGTCACTGGGTTTGGGGAGCCATGGTTTACGCGGGGCCCTGCTTCGGATACCATGGCTAGAAATCCACTCCCATCTTCCCACAAAGGTTTCGTGGCTGGCAGAGAAGCTTTGCGAGACACGACCAGACGCATTTGGGCTCGGATGGGATTGGCTGAAACACCGCGCGAGGCTGAATCGCTCCATCCAGAGTTTCCCACTGCGCCGGACTCGGGCTTCGCGAAAAAAAGACCGACCGATTTGTGCTAAAGCCAACATGGGTACATATCAAAATGGGGAAAATACAAATGGAGTAGTTGCTTGTGGTTTCCCTACCAAGGTGGACAGGGCACCTCCCAACATGGTTGTTGTTGGGAAACATTTTACATTTTTGCGTATTGTGGTTTAGTGGGAAATCCCCACCTAACTGCTAGAATTTGAATTTTTGCTCCCTTTCCAACGTCAACCAAGCCAAGAATAACCACATTGTCCCACATTGTCCGACCCAGGGGTGTCCAAGGAGTCTTGTGTGGTGAGGTGCTCAGAATCCGCGGTGAAGCTGATACGAACGTAGACCACATCAGGAGATGGGCCGATGAGCCGCGATTTTTGGACCCGAGGTGTTTCTTTTGACTCGGGATTTGGCTGTGGTTGTCAAAACCGTTTTGGGATCCCATTTTGGGGGTAGGTGCAACACCCATTTTAGTCGGGATTTTAGTGGGGATTGGGATGTTCACTGGGGGTACGGGCTTTTGACCCATGGCCCATGGCCATTTGGAGGGACATCTCAAGGATTTGGAGATGGTTGAATCTTTGAAGGATCGGATTCTGGTTTGGGTGTCCCCCCTGAAGGATCGGATTCTGGTTGGGGTGTCCCTTGATGTTTCCCAGACCCTCTGAAGGCGAATCAGAGTCTGCAAAAGGCTAAAGGGCCAACCCCGAGCGGACCTGGCGCAAGCACAGGCCCAACGAAGGTCATGTCATTGTCCGTAAGTGTCATCGTTTGAAACAAGACATTTGCGCCAACGCAGTGGAAGCCCCCCACCCCGCCCCAAACCAAAATAACGATGTCTTTTTTTCAGTTTCCCCGTAAGCCACCTTACAAAGAGATACCCTCCCCGAAAATCCGCCCACATCTTGCTTCAAGGCTAGTCCCTTGCTCACGTCCTCTCGCTCGTCGCTTCTTATGGCGCGACGTCTCGAGCGCGCCATCTGCAGGACGCAGACCAAGTGCCACGTGCAGCTGCGAGGCAGAGGCTCCGGCACTTTGGAGCCGGAGACCAACCAGGAGAGCGCAGTCAGGGCAGTGAGGAGAGTCGTGTCAGCTGAGCCACGCGCTCAAATCGGATTCGGGTTTCAGGAAGGTTAGTAAGGGACAATCCCAGCTGCGGATCTCCGCCTTCTTACTTCTTGAAGCATGGCTCTGGGACTACGACCGTTTTAATCCCGGGTTTTGAGCAAGTGACTCAGCTGGGGATCCATAGGTGTCCTTTGTAGCTTACTCTTTTATTGGAGTCAGATGGGTTCCACTGGTGTAGATGGGTTTGCTTCCATTTCCCAGGGAAACCCATCTATTTTTGCATGAGGTCGCCTATGTTGGGCTGCTTTTTCTACCAGACCGTGGCTTTTGAGGAGTTCCAACGCCAAAAAAAATGGTCGGCTTTCGTCCGAGTCCGGTTTTGGGTCTTTGGGTCCTGCGGATTGGCCCGAAGTTGTCATCATCATCCAGGCGGGAAACCCATCTATTTTTGCATAAGGTCGCCTATGTTGGGCTGCTTTTTCTACCAGACCGTGGCTTTTGAGGAGTTCCAACGCCAAAAAAAATGGTCGGCTTTCGTCCGAGTCCGGTTTTGGGTCTTTGGGTCCTGCGGATTGGCCCGAAGTTGTCATCATCATCCAGGCGGGTTGAAGATTGACATCCTGAGTTGCCTCCATTTCACCATGAAGGCAAAAGGTGTGGGTCGATTTTCATCTTTTGAGGGCGCCTGTTGAACGGGGTTGTTTTTTTTTGGGCAACTAAGGGGAGAAAGCACCAGGCAATAGTCAAACTTAGTCAGTATTCATTTGGCCACACAAGGAACGGTGCTTCCCGAACCACCGGAGGCTCGTGTAATGAAGCAGTTTCGAAAGACAGATTCCGCCGCCCGGACCTGGATTCCTTTCGGTTTGATTCTTGTCATGTGCTTGCGGTTTGGTGGAACGCAAGGCCTAGGTGTTGTGGCCATTTGTTGTGACCATCAGGGCAACTATGTCACACCGTTTGAATGGGAACCTGAAGTGAGGGGCCGACCGGGGCTTCTTTTGGAGCCAAACATGGAAGTAGCAAGCCCAGACAGGCTCCCGAGTGCTTCCGAAAGGGTTCCGAGGTCGCTGTTGGACATATATCACATGGGCTCATTGTGGCGGGTACCCTTTTTCAGGTAGGATTCAAGGACCCACCGTTTTGTGGATCCAATATTTGGCCATTTCATGTTACCTCAAAAGGAGTTGGTGGACATGAATCCCCATCATGATGTCCTCCAAGGGTCCCCCCATGAAAGTGCAAACACATTTTGACACACAAAAACACACCTTTTTTAACCTCCAGGAGCTTCCAGAGCCGATGTTCCTGTGGCTTAGCAGTGCGGCCGCCCAGCGAGAGGGCTGTTCAGCTTGGCCAATGCATGTACCCTGATGGATTTGTATCAGTGCCTGTCCTGCCTTTCGTTCTTTTCGTCTTTCTTTTCTTTCTTTCTTTTTGTTTTTCTTTCTTTCTTTTCTTTCTTTCTTTCTTTCTTTCTTTCCCCGAGGCGGAGGTGCACTATTTAATTTTTTTCCCACCAATCAAGGAGCTCGGAGGGCATATTTCAGGCCCTCCGAATCAAAAAGAAGCTCCCCAAATTCGGCTCAGAGGGAGTCCTTGCAGCTGGGAATGACACATGGCTCTCTGAGGTGAGACCGTGGAGAATGGCAAGGCATCATTGGAGATGACCATGGACCGCGCGCGAACCCGCGGGAAAGCATGACGCATGCGGGAACGTGGGAACGTGGGAACGTGGGAATGTGGGAGCGCATGCACGCGTGACGGGTAGCAGATTTGAAATGTGCCATTCCGAGAACACGGCTTTGGAGAGGAACTGAATAGCTGACGAGTCTTATTCGTGCAGGCGAGATGTTCAAGCATGAGACAGGCGTTGTGGAACTTCTGTACCATTTTCTTGCCGCAAGTCTAAGAACATGTGGGGAGGAATGGGGTTATATCATATCTATTTTTTTTGTATCCATGTTGGGAAGAATCAACTTTTGTACCATTCTTTTGACTCAGTGTGTCTCCCTTCGGTTGCGTTAGTCGGTCGGTTGCATGCGGCCGGTTTGCCATTGGCAGGACCTGCTCAAGAGCATCTATGAAGGTCATCAACAGCCCGACACCCGGAGCCTCCGGATGCCCTCAGGGCACCTGGGTGCACGTGTTCAAAGGGAATGGTGGGGCGTGGATATGGAAGGCCTTCAAAGTGGGACCCGTGGGAGATTTGCTCAAGTTTTTTGTTTTTTTAGCGGGACACTTTTCGCCGGTTAGATGGGCTGAGCAGCTGAAGTGTTGCCATCTCAGAGTTTCGCGGCCATTGACATCCTGCAAAGCCACTGAAGGGTCAATCAAACGCAGGTGCTGCGGAGGCTGCAAAATCTGGTCAGATCTGAGAATATATGCGAGCCGTGGCTGTGTTCGTCAAGCATCCACCTGAGGTGGTGCGAGCAAAACAACATCCTGCACCCGGAGTTTGTCAAAGCGACGCTGGATCAGCACAGGATCACATGTTTTTCCTTAGGGCACCCCGAGAAACGCTTCGAATACAATTGCCGATTCAAACGCATGGCTGGCAGAAAATCTTGATGGGGAACCACCTCAAAAGTGAGCAGTGGACATGAATCCCCACATAAATGATGTCCACCAAAGGGTCCCCCATTAAAAATTCACACCCAGCTGACTTGCACATGAAGGCGCACCAATGGGACCCCTTTGATACCAGATCTTGGGTCCAAAAAGTATACGATGGGTATGGTCAGAGAGAAGCAGGAAAACGTGCTTCATCGGTCGATTCTTTCGACGTTTCAGACAGTTTGCAACTCACCAACCGTATTTGGATGGTATGCTGATGAGTCCAACATTTTTCCGGTGCATGATTCATGCCATCTCCATCAGCAACAAGTTCAGCTTATCTTCTTGTGTTTCTCCAATGATTTAGTGGATGAGCCACTGAATAGGGTAGGGAGTTTTCTGTCCAGATATGGGCTTGCGGATTTTTGACCTCAATTGTGGATTCCTGGACCCCCTCTTCCGAACCGAGCGGGCAACGTGTCTTTTGGTCCCAACACGGCCAAGCGGTTTGGGCGGTTGTCCGGACCTGGATGTGTGCCGCGCCATGCGAGCTGCCCGAGGAAGGTGATTGAGAACCCCGAGGTTTTGCCAGGCGGGGATCTGCCGCTGAAGCGGGGTGTGCATTAGGGCGAAGTGGCTGTGGCTCAAAAGATGTACCCCTGTACCCCCCTTTTGGTAGACTACAAACTGCGTAACCCGGCTGTTCAATTTTGAGCCACACCCAAACTGAACGTGTAAGTGGAGCCATGAGAATCGCAATGCAGCACTATGTCCATGCACTCCAGGGAGTGTCTCCAAAGTTCACCCAGATGGACTAGCCCGGCAAGTCTCAGCATGCGGCTTGGAGATAAGAGGGCACCCTGGATTTCATTCACGAGCAAAACCGACTACGGGAATTATGAGCCTAAAAGCTATTGTAGTTGCAACGGAGGAAGTTGTTGAATCTTACCCCGCTCATTGCTTGTCTTTCATACAGACTGCTCCACGTTTTATTTGGCACTTTCCGGTTGCCGTAAAAGTCCTCTCTATTTATCACCCCTTTCAGCTTGTATTTCATGGAACCCGGAAAAGCCGCCATGTTGTGGGGGGAGCCCGACCTCTTTTTTTAGGGCTTCCACGTTAATGTTGACCCAGGATTAAGCCCGTCCCATTATCAGGCGCGTGTTCCCTCCAAAAGTGGTCTGAATCCAACCACAAAAGGGGACACCCAATCAAAATCAACCAGGGGTTTATTACTCCTGGTTTCCCATGGTTTCAAAGTGGTGCAGGATTTCGTCCATCCACAGTGGGGTTAACATTAAGTTACGTAAAACAGGGATCAGCCGAGCTCTTGCTCCAGCCAAAGCAAGCAGCGCGAGTCGAGCTGCAGGCGTTGGTGCGGGCGGCATCGCGGGCCAGGCGCCGCGTTCGAGGGATGGGAGCTGACGAGTGGGTCGCTTTGCTCCCAAACGTTCAAAATACCTGGTTGGTCACTACCAAAAACAAAATACAGGGTCATGGAGACGCCAGGTACATATTCAAGCCCAGGAGTTGTGATTTTGGCCGGTCCTTTTGTCACGCACATGTTTTTCCGAGTGGCGTTGCCACCGGTGCGAGGTTCTGACACTTGGGAGGCAAAGATGCACACCCCCAAGCTAAATGCCCGGCTCCGCTATAGTGATCCCCACTACGAGCGATAGGCACGTACCCTTTTTTTACCGCCGAAGCGTGGCCATGAATTTTCAGAGTTGGAACCTTTTGAGAAGTGGTGGACCTTTCTTCCCGAATTCTGCAAAGGAATATCCCCAAGTATCATTCATACTATCAGAGTCCATGGAATTCGTCTGCGGAAATTCGGTTACCCCCGGAACACCCGCCTGATGAAACGTATGGCTCCGGGCGAGGCCGGCCTCTATGGCTGACAGCTCAGAGGGATCGGTTGGATCGGTCTAAAGGCATCATGAAGGACCCTCGAAAGAGGGGGCTTGGAGATCCAATTGAGCCACGTGCTCAAAACCCGGGTAGATGAAGGTTAGTAAGGGGCAGTTCCACTTCATTCTTTACATGGCTCTGGGTAGACCATTAAAATACCGGGTTTTGATTGTGACTCAATTGGAGGGTTGACCTCAAAAAAGGCAGGTCCCTGAGGTCCCCAAGATGTTTGCATTAGGGTCATCGCAGACTTGGAATGCGGGAATCGGTTCTCCTTCTCGGGGAAATGCACCACTGGGCTTTCCGGAATGCCTGGTACCAAAGGGGCCAGTTGGTGGAGTTTTGAGCCAGACCGAATTGTTGCACCGTTGGTGATGCAGCCGCGCAAGGCATGCAGGGAGTTAAAATCAGCATGATAGTCCTATTTTGTTGTCGACCGCGGAGCACTATCACGTTGCGTGCGAGCTTTGCCAGCGCAATACAAAACTGGCATTCGCAGTCTGCGAAAGAGGTATCTGCTGCACATCTCTTGAGACCAGCACATTCCAAGTCATGGTTGCCGGAAACGAGGTTTTAGGGCCCCGTTTCTGTGATACAGCGGCAATACTGCTTAATGTGGCAAGAGGGTTATCTCCCACAAACATGTTCCACGTAGCCTGAACATAGCATCACGAGGCATGGTTTTTTACCGTGACGACGCTGAGACAAGGTGCCTGTTTCCCTCGCTGAAATGAAACTGTCGAACATTGGTTGAATCACTGATTGTCCAATAGCATAGTTTTTTTGGTTAAGCTGGTTGAACATAGCGTGCCCTGGTGAACCTGGTTGAAACATCTACCAGGGCCATCTAGCTTCCCAAAAGGACAGCTATGCCTAGTAATGGTCAACCATAAGTTTCAACAACCCGAAACTCCGTCATATTTGACAGCCCACGCCCAGTTCTGCATGGATTCCAATTCCAGGCCCGTGCAAAGGAGCTCCCATTGCCATGGGCAAGGCGTCGGCGGCTCAGATGAAGGGTTTCTTGGCTTCAGCATAGATACCCGCGTGTTTGCATGTTCCGAGGGAACTGCTGGAACTTTGTGGGTTTGGAGTCTTCTTTTTTGCGACCTCATCTAATTGCCGTCGCATCATTTGCTGAGCGCCTTTGCTCCCATGGAGCATGACATTCTGCATGTTGATGCATGTGGTTTGCTGAACTTTGTCCTCCGACAGGTCACTCGAAAGGAAAAGGTGCAGTCCAACAGTCCACAGGCACTGCGTTGAGTTGGGAATTTGATGTTGGCTGTCCAGATTTTGCGCGCGACCGAAGGCCTGCCATGGCAGAGGTGGCTTAGAGCCAAAATGGTCTCACAGTCAAGGAAAGGCAGTCATGAGCAAGCCCTAGCTGAGTTGCATCTTAAGATACCGCGCTTCAGCCACATTTTTGTCGTCAAGCAAGCAGTCTCGCAAGATGCTCGTATGCATGCTGTTCTTCAAACAGCCTGGCAACCATGTGATGTTGTGATATGTGGCGCTATTTCCAGCAGAAATCGGAATACGTGAGAGCAACCGCCGGAAGGACCCAACTCGCAAGATGCCGTCGCGAGGCAATCTTTCCTCTCGTTGCCGGACCGGGGGTCAGGCAGACCTGCAAAATCGCCCATGGACGCGCCATGTCCTGTTCCTGCGGCGCAGAGACTGGAGCGCGCGGCTACACGGGCGCCTGGCTGGTGCAGCGCCTGCGGCGTTTGGGGAGAAGCGCCTCCGGCGCGAGGCTCACGTGCCGCGCGTGTGCGGAGCGCAGGAGAGGTGAAATGGCGGTGGTTGTCAACCCCAATGAGATCCCATTTTGGGTTAGGTGCACCACCCATTTTAGTCGGGATTTTACTGGGGATTGGGATGTTCACTGGAGGTACTTGATTTTGACCCATGGCCAAATGATCGGGGAGCATGGAGCCATTTTGTTTGTTCACAGCCCGGCGCTCGGCAGTGGCCCAAACTTTTTGGCAGGGTGCTCTTATGGTGGTTTTGTTCCTAGAAGGAATAGGACTTTGACAGAGGGGGGTTGTCATGGCTGTAGGTGGCTTGGGCATGAATTAGCCCAATGACAGACCATTGCCTCTGTTGCTAACGTCTCAATACAAGTTCTTGGCTCACAAACCCCGTATAGCCATGATCCAATCTGAGAAAGAGACTGTCCTGGGAGCTTGCTATGATCAATTCTCCAACTTCCGAAAGAAAAAAACCACAAAACACACACACATAAAGAGTACCTCAGCAAGCTGCCAGCAGGTCTCCGACTCGAAGGGAGCTGAACCGGTCGCCAGCCGTCGACTCGAGGAGCGAGGCCGCCTCGCTGCCGGCGCCGCTGGCTCTGAAGCGGGCGTGCCGCTTCGGCTCCAAATGCTACCAGGCGAGGCAGGCCTTGGCACGAGCGGCTGGACACTCAACGCGAGGGGCATAGGCGTCCTTTGTGGCTTACTTTTATTGGAAATGGATGGCACTGGTTTAGATGGGTGTGATTCCATTTACCAGGGAAACCCATCTATTTTTGCAAAAGGTCACCTATGGCGAGGGGTGTGAAGGAAGCTGTTTGCCACGCGAAAAAAAAGGAAGAACACCGAGGCCTTCAAGCCTCTTGGCTCCTGGAGCCAAGTGTGGCGCGCAAATCTCTTCAAGCGCCACGAACCCCCATGTTCCGTAGCGAAGGCCGGAAACCAGCGCCACCCCCTCCCCCCCTCCCCCTCCCCCCACGCAGCCGAGCTTGGGGCCCTTCCGAGAGGCGGGCAGCCAGCACCGCGCCCGCTACGCGCACCCGGGGGACTGGTGCTACCGCCAGGGCCGGGTGGCCTTTGAGGGCCCGGGCCCAGAGATGGACGCTTGGACACTTCAATTTGCTTCAGCTGTTTTTCTTATTATTTTTGTTCCGCATGTTGGGTTTAAAAAGAATTTTATTTGCTCAGATTTTTTTTGTTATATATATATATAATTGTCCCATGTTGGTTTTAAAAAATAATTTATCACTACTGGAAATATTTTTATTTTTCCGGGGGTCTTGACCAAATGGAAGGAATGGAGCCGCTGGGTCCGGTGACCTTTGGGTTTGAAAAGTAAGGGTGGATTCCATAGGTGTCCTTTTTAGGCTAGTTTCATTGAAAATAGAGGGGTTCGACTGGTTTAGGTGGGGTGTCTTCTACTTACCAGGGCCATCTATTTTTCCAAAAGGCCACCTATGGTTGAGTCCTTGTCCCATTCTTTTCAACCATCGGTCTTTTAAAAATAGTTGTTTGCTGGGTTACAGCAAACAAGAGCAAGATCTCTAGGGGTTGAGTCCTTTTCCCATTCTTTTCAACCATCGTTCTGTTCAAAAAACACAGTTGTTTTCTGGGTTTGTTGAGGTTTTCTAGAAAGAAGGATGTCTGGAAAGAATGGGGAAGAGCAACAAGAAAAACAAAAACACCAAGAACCATAAGAACAACAATAAGCACAAGAACCGCAAAAACCACAAGAACAACAAGAACAACAAGAACAACAAGAACAACAAGAACCACAAGAACCACAAGAACAACAAGAACAACAAGAGCAACAAGAAACAACAAGAGCAACAAGAGCAACAAGAACAAGAAAGACAAGAAAGACAAGAACAACAAGAACATCAAGAGCAACAAGAACAAGAAGGACAAGAACAACAATAGCAACACGAGCAACAAGAACAACAAGAACCACAAGAACCACAAGAACAACAAGAGCAACACGAGCAACAAGAACAAGAAAGACAAGAAAGACAAGAACAACAAGAACAGCAAGAGCAACAATAACAAGAAGGACAAGAACAACAATAGCAACACGAGCAACAAGAACAACAAGAACAACAAGAACAACAAGAACAACAAGAGCAACAATAACAATAACAACAATAACAACAATAACAAAAATAACAACAAGAGCAAGAGCAACAAGAACAACAAGAGCAGCAATAACAACAAGACCAGCAAGAACAACAATAACAACAACAACATCAATAACACCAAGAACAGCAAGAAAGACAAGAACAACAAAGACAGCAGCAGCAGCCTCAGCAGCAGCAGCAGCAGCAGCAGCAGCAGCAGCAGCAGCAGCAGCAGCAGCAGCAGCAGCAGCAGCAGCAGCAACAACAACAACAACAACGGCAACAACAACGGTAACAACAAGAACAATAAGAATACCAAGAACACGAACAAGAGCAAGAACAATAACAAGAACAGGAACAAGAGCAAGAGCAAGAGCAAGAGCAAGAACAAGAACAAGAGCAAGAGCAAGAGCAAGAGCAGGAGCAGGAGCAAGAGCAAGAGCAAGAGCAAGAGCGACAGCGACAGCGACCACAACAACGACCACGACAACGACAACGACAACGACAACAACAGCGACGACAACGAACACCACCAGGAACAACAGCCGTAATATCAACAACAGCAGCAGCAACAGCAAATGCACAAGCAACCGCAACAGCAATACTAGCTGTAGCAGCAGCAGCAACAACGCCAGCGCCAGTAAACACACAACAACAGCAACAACAGGGGCCAACGACAGCACCAGCACCAGCAGCAGCAGCAGCAGCAGCAGCAGCAGCAGCAGCAGTAGCAGCAGCAGCAGCAGCAGCAGCAGCAGCAGCAGCAGCAGCAGCAGCAGCAGCAGCAGCAGCAGCAGCAGCAGCAGCAGCAGCAGCAGCAGCAGCAGCAGCAGCAGCAGCAGCAGCAGCAGCAGCAGCAACAACAACAACAACAACAACAACAACAACAACAACAACAACAACACGCTTTACGGAAGCTCCATTGTGGGGTTCTTGTATCACGATTAGGGCCTGGGTCGCTGCCTCTCAAAAGAACTTGGTCGCCGCGCCAACTTCTTGCCGTGCCAAGGAGACCCTGTGGGACATTTTCTCTTACTTTGACTCGCGCGGCTCAGGCGGGCCTTGCTTTGAGTCAGCCAAGGAGCAGTTCCGACTTGTTTTTGCGCTCTTGGGTCTTGGGTGTGTCTTTGTGTTGGAGGGTGCCCCCCTTTTTCTTGGCTTTAAAGGGAACCCGAAAGGAAACCCAGCGTTTTGGGGATACCCTAACAAAAGACACACCCTCTTGCTTGCGCTTTCAGCCAGCCAGAGGTGCGAGAGTTTTTAGCGCATAGATGGTTTGGTACGCGCCAGTAGGATTCCGCGAAGCCACCGGTGCAGACGCGTGAGGGGAGCTTCCGGTTTGGACGCGCGAGGCTACCTCCGCCTGGAGGATTTCTCCAATGCCGCCTGCGAGCTTTGCCGGAGGGGCATGCTCGTCAGCGAGGTGAGGGAAGCTGGGGCTTGTGAACACCTCCTCCCAATATTGTGAAAAAGGAGCCATGGCAATGTCAGACGATGTCGCATCTGGTTTCACGCCCTTTTGGATTCGCAGAATTGGAACGCAATCCATTTGGGGGCTTGGGCCGGTGCTTACAGAAGCCAGCTTGCGGCGCGGTCCATGTCTCCTTGGATTGTTGTCTATGCAAAAGGGACATGCCCAGATTCGCCGCTATCTCAGCACTTGCTGAGATTCATTGGAGGATATATCATACAAGGAGATGCACATGTACAATCAGGCGGTTCTCTGGTTAGCTTACCACTCTCTTTTACAGTCCTAGGGCCCTGTTTTTCCCAACTACAAACTCTCTGTTTCAACCTCCATGTTACTTCTTGGCTTGGTCAAAAGCAGGGGGCTCCAAAACACCACAGCCTGTGAGCCCTTCGAGTCTGCGAGTCCATCGGTTTCGGCCAGGGCAGCTGGGCGGAGGCCGGGGGGCTGCAGCGGGGCCACGTGAGCTTCGCCAAGTTCTGCACCTGGGCGGCGCGGCAGGGGCTGAAGCTGCCCGTGGGCCTGGAGGCGAAGCTTCGGCTTGGTGCGCGATGGGCCGAGGGCGGGGTCTTTTTTTTCCCTTCGTTGAGGGGCCGAGGGCGGAAAGCCTTCGGTGATGGGACGTGGGAGGTGGGGTGTGAAACCGCGAAATGGATCCTTCAAATGGTGATGTTTGGGATGTTTTTTTTTTTTTGGTAAATGAATTGCTGGTTTGGAACCCCTGGTTCTTGTCGGTAAATGGGGATCACAAAGCCAAACCACCAATTAGAGGGAGGCTACGCTTGGCTGCTTTTGACAGGGCCTGCCCTATGCATGCTTGGCTTCACGGACACCAACGGTTTCTCTTGGACAAGCATTGGTTTTAAGGAAGCTCAGGTGTGAAACTTTTGTTTTGGGGTCCGGATTTTCAATATTTTCCTACACAGGGCCCTTCTCGGCCGAGAGAAAGTCGACCTGAAGCCAGAGCCACGATTCCATGTCTGTGGACGGTCCCGGCCATATGAGGGCCGTAACACAGACTTCTTTTGGGTGGGCAAATCAACTAGTGTTGAAGCATAAAAGGAAAACACTTGCATGAGTCATGATCAAACAGTACTAAATACACTTGTTTCAGCTGATTGAATCCGATGATTGCATGTTTTTAGCATGAAGGAGAGTTCGATGAGGAGGATATCAACATCCCAGCCCTCAATGCAAGCTAATGTTCAACTGTTCACTAGAGAGACATGGGTTTGAATTGCCTGCGGTCGCGGGTCGCGCTATGTCAGATAATAGGTGACTGGCGACTTTGCTTTAGCTTGCAAGAACAAACCGGTCAGGGTTTCCAGATCACTTTCTGATCCCACAAGCAAGGGTTGTCCGGGAAATCCTTGCCGTCCGATTAAGACTCATTGTTTCTGGTTGTCAGTTTCTGAAACAAAGTGTTCTTGCCTTTAGCCTAACCCGGCCTCCGGCCTGTGCTCGTTCCCGGCCCACCGGGGTCATTATGTTGACGGGTTTATCAAAGCCCGAGAATGGGAGTGTTTCCCTTAAACCTACCGCATGTCAGGTAACCTCCAATTGGCGGCTTGGATTGGTGGTTTGGGGATTTGATCACCTGGTTCTTACGGGAAAACACTCCCCTAATTAACACTTGGGTGACATTGATCATGGTCAAACAAAGGTACCCGCACTGGGAGCCCATCACCGAAAGCACTGGAGAGCTGTCGTTAAACGCAGTCGTGGCTGTCCTGGCCCAGCCATTGGTGGCCTCACTTTGCTTCGGGCCTGGAAATTATTCTCGGCGCAGGAGCCGGGCTGTTGCGGCAGGAGCCTCGGGCTTTGGGCTGTCACAGCTGTTTGTCACACGCTCTGTCACAGCTGTCTGTCACATCGAGCGCTGTCGAGACAAGCTGTCTGCGACAAGCTGCCCGTCGCAGGCTCACATCTGTCTGTCAGATGTCCCATCTGTTTGTCACAGAATCTGTCGGCGGGCGCGCGGTCCGGGTTGTGGAGGCTGGATGTCACTTAAGATCCAACAGCCGCAAGCCTGTTGCGTGGGAAACCATGTCTGCACCTATTTGCACTAGTTTAAGTTTCGAGGTGAGCCGCAGCCTCCCGCGTCCAAAATGGAATGCTCAAAGTTGCAAGCTGCAAAGCTGCAGCTTACTGCGCCCAAATGCTACAAAGGACTTTCAAGCATCACACGCGCCTGGCCTGGCGCAACTTGCCAAGCTTGCTTGGGCCGTCGACGGAGGAAAGAGAAGCCACGCGTGCAAGAAACGGAGCAAGGGGAGTTGTTGTTCCCCCCCCCCCCCCAGCGCGAGGGCCATTGCCCCCGGCCCCCCTTATTTTTTCCAGCCAATGTTTGTCACTTCGGCCATGAGTCTGTCTGGTCTGTGACATGCACGCCACACGTTGCCCCAGGATGCTGCTGTTTTACTGCGATGACTTACAAGAGAGCTGTTCCAAAAGCGGCACGGGCTCCCGGCTCCCCTCGAGAGGCGTCTCGGCGTGGGTCGCCAGGTGACGCCTTCCGGGCGCAGAATCTGCCGAGCCCCCGGCTGCGCCTGCGGCGAGCTCCGGGGCGACGGGGAGGCCTGCGAGGCCTGCGGCCACGCGGCGCGCGTGCACACCTCGGAGGCAACGAGGCGCGGAGAAGGGTGGTCTTTTCTTTGCAGCCCCTCAACACTTGGTGGCTCCCAGCCATCCGGTTCCTTAGCCTTTAGCTTTTTAGTGTTTAGTGGCAGTTTCCATTTAGCCCGCTAAAAGTTAAACTTTTGGCGGGAGATCTGAGTGCAGCCCAGAACAGTTGTTTGGTTTTCTTTTTGGTTCCCCTTTCAAAAAGGACTCCCGAAAGGGACGGGCGGAATGGGTTGGGCGGTCGGGCGAAGGCGTTTGCAGATGGCTGATAAGCCACCTAAGTGGTGTGAGAGGGATTCTGCCCACAGGGATGGGTATTTGGGACCGACTGGGGAGTTTGGACACGCGTTGCTAGTGTCCATGCAATTGAACAATGAGCAGCAGGTGCGTGATTCATAAACAGCTGCAAGTCAGCCGTTGATTTTACTGCACCAACTCCCATGTTCCACGGCCTGGCATTGACTTGGCTGCATGAGAAGTCAATACAGAGGTTTGACTCAAATAGTCCCCCAACATGTCCTTCTGGTTTCCTTTCAAAACCATCCCGGTGAACATCCCAATCCCCAGTAAAATAGAATAAAGTGGGTGGTCATCTACCCCAAGATGGTACCATTGGTGTTGACCCACGGCCACATTGCTTCCACCTCCCAATGTGGCTGTGGGTCAAAACCAATGGCATCCCATTTTGGGGTAGGTGAATTCACCACCCATTTTAGAACCAATTTTAGTGGTTGGATTGGGATGTTCACTGGGGGCTAAGCGCCCAAGCCCAGCAGCGACAAGGAAAGGGAAGTTGGAAGGGTACTGTTGGCCACGAATCTAAGTAGAACCCGTCCCAGGGAGGTGTTCACAAACCCTCCAAAAGTGATGAGTCCCCACGTTTTTAAAAACCCGCCCCCCCCCCCCCCCCCCCCCCCCTGTTTTTTTCTTTTTCCTCCATTAACCAGGGGGGTTGGATCGCATAGACTTCACCTGTCCAAAAGTGAGTCAACTCGAGATCAGGCAGGGACTGGCACAGCTGCTGCTCTCCTGTCGCCCCAGCCACTGGCTTTCCGCGCAGAGCGGTCTGGTGCGGGTCAGCAGCGACGCGGTGTGCGAGCAGCTCCGGCTGCCGCTCGCCGCCTTCACTCGCCAACCGTAAATAGCTGCGGCCGCCTTCTTAATTCTTGAAGCATGGTTCTGGGTAGACCATTTTGATACCGGGTTTTGATTATGACTCAACAGCTTCCCCGTGGATGGCCACTTTGTGGTTGGCGTGCAAAGTTTTGCTGTCGCGAGCTGTCGCGTGAAACATTTGGACCATCTTGCTGGAGGAAATGACAGAGTCCGGATTTTGGGAATGAACCGTTCGGGGATCCCTTAAAGGCAAGAAAAGGGGATTATTTATATTTATAGGGGTCATTCCATTATTCCCTGCTGAGAACCGGCAAGTAATCCGGACCGTCAGTTCCCTCAAGTGATTTGATTCAGAATTCTGGTCCCAGGCTTTTGTGTAGCGTACCTCTCTTTTGATTGAAGTCTGGCAGAGGGATCCGTGATCACTTGTGGACCAGAAAACCTCTGACCGTATGTTGCGCGCCAAAAAGTGCGTGACGAACCGGGAGAGTCCAAAACTCGAGTTACTAGCCTCGTAAATGAGGCGTACAGGTTTGCCCTTTCCGTCAATGTCACTTTTGTTTAGTACCTTTCACCAACTTGGCCCAACCCGGGGGATGGGAGCTGAGACTTTTGGGATAGACACATACGACATGACACACATTTTGAGCCACGCGGGAACATGGGAGCGTGATCCTCTGAGCTGAGGCTGCTACGCTGGACTCACAAAGCCAGTGACAACTGGACCCGTGACCGGGGCTGCGCGCTGCACGGGGTGAACGCTTGTAGTGCAACATGTCTTTTCCAGCACCAGGCGGGCTGGGTAATGCGGTGTTGCAGGAGCTTCCTTGCCCGTTGGGCAGGTGCGCGTTCATCTTGATGGTTCGCAAAGCAATCCCCGACATGGATTGATTCTGTGATGTTTCAGCCAGGTGGTTTGAACTCGTTCGAACCATCAAAACGTTAAAGAACGTTTGTAGCAGCATTTTTTGAGCAACCAGTGAACTTGGCGTGAAGCGTTGTTTTCTCTCGACGGCCGGCTGGCACACGCCATGGCATCTGCCACACCCGTTTGCCACTCACCCGTAGGGCCAATCACCAAAACTGTTCGCGGCCTTTGCGGAACTCCTAAGAAGGTTCCAAGAACTCTTCTTGTGGGGGAGGGGGCCCTAGGTTTACCTGGATCAATGAATCCCTGGGTCATTCGTTAATCGCCAGGGTTTTCATAGGCACCTTTCATTCTTGGGGGAAACTCCGACGAATTCCTGCACCTATGGAATGATTAGTCCTCTGTAAATACCAATGAACCATGGTTTGAACCATGGTTTCCTGGTTGTGCTGGATTTCCTCCAAATGTTTTCCCAGGTTTCTTGGTGGTGCGATCTGGATTTCCTCCACGGTATGACTCCAGCAGCTTCGCGCAAACCGATTCGACGGCACCTCTAGGCGCCCGTGCCGCGAGCCTACCGCCTCACTGGGGCGCTGCGGAACCAGTCGCCGCTGCTCTGGGCCAGGCAACGGGGCGGGCGCCAATGTATCGAGGTTCACAAAGAAAAACACGGCTCCGTACATATGTATATGAATATATATATATATACATATATATATATGTATGTATATGCGTATATATATATATATATATACATACATACATACATACATACACACATACATACATACATACATACATACATACATACATACATACATACATACATACATACATACATACATACATACATACATACATACATACATACATATGATCCTAGTCTGCAGGCCCCCCCCCCCCCCCCCTGGTGTGGGGGGGGGCTTGCCGCCCGCGTGCCTGGATCGTATATAATTCGCACCCTTGGCCAATTTGAAGTGAGTTCTTTGAGGGGAATGTAGGGGGAAATGAATTGGGGCCCATGAGACACAGACTTTGCCCAGACATTTGAGCAGGGCCCTTTTGTGACTCCTTCTCGAGGGTTTTGGACACATTGGGGGGGGGGGGTCCGCCGATGTGCAGCGAGTTGCCGGATTTTTCGGACACACACCTGATCAATCTGGGTGTATATGTTATGCAACTGATTTTTGAGTGTGCTTTGCAGGGGCCCAGGGCACATGAACATATTCCACAGAGTTTTGCTTGCCTTCTGGGTATTCTTGTTGTGCGCTGCTTCCCCCGCTGGAAGGACAAGCTTTCTTGACGCCCGGAAGCGCGGAAGTGTTCGCATGATTCCAGGTACTGCCTGCGGCGTGCTGCCATTCACAAGGAGTGCACTGCTCGGGGCGGCTGCAAGCCGCACCTGGTGGAGAGCAGCAAGGAGGGCCGAAAGGTGGCCGAAGGGCTGCCTCGGGAGGGTCAGACATAGGCCATGGGGGGTCTCACCAGTCAAAATGTATGAATCCTGCGGCCATAGGTGCTTTTTTTTAAAGGCTGGTTTGACTAAAAACTGATGGCACTGGTTTAGATGGGATCTATTTATCCCAGAGGCCGCCTATAAATGCGACCGTCGTGCTGGAAAGTATTGCCATCGTAGAATTAAAAATGACAGATGTCGACCGTTGCCCCCCGATTCTTCTTGCTTGCGTTGGAGTCAAGCTATCATGGGAGAGAAGTTTGAGAGGCAGTTGTCCTCGGATGCCTGATGCATTCTTCAGCCCTCGCACAAGATGAGGGAACAACTTATCAAGACCTCATGGCCGCATCAAGACCATATGGGCGTGGGTCAAAAGTTGGTACCCCAAATGGAACTCTGGTCAATGGAAACATGGACTAAAACCTGCGGTCCAATTCCTGGTGGTTTAATTTTGACCCATCCCCATATGGGGGTGGGATCACTACTGACTCTGCTGGAACACTTCAAATCACCGACTTGAGAAGATGGAGAACGGCTCAAGTAGGGCAGCAACTTACGCCCTTCTTGGTGTGACATCGGCAGACCTGGGCATGCGACTTGACCTTTCTCCACTGGTAGGCATAGATTGACCAAGTCAGCTGAAGTTGCTCCAAGGTTACGCCCCCTCTGGGGGCCATCCGTATCAGGCGGCTCCGCCTCTTTCACGGGACTTCGTTCAAATTAATCCTGGACTGGCCTTTCATGTTTGGCTGGTATCTTTGGCTCAGAGGCCTGCCGGTTTCAAAACACATGCGCAACTTGCCAAGCTACAAATGGCAACGGTACCGACCCCAACCTCTAGGGCTCCCGCACCCACCCTCCAAGAAGTCTAAACTGCAAACGCATGAGGTTCAGAAAGGAATCCCCAAAATATGTTCCCAATTGTCTGGGATTCCAGTTCCCAATTGTCTAGGGAATCCCCAGAAAACTTGGAGAAAGTTTTTCGCCCAATTGTCTTTCGACAAGCCGCCATCATGAAACCCGACTCGGTCGCGTACTCATCCAGTCGACAATCCTCTGGCCCGAGCCTGATGCTCAGCTGCAAACACTGTGTTCTTCCAATGCTTCCACAAACATCTAACTTCGTGCAAGGTGAATCGTAAGTTAAATCATTTGAAGAACGCGTGCGGCTAACAAGCACGTTGCCCCCCAATTTTGCCCTTCCAAACTCGCCAGCAAGCGGTATAGCCTCTGAGTGGACCGGGAAAGGGCTCCGGTTGTTTTTTCCCAACCGGCGGGTCACTCATAGTCTCAAGGCTCGGGGTCCTAAATGGTTGGTTGCCTGCTGGTTTTTTTGAAACCAGCCTTTCAAGCTGCCATTTTAGTCCCCAGGAAGAGAAAACATATTTCCAGTAGGTGATAGCTTCCCTTAAAAACCAACATGGGAATTATAGAACGTACTCTTAAGCAAACGGACGCAGGAGGTTCCCCAAAACGACACCCCCGTTTGAGCAGTGCTTTCTCGGTCAGAGTGTCCTTCACAGAAACCGGGGGGGGGTTGTCCAAAACCGGCGCCTCTTTTTGGACTGGGCCGTCTCGAGTTCTGACCCTCAGGAGCCGTTTGGTTCGTTGGATGACGCCCCTTTGGGGGGCGCCAACGAGTGGCGGCTCTTCCATGGCAGCTCGGAGGACGGCTTTTTCTCAGAATGAGCTGCGCCCAAGAAGGAAGATCTCACAGTGTCCGTGTCAAAAAGGTTCCAAATGACTGAATGGGTTGGATGGAGCAAGGGAGATTGGCAAGGATGGTACATTCAGTTTTTCAGGTGGGTGTGCGTTTTTTTGAGGCTGCTCCTGTGGGGGTGGCCACAAAGGGGACTAAAGAAGGAAACTGCCCATTTTTTGGGTCCCTGTTTTGAGAGACGCCCATTTGCACCCGTGTGAACCAAGTGCGATCGTTCAAACCGTCACTCTCAGGTGCATTTGCAGGCTTTTGAGTGTATATGCTGGAGTATAATTTGGATTCCTGAATCGTGTGTTGGGGCTGTTTGGGGAAGGAACAATGCCGCATGGATGATTTGCATGTACTTATTCTCACCCCCAAGAACAGCCGGTCTAGGCTGATATTCAAGGGTGTGTGTGTTGCATGCCCTGTCAAGGAAGTGTCCAACTTTGTTATGGCGTTCTGCATATTTTTTTGGGAAATCGCGTCAACCTGAAAAGATCGCTAGAATTCTTGCGACAAGACCGGGCTGCTTGGGCCAGCATTCTGCCGAGTAGGCCAACATGCAATCTTAGGCCTCACTCTCCTTTTTTGGACGATGAGGCTTGAGCCTCTACTTTCTGCCATCGTTAGGAGTTGGCCAGGTTGTCGAATCATCATGATGAACCCCCTGCAAATCCAGATTATTGAGCCCAGAACAGAAACCCCCCGAAGGAGATTCCGCTACAAGTCACAACTGCTCCCCTTTGAACCATTCGGCTGCTTGCAGGCTGCCTGCCTCAGCATTTGCGAGCGGAATTTCAGCCTGGAGCATTGCGGCACAGGCTACTTGGCCACCTTTCACTTGGCTTTTGGTTTTGGAGGGAACCGATCACTGCTGATGTTCTTGTGAAGCAAAGGCCGGGGGACGAGACACTCTTTGGTACCTGCAGCCTCAGGCTTACAGTCTGACAGTCTCCCCATGTCAGTTGCACCAGGTCAGGGTAGTGACGATTCTACAGCGAGCACTTCGTTTTTGGATTTCAGGAAGCGCCCATGTGCCCTCATGGCCAACAGTTCTTGGATTCAACTCCGCCTCTCGTCAATTGCAACTCGGGGAGTTTGGCCATCGAACACAGCCGCTTGTAAGATTGGGAAGCCAACTGAACATTTGGAGTCTCCAATAGTGAGGCAGCCCCAGTCGCGAATGGCAGGTCGAGAGGGTGTTCCTTTTTCGCCGGGTTTGAAGGAAACAGAGCCACATGGCCCTCTTCCTTGCTTCCTTGCCTCCTTGCTTCCTTGCTTCCTTGCTTGCTTGCTTCCTTGCTTCCTTGCTTCCTGCCTTCCTGCCTTCCTGCCTTCCTGCCTTCCTTCCTTCGCTCGAGCCTTGCTTCCTGCCTTCCTGCCTTCCTTCCTTCGCTCGAGCCTTGCTTCCTGCCTTCCTGCCTTCCTGCCTCCCTCCTCCCGTCCGTCCGTCCACATCCTTCCATTATCTTCCGTCCTTCAATGCGTCCTTCCATTATCTTCCGTCCTTCCATTATCTTCCGTCCTTCCATGAGCTTCCGTCCTTCCATTATCTTCCGTCCTTCCGTCTGTCGTTTTTTGTGCTTCTATCACTATCACCCCCTCCCTCCCTCCCTGTCCCTTTCCCTTTCCCTTTCCCCTTTCACTTTCCCTTTCTCTTTCCCTCTCTCTTTGTCTTTCTCTTTCTCTTTCTCTTTATGTTGCTCTTTCTCTTTCTCTTTCTCTTTCTCTTTATGTTTTTTCTTTCTTTTTCTCTTTCTTTTTCAGTATGTCTCTATTTCTGTATTCTCTATTTCTCTAATTCCCTATTCTCTATTTCCCTTAGTCTCATTTGTCTCTTTCTCTATTTCTCTCTTTCCTTGTCTTATCAGCGCTGGTACTGGGCCTTGCAAATTCAACGAAATCCTGCACAGCTCTCACTATGGTTTGCAAAATCACTTGTGCTTTCGATTTAGCATTGGAAGTTTTGGGGTCCTTGGTTCAAACATGCTGGAATGGCCACCTTATGTGAATGCCAACGGGGGGGGAGCGGTGTATGCGCTTTGTTTAGCTGTGGCATGGAGTTGGGAGAGGTGGTGCAGGATTTCGTCCGTCAAGCGTACCACCCACCGTGGTTACCGCAATCACTGACGCAAAAGCTGACTGATAATATTGTTATGACTGAGGACCCTTCAAATTGTTGGTGGACATTCCTGTCTTCAGTGATGTGCACAGGGTGCGCAATTCACGGCCATGTGGGTCTGTCTTGTTTTTGAGAGTGCCTGTATTTGGTTGGTTTTGAAGGGAACTTCAGAGGAACACCAACCATTTTGGAGGGGTAAAGAGGCACCTGTAAAGCGCTCAACCAATGTCCCCGCTTTTGGAACTCGCCCGCTTTCGATGGCTGGCGCAGAGGTGCAACCTGGCGACCGAGCGCCTCCGGAGCAGGCGTTGAAATGTAAGGATGTTGCCAGCAGGAGTTCTGCAGTTTTGGGTATGTCAATGTCTCAAGGGTAAAGGCGGGGGGGGGGGTTCCCGGTTTCCCCGCCAAGCCAATCGTTGTTGACAGCGCCCCACTTTTCCGGGCAGCCGGGGGCCACGCATTTGAGATCACTGCTCTGTGGATGACCACTTCCCTTTTGAAGTTGGAGCGATTCTTTTTGCACGGATGCGCCTTCGCCCGTGCAGGTGTGTCGCTCTACGGTCCTGGGGTATACTTTGCTGAGCGCATTACGACGCTCAGCTTTGTCGTGTCTTCGTCATTTGTATGCAGCATGCGGTGAGGATATGTGGTTGAGTCCACACAATTTGCCAGACGTTGACTAGACTCTGTGGTCCCGCTCTTGTGGTAAGAGCCATGCCTCACAAATCACCGTCCGACCAAGCGGGGTCGCACCTGAACCTCGTGCTTTCTCGCGTGCGTTCGTGTCTGAGGAAAGCGGACGAGTACTCGCGGCCGAGCGGCGCTGATGGCAGCGTCTTCACGGTGCTGGTGTGCCGCGTGGTCGCTGGCTGCCCGAAATTCTGCACCAAAAACGAGGTGGAGTCTCAGCTGCAGCGGCGGTTGGAATGGCCAGGCTCGAAGCCGGGGAGGAGCTTTTTGGACTCTTCTTTTGTGCCCCTTGAAAGGTTCGACATGCTAAGAATGTAGTGGTAGTATGCAATATGTCAGTAAGATGAGCCAACATGGCACCGGGTTGGCACTCGCACATTGCCGGAAGGAAAAGATGGTGAGTGGAGAACAGTAGGGGAATTAAAGAGTACTTGACATTTTTGCATTTGCTGACATAGAGAACTAAAGGGCGCATCCAAAATTGGGGTAGCGAGGGTGTTCGTCCCAGGCCTTCCCAGGCATGCGAGAAAGCCAATCTCAATAGCTGGCAGGGAACGTTCCGTCCGGATTTTCTTAATTTGATCGTCCGGCACTTGGGTGGGTGACAGCCCCCGGCTAGGATAGGGAACGTGACGCTTTTGCTTTCCTTCAACATGCGTCCACTATCCAGACAAAAGACAAGCACAAAAACAAGGGCGGAAGGGTTCCATGTTTCGAACTTGGGCTATTTTGCAAAATGAGCGGCCCCTGGCCAAATGGCCGGTTTCCTGTTGACTTCGCCGAAAGGGCGCCCATCATGTAAGATTCAGAACCATGGGGAATTCGACTTGACTCCAATTCTTCATATGGGCTCGAGAGAACCCGGACCAATACAGTAAACCCATCTTGGGCTGCCGGACTCCTAGAACACAGAAATACAAACAACAAAGAAAAAGCCGCGGACCAAACCACCAACGGATTTGTTCCAGCTTCGGAAAATCAAAAACAACAAAAGGAAAACGGAGGGGGGGGGAGGGGTTTGAGGGGGGGGGGAACCACAAGGGATGGTTGTTCCAGGCCCCGGTTCTTCGTTGGGCCCGGGCATTGGATGGCGAGCCTCGCCGGAAGTTCGGAAACGGATCTCCGAGCTGAGGACCCCGAGGCGCTGCGTGGGGAGATCTTGGGGGGGGTCTTCCACTCGGTGATGGGGGACCGGGTCTCCGAGCTGAAAAAGCCCTTCCGGGAGGTGGTGGTCTATGACCCAGCGACCCGATGCGAACAAACTGATAGAGAAAAGCCAGATGAGCCACTTGCTCAAAACCTGGGTAGCTGAAGGTTGGTAAGGGGCAGTCCCAGCCAGAAATAGTTGCGGCCGCCTTCTTAATTCTTTACATGGTTCTGGGTAGACCATTTTAATACCGGGTTTTGATTGTGACTCAGATTCGGCTGTGGTCAAAACCGTTGTGGTTGATCCCATTTTGGGGGTAGGTGAATTCACCACCCATTTTAGAACCTATTTTAGTGGGGATTGGGATGTTCACCGGGGGTACGGGATGTTGACCCATGGCCAGATGCGCGCGGATGTGCCAGGGGCATTTTTCGTGGGTATAGTGCGTAGTTTTGGGACACACAGCTTTGATTTTTGAGCAACAGAAGCGTTTGGGGGTGTTTTTGCGGACAAGTCTTTTGCTGGTCATTGGTCTTTGATGTCGGTTACGTAGATTTTGGGGCTTGAACCAAGGACCAGATCTATCCAGAGTTCCTGCTGACCTACACCCGCGAACTGCCCTGAATGGTTTGAACGCTTTGTGCCCGGGTTTTTCCCGCGGCTTGTTTGTGCATAGCCCTCTCATTTCAAGCCTTTCCTGAGGGCAAAGGGGTTGAAGGGTTTCGAAGCCAGCCTCCCCGAGCCCATGGAGACTGCAACCCTCCCGGCTTTCGGAGGGCACTTTCAGCTCGGAGGATGGAGGCGCAAACTGAGATTGATTGGGGGCTCGTTGCGCCTTTGAAGGCACGAACTCTGTTTGGGCAAAGCCTTGCTTGCTCCCCCGAACCAAAAACCAGGCAGCCGTATCATCAGCCACGCAGGGCCAAATGCCAAAGATATGTAGAGAATGTGAATTGGGATATTGTAGAAATATTGTTTATAATACTGTTTCGACCATTAATCCAAGACTGTTTCGACCATCGATTTTTGTTTCCAATATTTGCGATTGGAGTCAGTTTACCATAGGCGCAAACCATGGGGGCTCAAGCCAATCGTCAAGCACTGCAAAGGCATGGGCACGGAATGGCTGCCCCTAACAACTCAACATACCTCACCAGGAGACCTGCTATCGTCCAGTTGAACATTGACAGAACGCGTGTGTATTCTGATACTCGTTGTCCAGCCGGTTCAAAATGGAGTTGTAGGCAGCGCCCAGCAACGCGGGCGGGCAAGCGGGCGGGTGGGTGGCAGAGGGGGGGACCAATTCTTTCGCATTTGCACATTGGCCTGTGATGTTTTCTTCACTTTGTAAGCCAAGTATTCCCCCGTGCTGAAACGCATTCGCGCTGCTGGCAATTCATTGGGCGATTTTTTGCCGCAACCTTGGGGATACTTCTTGGGTGGCACAATATGAGTGTTTGCTGAGAACCGGCACCCTGTGTTTGAAGTAAAGTACCCACCAACCTCCCTACCGCAATCCTCAAGTCAAATCCTCCATCCTCCGCTCTGTGCACTTGGCGCCCAATGGACTTTTCGCATGGCCGAGCCATGCGGCAGCCTTGGATCGCATCGATTCAGCGCCTCTCGCGCCGAAAAGAGCAGCTGTCGCGGGGCTTCGAAGTGCAAGGATGTTTGGCGCTTTCGCAGGATCGAGGGGGCCGCGATTCTTGTTAGTGTTTGTGGTTCTGTTCATTCATGGTGGGCCGCAAGAAACAGCAAGAAGCAAGGAGTTTTGCTACCAAGCCAATTTGGTATTTCGTGTTTTCAATGTGCAGGGGGGGGGGTTACCGGTCCTCACGTGGGGCACACATTGACACACACACACACACCCACACAAGTAAATCTATATGCTTGTACACGCATATTTGCATGCACACACGCAGATGCCAAATGTGTGTGTGTGTGTGTGTGTGTGTGTGTGTGTGTGTGTGTGTTTCTTTGTTTGCAAGCCCCTCTCTCTGTGTCTGTGCGTGGGTGTGTGTTTGTGTGCGCTCTCATTCTTCCCCTGCAAACCAACTAGGCCAATTGCCCAAGATTATGGCCCCCATGGCCCCTAGGGCTTCTGCCGGCCATCGCGTCTGGCGTATAGAGCAGACTTTCCATGGTTGGTGTTGGGAAACATTTTACATTTTGCTTGTTGTGGTTTAGTGGGAAATGCCCACTTAACTGCTAAAATTTAAATGTTTGCTCCGCTTCCAACGTCAACCAAGTATTTCTAGAGAGTTCTAGCGGCAGTAGATGGCATGAACCTTGCCGTCTTGGCAACCTGCGCGTCGCATTCATGACGCTTTCTAGTTTTGTTCGAATACTCCGCAGCACATTTGTGTGTCATCTCATGCCTCAACTTGATGTGGAGGGGCGATCAGAATCTCCAGCACTCCTGCACACTGCTTGGCATTTTTTCCTCACCAGAGAATGAAGGCTCTTTCAGGCCAAACGGCCAGCACCTCAAGAACCGTGTAAAGCACGTGAGCCACTTGCTCAAAACCGATTCGGGTAGATGAAGGATAGCAAGGGACGCTCCCCTTGCCATGGCTCGTTGCGGGACTCCGCCCTTGGTATTTCCTTTCGATGGTTCCGGGAATCGACCCATTTTTGACACCGAAGTTTTGACCGCGGCTCTGAGGATACAACGGCGGTCTTGTTTTTTTCCATGTGGTTTACAGCGAGAATCTTTTTTATTTATTTTCCCCCTGGTGGTTTTGAAGGGAATCGATCTCACTACCTGGACATATTTTCTCATTCCTTACCTGGAAGGGGACTCTAAACGCAAATGGAGGTTTTGCTTTCCTTCCGCCCCCCATTGCCCATGGCCCTTAGCGGCTGAGGCCCGGGCCATACTGAGCCCACCGCGCGGGTGGCTGTTGGCCCAAGAAATGCGGCGCTTGGCCCAAGGATGTTACCATGATCAAAGTCACCCCCGTGTGGTAGCTTTGGCGCATTTTGCCAAGGGATGTTAGGACTTTTTTCGGGTTTTCCAAACGAATGGACTGAATCACTTTGCCAATGTTGCCGTTAGGACTGAATAGCTTTCTGCCAACGAATTCGGTTTTCCGCATTAAACCACTAAAAATAATTCACATTTAGCAGGGGAGCAGAAAGCAACCAAGGTAGGTCAAAGGGAAACAGCCCCAGCTGACTTGGATAACCTTTAACAACCCATAAAGACCCCAGGGGCCCCAGGCACGCCACGAGGCAATGTAGGCGCTAGCCCGAGCAGGGTGCTTCGCCAAGCCCGAGAGGTTCCGGTTGACGTGAAGAGTTGCAGCTCCATGTCAAGTGGTGGTTGGGGTTGCTAGAGGCCTAGGCTATTGCTAAGCTATGTGGCCGTTTTGAGCCAGCTCATCACATCAAGAATGGATTCATTCCAGGATCTTGGAGGCACCTGGAAAGAGGACAAGAGGCGAAGCGCGGCGCGCGCGTCTTCTCGCCAGAAAAAGGTGTGATGGAGGGCACGCGATGGGTTGTATTTTCAGTCCGGAGCTGAGCCACTTGCTCAAAACCCGGGTAGATGAAGGTGAGTCAGGGACAATCCCCTTGCCATAAATAGCTGCGGCCGCCTTCCTAATTCTTCACATGGTGCTGGGGATCGACCATTTTACTACCGGGTTTTGACTATGACTCAGCTGACTTTCTAGCCTGGCCGAAGCCGGCACGACACTTAGTCACCCTACTTGGGGGGGGGGGGCTTAGCCAAACAAGCTTTGCTGTTGCCCGCGGTAGGCCGCGTCGGCATGCGGCTCTGTCAGACTTCAGAAGGATAGACATTTGCAAATGGACTGATGGATGGACAACTGCAGAGACGGTGAAGATCTGTGGCAATTCTGTTGTGGTTTGAGTTGACAATGTGGTGGAAGTTGAAGATAAGCAATTTGATATGTGGTACAATCATATGGCAATGGTGATGACCTCAACATAACACATTAGAGTAATTATTCATCGAACTCATCCAATTGCTCAAGGATAGAAAAGGGGCAAGCCTTTGCATCAGAGTGCGGGCGGAAAGGTTGAATCTTGGTGCGTAGGCTTTGCAGCACAATGCCGTTCGCCGCATCCCGGGCTCAGATCAAGGTCAGTACGCGTTCTGGTCGCAGCCCAGCACAGCCGCATCAGCCAAAGTTTTCAGAAGGGTCACAGCACCAAACTTCGGTCTCGTGCAGCCATTGTGAGCCGCACAGGCGCGTTTGCGGGCGGCGCTTTCGATTTTGTGGAGCGAACATTTGCTTGTCACTGGGACATGACAGCTGAACAAGCGGCTTTTAGGGTATTTGTCATGCCAAGGACTTGGGGCTTTGTCGTTGCAGTGAGTTGAGTTGTTACAGGTCACAGCGGACCGGCACGATTGTTCGCTAGTTGTCATTTGTCCACTGCTGGCACGTGTCCAGCAAACACATTGTTTGCTGGTCGACTCGAATGCCTATGTGAAGACCGTCCTTGGTACACTCATGAATGGGGACAACGGCCTTGAAGGGGGTGCACTCATTTCCATGCCGTCCATCCTAGACTACCAACGAGAGGTTTCGCTGCAGTCCTCGGCTGCCTGGATTTGATGTTTATTTATTTTTTCTTACACAAAATATGCAAACATGCTACTCCTGCTAACAGTGGGCATAGTCCTCGTGAAGATTGGATTTGGATCATGGAATCCTCCTCCATACCCGGCAGAACTCATTCCGCAGCGTGGCAGAACTCATCCCGACAAAGTGCCGCTGAGTTTGGCCACGTTTGGCCGAGGTTGACCCAGAGGCTCACCCGGTTGCATGTAAAATCTCAGGCAACAGACGCATCTCAATACGGGACGGCCTCCAAAGTGGGATGGTTTCAAGGGAGATGGACATGCATTCTTTAGGGACCCCTTTTTCTTTTTTTTTTTGGGGGGGGAGGGGGTTGGTGTTTGTCGGGAAACCAAAAGGACAACACCCGTTTTAAGGGTTCCCCCGAATATGACGCAAACCTAATCTTCATTCCTTTGATGGGTTACCCCCGACTCTCTGGCCCTGCATTCAAGGCCAGAATGCCAGCGGGTCGCGCACCCAAACACCCGGCGGTGGCGTTGTGCGGAGGATTCGTTGAAGACGTATCTGCTATGGCACCATAGAGATGGTGTCAATTTGTTTGGGAAAATGGAGCTTCTGGTCGGATAGATCAATCAGTCCCAAAAAAGGAGAATATGTCAATCGATGTGGGGGCCCTCATTGATCCAGGGTTCTCATTCACCCCTCCCACTGCCAACAAATGTTACGTCAGGAGTCGTCTGCAACCACATGTAGCCTTAGTTGGTCATATGCAACTACATGCAAGCAGGTGTACATGGAACACAACTGCATGTAACCACCTGCAACCGTGTGTTGCACATTGTAGCCACGAGAAAGGACCAGCAAGTTCATCTTCGCAGGTGCAAGGCTGCTTTGTGGCTGGATTTGGACGAGTGAAGGTCTTTCGTAAGTGAAGCAGTGTCTTCATGCCTGCAAACACGTACTTGAACGAGAGTTCTGATGCGCCGAAGCAAACTGCAAGTCAAATGGCACCTTTCTGGTGCCAGTTCAACTGCATTTTAAGTTGCTGTTGCAAAGACAACTGGAGGGCATTTGTCAGCCTTGGTTTGGTGTTCAATCACTGCTTCATGTTTTGCTTGAGTGCACGAGCTTCAGTCAAAGACAATCACATGCAGCCGGAGGGAAAGCTGTGCGATATGGGCCATGCTTCAGAGCCTCACCGTTCTTGGCAAGTTTTTTTGGGTTTTGTTTCTTTGGCTCTGTTCATTCTTAGGGGGCTGCAAACCACACGTCTTTTTGCTACCATACCAAGGGTTGTGAAGTTTTGATCTGGCTTTCCGGTGGATTCTTCGACGGGCTCCGGCGGCCCAAGAAATTATGGAGGCTGGGCAGCAATTGCTCAACGGGTGGTTTCTCGCCTTTCTGCGAGTTCTGCCGAAGCGAGTCTCTTCTTTGGGCCCGTTGCCCGGACCAATAGGCAATTTTTTGAGGTGGAGAGGGAAATTGCAGGTCACCCATGAAGGATCCGGTCAGAACTGTGGTTCGCAGCCATCCGGTTCCTTGGCTTTTGAGCCTTTTTAGCTTTTGAGCGTTTAGTGGGGGATTTCCGTTTAACCCGCTAAAAGTTAAGCTTTTCGCGAGGGGATCTGAAAACGGACAGCCCAGATAAGGTTCCCCCATATTGCTTGCTAGTGAATCAGAAGTCGACCTGTCACCAAGGTCAAAGCCGCAATGTGGAGGAGCTGACTGGTTGAGTCGCAGTGACTCCAGGGTGGGATATACCTGGGTTCGGGACATCCATTTTGTTACGCTTGTAGAGGAATAACAATTAGTATGGAGTTTTTAAGGGGTGTAACCTTGGGTCACATAGTTCCCCCTTGATCCACAGCATCTCCCGAGTTCACTTGCCTGTGAGCAAAGCGCAAAGCGCGCGGGCGGCAGGAGTTGAAAGGCCTGGTGGTCAGGACGTTGGAAACCAACGGCAGCTCGGCCGGATGAATCGGGGCGTTGGGCGCTGTTTTTTTTGGTGTTTTGGCAAGGAAGGCAAAGGGAGAATCACCCATTTCGGTACCGATTTGACCCATCTCAGGTATGGCATCCCAGCATGAAGACAGCTGAATCGAGAGGGACACACACATATATATATATATGTGATAAAAATAACATATTGGGTTACATATGGATACATATACATCTGTGTACTCTTCCATGCACACTTGTGTTGTTGGTACACAACCTGTACGTTGGTGCAATTATCGCAATCCCCCACACACCGAAAAGAAACCAAGGCAAAGCCAGTTATATTAAAAAACAAGGCACAAGAACTCGGGGCAAGGAGAAGTACGCCTCCCTCTTGTTGACCTCGTAAGAGAGTTGCTGCGGAGTATGTCTGGCACAGACGCCCAGAGGTCCCCAGAAACCCGAGACGTTGTCTGAGCGTTGGGCGTGTGCCGTGAGGCGTCCTTGGGCAAATCCGAGCAGAGCTTCGAGCCAACGTCTACAAGGCGGCAACCAACGTCGGCCATGAAGTGACCCTGTGATCCAAACTCCCTGGTTGATATGGAGAAAAAAACAGAGGGGGGGGGGTACGCGTTTTTTTTGAAACGTGGGGACTCCTCACTTTTGGAGGGTTTGTGAACACCTCCATGGGACGGGTTCTACTTAGATTTGTGGCCAACAGTACCCTTCCAACTTCCCTTTCCTTGTCGCTGGCGTTTGGCTACACGCTCAAAGTTAGAATGGCCATGTGACATGTGTTTGATGATCGTGGAGAGTGTGCGCTTGGATGAGGTTTTGATGCCCCCCTTGGACATAGAAATTCCTTGGCAAAGATCGCCGAAGGTAGCTCAAATGCTCTCAGATTCTCAAATGCACATAGCCCCCCAAAACCGGGTTGTAGTTCCAAAAACCATTCTGTTATATTTTGTTAAACACGGTACCCTCAGAACAAGAGGAGCCACCCACCGGGGACTCGGACGAACACAGACATGAGGTTCCAAGCCAATCTTTTGAATCGCTTAAGGACGCTAGTTGGTGAGCCTATGAGCCAGCTGGCATGCGGGCACATGATTCACGTCTAATGAGTCTAATGACCAGAGTGCCATCAGATGCGGTCGGGCTATGAATCTTGAAGGCATGTAGAATTCTTGCTGCGCAGGTGCGAATGAAGAGAGCAGCTCAAATTATTTGGCCTCTAAAGGCGGCAGACAGAAGAAACTAAATAGCTTCAAGCGTGCGCACAAGAGAACTCGTATGCCAAGCAACGGCCGTTGCCGGTCAAAACGCGGCTTGCGCAGGCCATTGATTGCGATGAGGACATCGGAGCTTCAACAGCGGTCCGCGCCGCCCGGGCCCCGGGCCCCCTGCAAGTGATGCAATGGGGCGGCTTGTGTCTCGTTTTGGGGGGGATTTTGTTTGGATGACGGTACCCGGTACCGGTACCCTTGGGCTACCCTGTTTGTATTTTTTGGGGGTATTCTTGGGCTACCGTGTTTGTATTTTGTGGGGGGGTACCCTTTAAACACAGCTGACCGTGCCACGTGGACACGGCTCACCGAAAGGAAAGGACAGGGGGTACCCTGTTTGGATGGGTTTTGAAGAGAAGTGAAGCCCGTTTTTGGGGGGTTCCCCTATTTTCAGACAACTGCAATGAAGAGTTGTACGGCTGAAGCCACGGGTATGTGAATACCGTGCCAACTCAGATGTCCTGTCTGACACCTGATTCATGCGTCGGCACCTTCTCAAGCGCCGCACTAGCTGGGCAAAGGCAATGGTCGGGGGCTCCAACAAACGTGTTGTCGATGATGAAGCGGCAAGTTGGTTTTGATCAGCTCGACCCTGCATACGGATTCCATGAAAGTGAGGTCTTGCCCACCACATCTTGCCTTCGTATCCCGGCCCGAAATGGTTGGAATCACGAGAAGCAACACGTCGGTCACGTCGCCGTCGTGCCATCGCTGAGGCCAAGTTGACCAAGTCACCAGTGGGCCAGTTAATGGCTGAGATCGCCGGGACCTCGAGCCGGAGTTTAGCACTCGCCTCTCAAGGCATTGCGGGGGCCAACTACTTATATGTTTTCTGCCATAAACATAAATATATATATATATACACATGTACATAGTTGTGTCTTTTTGAGGGTATCCCTTTTTGGTTGACTTTAAGGGGAAACGAAAAGGGCAACCACCATTTTGGGGGGTCAGTAAAAGGATACCGATATACCCCGAAAGTCTCATTTTCGCGAGAGGATTGCACATGATCTCTCAAGCCTTCCGAAAGCCTTCTATAGACGCCTGAGTTTCCAAGCTGCCTGACACTTGGGCTCCGAACATGCGACAGCCTTTGCGACAGCCTTTGCTGCAATGCGAAACGGGTGGAGCAAGTTACGCATGCAGTTGGGCGGTTCCAGGAATAGGGAGCGTTTGGCTTCCAAGGCACAGGTGGGCCTCTTGAATGGGATTGCATCCGATGTCTTGACTCGGGAGGGAGGAGTTGGGCGTCTTCCTGCAGGAGGGAAGGTCCGCTGAGAATAAAAAGTCAGCGGCCGTCGAAAATGCGAAGCATGCAACATCTGGGTAGTTTTCTTTTCTTCGAGGGCAGCTTTTTTTTTTTTGGGGGGGGGGGTTTAAAGGGCAACCAAAAGGGAAAGCACGATCTTGGGGGGTCCAACGTTAAAAAATCTACCCCTGCTCCCACTAACATAGCATTTGTGGGAGGGTAGCTGGAAGATCAATTCCCTCGTTCAGTTGCCAGGCTTTTTGGGGGAGAGGGTTCCTGACTCCTGACTCCTCAACTGATCATACTGTGCATGGCCGAAATCCATTTCGCACCACCTAAGAAACCCTGGTTTCTGATTCGGTTCCCTGGTTTTTTTCTCCAACAAACCTTATGGTTTCAACCCCGGTTGCATTTCGTGGAGCGATTTTTCCGGATGTCGCGTCCACCGCAGCATCCCCGCTTTCGTGGCTCCGTGGGGCTGCCTCGCCGCTTTTCGCTTTTCCGCCCCGAGGTGGCGGAGTTCTTTGAGTTCTACCAGTTCAGGCCGGCGCGAGTTCTTCGGGCTCCCTCCCCGCGAACCATGAAAAAAGGGTCTGCAGCCATGAAGCGGGGGAAGCTTGCGTTAAATTTGGGGGGGTTCGAAAGGGAACCCCAAGGGAAAGCCAGCAGTGTCCCATGTTTTTTTTTTGGGGGGAATAGTGGCCTAATACCACCAATCTAGGCTGTTCAGGCAGAAGCATACCTTATACAAGTGGTGTCTCTCCATTTCTCAGAAACCCATACCTGAAACTCCCCTTGCCATTGGTGAACGTCAGTGCCAGAGCACTGGATCCTGAGTCGCTCTTTGGGTTTGTCTTTAAATGGGGGACCCCCCCAAATTATGGCATTCCTGTGGGTTTTCCTTTGAAAACAAAAGCAACGGGTACCCTCAAGAAAAAACACATCCACTTCCGTCCAAGCTGTTGGATCAAGCCAGCGAGACACGCTGGTGCCGCCGTGCCTTCCGTTCTCCGGCGCTTGTGGTGCAAGGCGGGACAATGGCCCAGGATAGACATGCATTTGGGGTGGGTGGGTGGGTGGGTGGGTGGGTGGGTGGGTGGGTGGGTGGGTGGGTGGGTGGGTGGGTGGGTGGGTGGGTGGGTGGGTGGGTGGGTGGGTGGGTGGGTGGGTGGGTGGGTGGGTGGGTGGGTGACATTGCAGAGAGCAATCGGCTTCAAAGGGAGAGCTCAAGAATCCTTTCTTGCAGATGTTGACCCACGGCCCATTAGAAATGACCTTCGGGCATTTACGTGGCGAATCAAGGTGGCTTTGGTGACAGACAAAAAAAACATGTTTATGGCGCCCCTCGCGCAAAATATGCCTTATTATTACTTAGCACGTCTGCACATCATAGCACTAAGCACAAGATAGAAATCTAGATATCAACCTCCATTTTACCAGCATACATGTGACTCTGGATATGGCATTGCTACTTTGAAGCACCTGTGTGCGATGCGATGTATTCTTGAATTTGGCAGCAACATACTTAGTGCGACTTTTTGCTGGCACGTACAAACACATACTGGATGCAAATCTTCAACCGTCAGTCGTCAATCCAGGATGTGTTGGCACGTTCCAGCATCTCTTGGCACTTTAGCTACCAAAAGGCCTCTTCCAAAAGGCTGAGAAGGTAGATCTTCGGGGATAGCAACCATGCATACACTTTCATATATATATATATATATGGCATCCGTTCAAACAAGCTGGCTAAGGAGCTATATGCAGTATGTGCATAATTCCTTTTGCATTTTGCTTTTTCCTTTTCGAAATGAAGAGGGCCCCCACCTAAATCATGCAAATCCCACTGGCAGCGCTAGCTTGGCGCTAGCTCGGCGCTAGGCCGGGGACGTTAGTGGCATGTGAGATGCGCACCATGGCCCTTCTGTCTGGTCGCTCTCAGGGCAGTTGAGGGCTGTGCCCGCGTCGCCTAAGCTCTGTTGTACAACTCACAGAATAGGTGGTTTCGCTTTGGTGTCCTATCAACAACAACCCAGAAAAAAAACGGTTCCCTCAAAAAAGGTTCCCGCCCATCTGCAGAGACGTTCAAAAGAAACCGCGCTGGGCTTCGGGTTGAGCAGGCGCGTCACGGCCAATGTGGGCTCGTTTGCCTGCACGAGCGGTGCGACTCAGGCAGGCGGCAAATTCGGCATGTATCTCTGCTGGAGAACGATGAGATTCGCTCGTACAGAGATTCGCTCGGCTTCAATTCATAATGATACTCCTCTTCTGCTGAAGATTCTTCATGAATGCGGAAGATTCAGAGAACAAGGAAGATTTATGCTGCAAAGATTCTTGCTAGAGAAAGTTTAGAGCAGTTTTCGCTGCCTGGTGAATGAGAAGTGTTGATGGGAATGGCTGACCAGACTCTTTTGGGCACGCACTCAATTTCCATCATAGGCGGCAGCAGGGTTTGCTGGCTCCCGGGTCTAATGTCTTTGGGATATCGGTCCTTTGCGGAATCACGGGTTTCAGCAAAACGAGTGCCGTGCGCTGTTCCTACCAACATTGACAGGTTTCTGATGTGGGCAGGTTGGGAGGCACAGGTCTCAGGTAACCCTCAATTGGCTTGGATTTGGATTTGAACCCCCCAGTTCTTGTAGCCTGCAAAACCCCATCAGCTGGCCCCGCCAGGAGCTGGCAAATCGAGTGGAAGACAAGCAGCGGAGTGCCATATGTGGCTCCTGCATTTCAAGGGTTAGAACTATGGACATGCATGACACAAGTTATTCTCGATCGTGGTATGAACTAGCACGTACCAGGACTGTTTCTCCATGAGCCTGGCCCAAGAAGGCTCAGACTCTATCCACAGGAGGTCCATTTGGGAGAGACATGGGGGGACCCACTAAACTTCCGGTTTTCCCATCCCCCTTGCAGGGAAGTCATTTTGACAGTGGCTTTCCTTTTCCTGTCCTCATTTCCTTCATTTGAATGTATCTGCTAATGTTAAAGCAGGCTCACCTGGGCGTAAACTTGGGGAGCCCTTAATTCAGCTTTTGGAATTCTGGTAACGTTTGCACAATATATGTTCCAGGCCGTAAGCCTCCCCCTGAGGGGTAGGCCGCCTGTGGAACATATACCCCCTAAGCGGTGCAGAAGTTCGTCCACGCAGGGCTCGTGGCTTCAGCGCCTCCGTGGATGAAGTGATCAACCTCTTCCAGCGGACGCCCGACGAAGCGCGAAGCGTTGCGCGTCGCGCGTTTCGGTTTCGGATTCGACGTTGCTTCCCGGGCGTGTTTGGGGTAGAGTGGGAACCCCAGCCATCCCCATAGCTTTTCAGGCCATCCCCATAGCTTTTCAGGCCTATGTTGAGGGCTTAGTGGTAGTTTCGACACATTTGACGTACAAGTTAAACGTTTAGCAGGGGATCTTAAAACGGACAGCCCAGAGTTGCACACCTCTTTCGGAACTTTTTGAGGGATTCGCGATCATTGGTCGCTGCCTGGAGTGGACCGCGCAGTTCGATGACGTCTGCTGCTGACGCCCATTTGATTTTGAAAGTTACAGCAATCGGTCAAAGAGCTGGCGAAGGAGAAGGGAGAATGAAGGCCGGCGAGAGTAATTAATGCATATTGCATATTGACGTAAACTGATACTATTTCAAGGCCTATTCAACTTCCCGCCGCATGCGTGTGTGTGTGTGTGTGTGTGTGTGTGTGTGTGTGTGTGTGTGTGTGTGTGTGTGTGTGTGTGTGTGTGTGTGTGTGTGTGTGTGTGTGTGTGTGTGTGTGTGTGTGTGTGTGTGTGTGTGTGTGTGTGTGTGTGTGTGTGTGTGTGTTTGTGTGTTTGTGTGTTTGTGTGTTTGTGTGTTTGTGTGTTTGTGTGTTTGTGTGTTTGTGTGTTTGTGTGTTTGTGTGTTTGTGTGTTTGTGTGTTTGTGTGTTTGTGTGTTTGTGTGTTTGTGTGTTTGTGTGTTTGTGTGTTTGTGTGTTTGTGTGTTTGTGTGTGTGTTTGTGTGTTTGTGTGTTTGTGTGTTTGTGTGTTTGTGTGTTTGTGTGTTTGTGTGTTTGTGTGTTTGTGTGTTTGTGTGTGTGTGTGTGTTTGTGTGTTTGTGTGTTTGTGTGTGTGTGTGTGTGTGTGTGTGTGTGTTTGTGTGTGTTGTGTGTTTGTGTGTGTGTGTGTGTGTGTGTTGTGTGCTGTGTGTGTGTGTGTGCTTGTGTGCTTGTGTGTGTGTGCTTGTGTGCTTGTGTGCTTGTGCTTGTGTTTGTGTGTGTTTGTGTGTTTGTGTGTTTGTGTGTTTGTGTGTTTGTGTGCTTGTGTGCTTGTGTGCTTGTGTGCTTGTGTGCTTGTGTGTTTGTGTGTTTGTGTGTTTGTGTGTTTGTGTGTTTGTGTGCTTGTGTGCTTGTGTGCTTGTGTTCTTGTGTGCTTGTGTGCTTGTGTGTTTGTGTGTTTGTGTGTTTGTGTGTTTGTGTGTGTGTCTGTGTGTGTTTGTTTGTTTGTTTGTTTGTTTGTTGTTTGTTTGTTTGTTTGTTTGTTTGTTTGTTTGTTTGTTTGTCTGGGGCTATTGAGGCATGGTAGCGGCGACTACATTGGCGAAGAGGTGCCTTGGCCGTGGAAGCTGATGTCCAAATCCCAGGCTTGCTTTGTTCATCTATGTGTTTTTTGTCCTGCGGCTGCTCGTTGAGAAAACCATCCTGCAATGCACAAGTTTGATTCTGTAGCACTGGAAGCTCGGTCTCCTTTGGAAAGAAGACCATGTCACAGCGTCATAGCGCCCAAGAAAACAAGATTTCCCTGCCCTCAATGTGAAAATCCGGAATGATTGTCAACCTTATTAAACGACCTACAAACATTGGCAGCCGTTAGGAATCATTGACGGAACAAGTCGCCATGCAGAAGCAGCGCCCAGTTTCATTCGGCAGAAGCCTCAAATCTGTTTTTTCCTGTTAATTCAAAGCTCGGTTATCCCATGGTTGCGGATCAAGCACGCTAAACGTTTACTGCTGGTATTTGTAATAGCACATTGTTTCCTAGAACCCCTGCCCTTGGCTTTGTATGTGTCAAAATTGGTCCCCAGAAAATGGGGGGATTCTTGGTGCCTTCCCTTTAGACCATGGTTCAAGGGTACCACTAGAAAGCACAAGCACACCTTAGCAGATGAAGGTTGGACAGTCCCAGTCAATTGCGGTTATCCCTTTGATGCTCGATATACAGGGGTAGACTTCTTTGGCAGACCTTTTTTTTTTTGTTAACCTTATTTTGGTGGCGGTTTTTAAAGGAACGCGAAGAGGAACACCACCACTTTCTTTTCTTCTTTTTTTTTTGGGGGGGGGTCCCGGAAAAAAGATATGCTCAAAACGGGGCTCCGCCCCCCGCCAAAACGACGGGCTTTCTGAGCCCCGTTTCTCAGGTGAGCCAGCTGGAGCATGCGCTGCAGGCTGCCGACTTGGCAGCCAGGCGGGGTGGCCAAAGGCGTTGTGGCCAGAGGCGTGGTCCGTTTTTTCGGTTTTTCTAAGGGTTGACTTTGAAAGCTTCACTGTTCGTGGCATGATTTTTTGTTTTTTTGGTTTTTTGGTTCTGTTCATTTTTTACTGGGGGTCTGCAAAAAACGAAGTTTTTTTTGCTACCATACCAGGAGTAGAGATGATTGCATTCTTTCCAACCATCGATCTTTTCGAAAACCGGATCCGTTTCCCTGGGTTTTGGGAGGTTTTTTTAGAAAGATTCGGATCCCTGGAAAGAATGGGGAAGGTAGCACTAGAGTTTTCCGCTTGTGCAGTGCTTAAAACAAACCAAAGATGACTATCCGCTGAACGCCAGGCAAAATTGATGACTCGAGCCGTTCTTGTCAAGTTCCAATGTTCGGTTTGCGAGTTGCTCACAAAGCTCGCGGTAACTCATGTTGCTTACCTCCGATTGTTGCATTGGATTGAAAGGTGACCAGAGATGGATGGCTCTTGGATTCTGTTTCCAACCCCAACCCCCAACCCCCCCCCCCCCAACCTCCCAACCCACCCCCCAACCCCCCCAACCCCGCAACCCCCCAACCGGCCTGAAGGCACAAAAAGCCACAGCAGTTGGCCCCGTGAGTTGAGGTCCGGCTTCGGCTCCGAGGCCACGATCGCGGCGCTGCTGCACGACGTGGGTCACATGCTAGGCACCGGCGGTTTCATTTTTTTGGGGGAGCGAGCGAGTGACCCCTGGCCAGACCCAGTTGATGTGAGTTTGGTATGACTCTTTCGAGGTTTTGAGGGGTTAGGGGCCTTCAATGCAGCACAAAACAACCCTTGCAACCGAGCGAGCAAACGTTTACGGGCAGGTTTCTGTGGACCGGGCAAGGCAAGCAGGAGATGGGCTTGTCTCAAAATAGGGAGTTGGAGCCCCCAAGATGGGGGGGGGTTCCTATAAAGCCAACCCAACAGGGATATACGGAGGCTCACAGGAGTCGCACACCCAGGATGCCCTTCCCGCAGTCCATGTAGGCAGTTTGAGCGGAGGAAGTGGACTTGGTACTAGCATCTGGTGGTTGGAAGGGAGCCAAAGAGCCGGGGGTATCCCAAAAATTCTCTTTGAGGTCTAAGAACCGTCAGGACTTGAATCATTCTCCGCCAAATACCCAGAAAGCCATTTGGGGGGGGGAGGGAGGGAGGGAGGTTGGGGATTTCTTCCAGAGTTGGAGATGGTTTCTTAGCCAAGGAGCCGCGAGCAGTTCGTTCTTTGGACGTAGACTTTTGCCAATCTTTGAGGAAAAAGCGAGGGGAACCAAAAAATGAGAAGCCGCTCGTGTGAGGCCCGAGATGTCTAGAGGCTCCGCTTTGATCTGAGCCCCGAGTTGTTTCTTGTGGGATACATCGTGTACTCGCAACATTGCCAAGCCATCGTTGAAGCCGAGGAGTTGAATCCGCACGGGGCATCGATTACACAGTGTGTGTGTGTGTGTGTGTGAGACACCTGTATACTAGGGTCCTGCTTACTAAGGTAGCTGTATACTAAGACCCCAGGCCTGTTCCGCCCCCGGGGGAAGCGAAACCAAGTGTGGATGTGTGTGTGTGTGTGCCCCTTTCCTTCAACTGGGGGGTTCGTAAGACTTGCCATCTGCGAAAAAGCGATGTTCTTCAGGGTGCTCCAAAAGGGGTGGGATTTTGAAAGGGAAAACCGACAGGGAAACCGAGGCGCCATTTCGGGAATCCGAGTCATATTTCTTACGACACGCCCGATTGCTGGTGCTTGCCCTGTCTTGTTATTGGTGCGGAACAGGTTCGTTGACACAGCTTCAAAACACGCCCAGGGCTGTGAGACGAATCCCTTGCGAAAGCAACCAAGGAAGCATCATGTTTACTTGGGTCTGTCTGTTTTTGAAGGTACATGAAAGGACAACCACCGTGTTACAAGGGTCCACCCCAATTTGCTTTCGCAGGCTAATGCCTTGAGATTGGCAACCACTCCGTGTGTCTTTTACTGGTATCCTTGTCTTCATGGGACGGTTTTGGGGATGAGGAAAACCGCCAATTTTGTAGGTATCATTTTTTTGCGACCCCCCAGCTGCCAGCGGCCGAACGCAAGTCATTGGAACCTCCCCGCAGAGGCCTGGATGACAAGTCCCATGCTCGCATGGAGGTGGCTGAGTTGCATGACGTGTTGATGAGTCTCAAAATAGAGGACCCCCCTCCCCCCCGGCCAGAAAGGCGTGTTGCCTGTTAGTTTACCCCGCCAGAAAGGCGGGTTGTCTGTTAGTTTCCTTGGAAGTCCAGCCAAAAGCCCCCCCTCCCCCCCAAAGAAAAAAACAAGCCCCCATGTGGTGAACATGTCCTTCTGAACGGAACGGTGGAGGTCACGAGACCTCCTTCTGGCTTGACGGATTGATTGAGCAGTAGCTGTGGTGAGGCGTATTTGTTTTGTGGCAGCCACTCATCGTATGCCAATCATGAAGTCCAAACCTTCTTTTTACTGGCTCATGGAAAAGCCAAAAGCCCGACGGCGTCGTCAGCTCGTCTGGATTGAGGACTGCGGCATTGTGGATCACGAGAACCTGGGAGGGCAGTGGCTCTCCCGCCTGGGATTCTCGTCGACTGTCTGCGACCTGGTGGCGCGCCACGTGGACGCCAAGCGCTATCTTTGCGCCATCAACCAGGAGCACTTTGGCCAATCCAGTGAGTGTTTCAGCCGGTCACCTTCCTTGGGTCCCGCCTGCTTTCCCCGATGTTCGACGACGTGTCATATTGCAGGGCAAATTTGGGCGCGTTCCCGATGGCAAGCAAGGACATGTTTGGTTCCTTGGTGGTTTTGTTGAACGGCGCTGGTAGCTCGTTTGGGTTCTCGGACTGATGGGCGCGAATGCATGAGCTCAGGAGGAGCCCGTGAATTCGGTGTATGACCACCCCAGTTGGTAGAAGCCTGCTTTAAATCAGCTACCAAAAGACTCCGCCCTGATCCAAAAGTTAGTCCATGAGAAAGTGTATCTCCAAATGAACCTTCCCCCCCCCCCCCCATTGTGTTTTTCGAAACATATCCGCCCCCATTTGTTGGTGGCTGATGCGAATTCTCCTTGTGGCGCAGGTGGGCATTTTCGCCCAGTCTTTGCTCGACCTAGTGGACCGGAGAAAACGAGAGGAGGGCAATGGCTTGTCCCGGGGAAAGCGAGTTGTAGATTTTGATGCTGGCGAGAGGAGGTCATGTCAGGTTTTGAGGCTCCTCTTTAAAACTCATAGCCAGTCAAACACTTTTGTCCCTGCGTGGGATGAAGGTGGTTCCACCTCTTATTAAAAACAAAAAAACACATCGCCAATTTCAAGCACTGGTTTCGTTCCCACGGATGAATCGAGAGATGTACCGCTCGCTTTTGGCTTCAGCGGAAACGCGTTCCCAGGTACCATGACAACCTGAGCGCTGCCTCGAAGACAACTCTGCGGCATCAGGGCGGGCCGATGACACAAGAGGCCCCCCGGCGTGGAATCTGAAGCGAGGAAGAAGTTGCTGGTGCTCGGGAAGGAATGAGAAATGGAATGACCCCCAAAAAAAGGCCCTCGCTTGTGGGTTTCCTTCAAGGGGAAGCCTGGGTTCACATCCCTGAGCACCAGCAAGATATGCGGGACTGACCCCGACAATGGCCATCGCTTGTATCCTAGGCATCCCAAGTTTCATTCCCAAATCCCTAAAGTTGAAGCCACATGAAGCGACTTTGAATGTTGTTGCAGGGTGAATGGACACCCTCAAAGCACTGAAATGTGAAAAACAAAACAGTGTGCAACATCCTGTTGCTTCTATGGCGGGCTGTGCCCGCAACAGAGCAAATGAAGGAGGCTCCGCAGAAGCAGACCAGACACCTACTTGCAGCATGCGTGCGTTGTCCATCCCATGACTCATGGTGTACCTGATCCTTGCGCTGAGCTCAACATTGTTTTACTGCCTTTATCCTTATTATGCATGCAGATGTGCATCAATCCGGCTGCACTATGTTGCCTGTTCTTTTTTGCCAGCCCAAAGAGCAAGGCCCTTCAGTATGAGCCTGGACCAGTCCCACACCTCGAGCCTTGCCCGCTTTGGATGTGGCACTTCAAATCTCGAGCAAGGATCGCCCAGTTTTGCCCGGCCCTCGTTGGGAGGGCTCCTTGTTGGGTATGTTTCCAGACCCCAGCCATTTGGTTCAACAGCTTTTTTTTTGTTTTTGGATCTTTTTAGCTTTTTGGTTGGTTTCGTGGTTTGGTAAATTTTTAACCCACAAAGAAAAACAAGAAACACGTTTCGTCGCAAAAAAAAAAAAAAAAAAAAAAAAAAAAAAAGCGGGGCCGCCCCCCGTTTCGTTGGGCTCAACCGCCCGCATGTGTCGCCGCTTTTTTTGTTTGTTTCTCGGGTCGGAGGAGGCGAAGAGCTTCGAGCAGCAGGGCCTCTTCAAGGTGGGTATGGGTCAAAACTTTTAACCACCCGGAATTGGACCGCAGGTTTTGGTCCTTCTCTCCATTTACCAGGGTTGGACATTTTGGGGTTACCTGGAACCCCAAGTAGCCACTCTTTTTTCCAGGCACTTTACCCAAAGTAGCTGGAAAATAGTTGGGCAACTGGGGATCTAGGTACCCCATTTTTGAGCCACAGGTGATCATCGCCATGCGGCGGTGGGATGAAGCGGCCAAGGTGAAGGGCAAGGAGGTGCCGGGCCGCTGGGAACCCAAAGCCACGGCTGGTTCCAAGGTGTCAAGCAAATGTTCCCTTGTTCATGCTCTTCAGCTTCAAAATCAATTCCTAATCCTCATAATCCCTCCAGTGGCTCCCCTTTTCGTAGCCTCCCTGCTGGCCAGCACACTGACCAGAACCGTGAGCAACACCCTGACCGCATTGCTGAACAAGCGCCGTCAAAAACTGCCATAGCATCTCCAGCAACCACACAGCGCGCTGATCAGCGCCCTGACTTGCACCCAAAAAACAATCTTGCTAAGAACCCCTAAAGCTTTGAGCTGTCTGGGGAAATAGGCTCTGCCACGTTCAAAACTAACACAGTGTTCATCACCATTGGCGGAAGCAAATGGCGAGACTGAGCTCGGATCCGTATGTCCCACCCCAAAATGGAGCCATAGGTTATGGCCCACGGCCATATATATATATATATATTTACATATACTATATATATATATATATGAAACAGGGATCCCTACAGAGAAGCCAGAGGAAGGTTGCTTCAAGCTTCTTGTCTCAGGATTGGAGGCCTATCGAAAGCTTCTGGAGAAGAACCTTGAGGTTGAGTGACCGCGGCACTCCAAAAAATGCGGCCCAAAGCGGAGCAAAGCGACGTACCACGAACTACCACGGTTTGTGGATTTAGCTGGTCCGCACGGGACAGCAACCCGATGCCTAGCAAGATGGTGTCAACCAGGTTGTGCCTTGAGGCATTCAGACACCTTCTTTGTTGGCACTTGAAAGTTGTTTTTTTCCAAGTTGGGTTCTGCTGTCCTGCGCACTTAGCACCCAAGATGGGTTGGTTTGCGAGGCTGCAACTCAGAGCTTGGCCGCAAACAAGATCAGAGGGTCGATGGATCATGAATTCAACCCGGGCAGCGACACTTCAGGACTCCTGACTCCGCTTGTGGCGCTTGATCCAGTTGGCATTCGCGCAGAGCCGATCCTGGGTATCTTGAGCCGGCCAGTCGATTGGGAAGGGATCCTGGAGGCCCATCGGACCCGGCCGTGTGGCTTTTTTCCCTTGATGCTTGGCACCGAGAGGGTGGGGTGGTGCCGTGCCGTCTCGGCGGCTCGGCGCCGTCTCGGCGAGCCAGGCACAGCCTTTCGGTTTTCCTCCCGGAAGCGAACCTTGGAAAGGAGCGCCGCAGCCGCAGAGAGGTGCCTTGGTTCAGGGGGCCGGGGGTGGATAAGGTGAGGGGAGGTGAGGTAGAATGACACAGAATAGGTGACCCTTTTGGATGGGTTTTAAAGGGAAAAGGAAACCTCCCTTGCACTTGGCGGGCCCCAATTCTGAGAAACAGCCAAAACAGCTCAACAATCGTGCGCTTTGTCAGTGCTTCTCAGCGTTGATCTCGTGTTTCGAGCCAGCGATCGCAGTTTGCAATCCGACAAAAGCCAAATTGCAGCTCCTCAGCAATGTATTCTTTGGTGCATTTTGCTTGGATATTAGGACTTTAACTTTTTGCCAACTAATGGGTTTTCCATTAAATCACTAAAAGTTAAACTTTTAGCAGGGGAGCAGAAAGCAACCAAGTGTTTTTGTATGTCACGGGTTGCGGTATTTGCATGCATGATTTCAACATCCGTTCCCCAGCGCTGTGAATGGCTAGAGTGCCCTTGCCGTGAAGTAGGGCTCTGGAGCCATCTTGCTGGTTGCCCACGATTGGTTGCCCACGTTCTTTTGAATGAGCTGGCATGTTGGATGGCACGAATTCGTGTTGAGTCTTTTTGTGAGTCCGTTGGTGCGGATTTTGAGCATCGGCTTTGAATCCCGAAGCGAAGAGTTTGCGTCTGGGTCAACCCGACTGAGCGGGCGGGGTCCCGACCCCTTCTCATCTGATTCCCCAAAAACCGGATTCCTTCAACTTATCCTTTTGGCCACTTGAAGTCGTCTCCACTGCCTCATCAGGGGGGGTACCTTCCACGACAAGGTTTCAAGAACAGTATAACAAGATATAACAACCAACAACGACAAGATTTCAAGAACAGTATAACAACCAACAACGACAAAAGCAAACAAAAGAAGACTCCCCCGTCTCCCCCGCCTCCCCTGTCTCTGAACCCTCGCTCCCCTTGTTCCAAGCAAAAATCAAGCGCCTGGGATCCGCAGGTGGCAGTGGACGCCGGCCTGATGAAAGTGAACTCCGACACCTCCATCCTGGAGCAACTCATCAGCCCGGGCCCTCGGACGAGAGAGGAGCGTTTTTTTTTTAATCATTATTTTTTCCCTGTGTGGGGCGCCGCTTTTTTTTTTTCTCCGACGCGCAGCGCGAACATCTGTGGCAGGAACGAAAGGAGCATGCCTAAAAAAGGTCGTTCAAGCCTGAACTTTTTGGGAAGATGCGCCATTTTGCGCATGGTTTTACGCCAACGAATCGACACACTTTTTCTGCAATAGATGACCCACGGCCATCTGCATTGCACGGGAGCTGGGGGAATGGCTGGTTGCAGACGAAATAAATGGGTTGGGACCTGGCAACGACACAGCTTGAGACCAACGATAGACCAAGCGCCTGCATAGTGTGGGTGTGCCCTTTTTGTGAGGGGTACTCTTGTTCAGTTTTGGAAGCCAAAAGTAAAACCACCTTTCCGGGTCCGCAATGTTTGACACTCCTTTGATGGGGGCATGGTTGTTGACAGTTCTTCTTCATGATTCGTTGTTTTCGAGGGTTTCGAACCCGAAAGAGTCTTAGACTGTTGTTTGGGGCAGGTCGTTGCTTTGCCTTGGCAAAGGCATGACTAGGCGCCATGTGAATTGGACAGGGGTTCTTTCATGTCCCATTTTGGCCAACTCAAACATCACCTGGGCAGGTTCCTGTTCGGGGTGATATTTCCAGGCGTTATTTAACAAAATCTCGCGGGGTTGTTTACCGAACGGCGGCCAATTGAGGCCGTTGCGTGAGGTGTGAAAATGCTCGTACACAATCACAATGGGAGCATGATCAACATAATTACCCCTGGGTCGCTGGGAGAAAAGGCGGGCTGGGGCAATTCTCTCAAGAAATGTCGCATTGGCCAGTTTAGTGGCTCTACGACCTGGTTTCGTCAAGGTTATAGTAAGGCCTACGTAAACCTTTACATTTGTTACATGTTAGTATGTCCAAAAGTTCAGGGGTTTCGGGCGCTGCTCAAGTGTTTCTACACGACACGAATCAGGGACTACCCCGGCAGCCCTGCCCTCCAACGAAGCGAAGGAAAGTATGATGGCCAAATGGAAAAATGTCAACCGAGAGTCCGGAGCAAGATTCCCATGACCATTTCATGATGTGGCCTTTATGTTTTTTGAGACTTTTGAGGACAGGTGTGTTCATGTGGCTACTGGTGATGTTAAAATCCATAGACAATGGGGCCATCAAGTGGTATGGGTATGACTGTTAGTTGGAGACCCTTCGGCTTCTGCTTCTGGGTTCGCCCCTGTGGCAGTGGCAAGGCCTCGCATCCAGCACTTTGTCTCACAAAGGCGCGGCCGCGATTTGAGCCACGTGCTCAAAACCCGAGGATTGATGAAGGTCAAGGGACAATCTCGATGAATAGCGGATATCCGCCTTCTTAGCTCTTTACATAGTTTTGGGTAGACCATTTTGATACCGGGTTTGATTGTGACTCATTTGGTTTCCCACAGGGTTGATCCCCGATTTGAATCCGGCGGGCCATGACCCAGGATCGTGAGGCCTCTTGCTGCTTGAAACCTGAATATACATATATATATATATACATATATATATATATATTATATATTTAATTTGTAGTCTGGCTTGGTGAGTTTGGGCCTTCAAGCTTCTCATAATTGTTGTTGGACATGATTACATATGTGGGCATCCTGAACGCATGTCTTCTTGCAAGCATAGAGTCATGCATGCAACGACACGAAGAACCCAATACAACTAAGATGTACAGGACACCAGTGTGTTGGCAGGTGAAAAAGCCAGTTTCCAGCACATGAGTTACCAGCTAGCATCCACGATAGATGCGAACGCCTTGCAACACATGCATACGTGTGAGTAATCTAACACTTTGTGACCTTTGATTCGTCACCACTACGTTGCACGCTAAATATTGTTGAGCCACTGTTTGGATCCGTCTTCTTACTAGCACCGACGCTTTCCAGGGATACCAACCAATTCTCTGAACAACAGGGGTATTCAAGATTCACCTCTTTCAATGTGTCTGGCCAAATCCTCCGTGGCTTCAGACCGCGCGGCCACAATAAAGCTCAAGCTGTGCGAATCACCTCTTGCGACCCAAGTCGCCTGGAAATTCGAAGGACCAAAGAGCAGACCGAAACCCGGGAGCATGTCAACGGGTTTCTTTTGGGCCCCAGGCCTACCCTCCCACTAATTCACGTGGAACTTGACCTGGGGGTCTTGGTTTGCACCATGGCCTCCTTTTTTTGAAGGGACCGGAACCCGCGAACGTCTGGTTCCACGTGAATTGGTGTGAGGGCAACTTCACTTGCACAGGCAAGAGACACATCTGCCAGGTGGGGAGGGCTGGCACTCCAGCGCCAGCTCCACCACAGCCAGGGCCCCAGTGCACGGCCATGCGCGTGGCTCGTCTCTTCTTTTTGAGGCAACCCCCGTTTTGGGGTTGGTTCAAAAGGCGACTCGACTAAAAGGAAAGCACCTCAGCCACGTGCTCAAAACCCGGGTAAGTGAAGGTTAGTAAGGGACGAACCCAGCCAGAACTAGCTGCGGATATCCGCCTTCTTGGTTCTTTACGTGGTTCTGGGTCGACCATTTGTGTATCCGGTTTTGATATGTTTTGATTGTGACTCACCGATTTTTTGTGGGTACCCGTGCTTTGGCGCGTACTTGTGTGGCCGTTGCGAAGAGATCAACAGGGTTCCCAATAGAAATTCCATGCCCATGCGCGGGGCCGAGGCTGAAGGCTTTCTTGTTGAGTTTCCGAAAAGTTTACCACATGTTTCAGGGCCATTTAGCGGGATTCCAACCGGGTTCACATTCAGCTGTGCATGCGTTGGACACCCGTTTTGTTGGAACCCTAGAGCCCTTTTGGTCAGAGCGAACCAGCTTCAGATTCGGACAACAAGGTGCGGACCAAATTCTGAGTGATCACCAACTCCGGACGAGCTGAGTTGAACATCAGTAAATCCGTAGGATTTTTTTCGTGGGCCAATTCGCCCCAACCAAATCCGGTGACGAGCTCAAGCTTCCATTTGCTTTTATTTTCCCCTGTTGGTTTTAAGGGGAATCGATTTCACTACTCGAATATTTTCTCATTTCTTTCAGGGGTCTGAACCAAATGGAAGCAAGCAAACTGCGGTGAAGCTGAGCCAATTCCAGGCGTCCTCACCGCCACCGCAGCTGGCGGCCTCCATGGCTTTAAACTGAGAGCCGAATCATTCGGAGAGACTTGCGGTGGGACAGGGCTCCAAAAAAACAGATCTCCATTTTGCAACCATTTGAAACATGTGGCCTTTTCAACACCAAGATAAAGGTTGAAACCACCATTTACAAGTTGCAATGTTCAGGTGTTTTTCATGTAAGGATCCCTGTCGAAATGGGTTTGCCTTCGTTGGGAGGGGTGCCCTTTCCCGATTGTGGGGTAGACTTAGGATACATGTTTTTACATGTTACCAGCGGCTCAAAAGAAAGCACACAGTAGAATATACAGTCTGTAACTGGGCCTAAGTCTAATCATGCCGTTCATGTAGACATGGAAAAGGAGGTGTTTGATAGATGCGGTCAGCCTAGGAATTGGAGTCACCAAAAAAGTGGCCGCGAGATTTGCGTCTTGATGGCCGTCAGCGAATGCCTTTGCCATGTGGTTGCTTTCACTCTGACGACATGTTGGGACCCTTGTCTTACCTCTTAAAAACACAACTTTTCAACTTTTTGGGGGTAACATGGGCTATATGTCTGTCAAAGATCAACTTCCCCAGGGCTTGGAGTTTTAAGGGGTAAGTTGTTAGAACCTGCGGATGCAAAGCAGAAGCCAGGGCTCGCATGTGCTTGGCTCACTTCAGGCTTCTACCCGCCATGCGTGGGAGACGTCGACGGGCAATGACACGCCGCCAGCAGGAGTCGAGCCTCCACGGCTCTCCGCGATCGCTGCAGTCACCATCGATCTCTCATGGCTGATTTAGGGCAGCGCGAGATCCTGCGCAAATGACCTCATCCACCTCAAGATATGCAGTAATCCCTCAGGTCCCCGTTGGAGAATGCAGGATGACTTGATCACCCCACCCCGGAGCGAGTGTTTGTCAAACGATCGACATTTGTGCGCAACTGACAAGCATCAAGTCGGTCTCCCTTGCACTCGTACCGCACTAATTAAGCCCTTTTAATCACTGACCATGGTTGTCGAGGGTGTGGGAGACGCCGGCTGCTTGGAGTGCAAGACATGCGATGAATGAATATATATATATATATACACATATATACACACATATATACATATATAAATATACATATATATATATATATATTTGAGCCAGGCTCACGCACCTGCAAAGTCGCACGCACACCCTCTTTGTGGCAAACATCTCTCCTTCGGGGGCCAAAGTTGGGATCCAGAGAGTTTTCTTCGTGCAGGACAGACGCGGAATCCAGGCGGGGAGCTGAGGCTCGGTGTGGCTGTTGGATCTCTTGGATCTCATTTCCGAGACTCGGAGTTGGACATGGCTCAAAACACATCAGCAAAAAGTCAAAGGCGTTTTTTTTTCTTTGCATGTTCAACCTTCACCCTGGTTTGCGATCGGCAAAGACTGAAGGGAACTCCCATGAGTTGTGTAGTTTGATGTGATGTATGGCGATCCCTCGAGAGAAGTGTTAGGCTGCGTTTCCTGGCGAATCCCTTGTGTTCTTCGGGAGCTCGTTTTGTTTCTGTTGAGCATGTCACCTGGCATCCTGGTTTTTTTGGCCGAGGGCCGAGGGCTCAACAAGAACCGCCCAGCTCGCGGGTCCTTGGGCTCTCGGGGGGGGATGCGCGCGCCAAGGTGAGCGCACCAGGGATTTCGGCACAGCCCGGAGCTCAGGAAACCGATCCGAAGCCGGACTTGGCACGGAGCGCGGGAAAAGAATGGGGACCCCTGGCCTTCCCAAAGCGGACTTGAAGGCTTTTGCGCTCGGAGCTTTGTCACCGGGCGAAAAGCCGCCTGCGGTTTGCCAAACGCCGCCTGGCTTCTTTTGCTCCGAGTCAGGGACTCGGAGGCGCAGGTAAGGCGCAGGCTGACAATTCTGAATCTCAAGGATCCTGCATGGACGCCAATTCTGAAACCTAAAGGCTGGGCCTGCAAGCCGGAAGTAACATATGTTCCGTATGCGAAGAGTGAAGGCGGTTGGGGGGACGATTAGACCTCAGAACAACTAGCCAAGCTGCGCAGACTGCGCACTGTTTGAAGAGTCGCATGTTATGGCATTGGACAGAACATTCCCGATGCACACAGTGGAGATTACGCTTCCTTGTGAATTGGCCGCTCTGCCTTTTTGTTGCTGACCATTTTTACAGAACCATTTTTTGCGGTTTTCGGGCCTTTTGGGTTGTGTTCATGATTTTCTGAACCAAACAGTTCTTGCAGAGAGTCTAAGTCTGGTCATGTGACGTCGCGCTTGCACCAGCCGGACTCGCAAACTCGCAATTTCCGAGGCAGCGGTGGTGGACGCACTGAGCTCCGTCGTGGGTGATGCTCACAAAGGAGAGGTTGGCGCTGAAATGTGCAGCTTCTTTCCTGGTCGTTCGCAGTTTCCTGGTGGTTTGGTGAGCTCGCCACAAAAAATGGCCAATCTAAGGATGCCACTGAACAGAAACGTGTTCAAGGAAATCCCCATAAAGAGGTCCGCGACCATCCATACCAACCGCAGGTAAAGGGTTTTGTTCACCATGGCACATATCAAACTCTTCAGGCATGGAAACTGCTGAAGCTCACATTAGGAGCTTCGACAAGTGCAATAGCCAGGATTGCAAGAACTCCCCGTTTGCTCAGCTTGAAGATTGATCATATTGATCATAGATTGAGTTTTGAGTATGGCACATATACAGGTTTCAGTTCAGTGGCATCCTTAGCTTTGAAGATTGTTCATAGGAGTTTTGAGTATGGCACTTATAATCTCTTTGAGCCAGCCGTAGCTTTGAAGATTGCAGCTTCCCATGGGCAGCATAGACCATGTTTCGTCCAAAAACTGCCGAGAAGCCTTGAAGCGCTGCGCAAGGGTTGCTTGGGAGAAGCCTTGTGAGACATGTTGCAATGGAAACGCCACTTCGGATTTCGTGCCGTTCCAACAAGCCCCTATCCTGCACCCACTATCAGGGTCACTGACACACCAACATCGAAGCAATCAACCCCAAGTCGTGCCAAGACACTTGATCTTGCTCCTGACGGCATGTGCAGGAGCGCGACCATCGGAAGAGAGAAAGGAAGCGAGGAAAGAAGAGAGGAAGCATGAGAGGAAGGACGAGCCCACGGATGAGAGGAAGGAAGATAGGAAGGAAGACAGGAAGGAGGAAAGAAAGGAGGAGAGAAAGGAGGAGAGGAAGGAGGAGAGAAAGGAGGAGAGAAAGGAGGAGAGGAAGGAGGAAAGGAAGGAGAGGAAGGAAGAGCGGAAAGACGAGAGGAAGGATGAGAGGAAGGAGGACAGGAAGGAGGAGGCGCTGGGCCGCGGGAGTGTTATTCTTGTTATGCTGCTTTCCTAGATATTGCACACTGGATTCCCAGCACAACCTTGCAGAACAGTACGGTCACCAGAAGGCTCATTCGCAGATACCAGGGATGGCTATTCCTTTCGACGTGAGTTTTCTGACGCACACATGTGTTTGTCATGTTTGTTTTGTGTTGAGTCAAGCATTGCGGCACCATCATTTTGGATCACTCGGCCACCAACATTTTTGTTCCCTTGCTCGCTATGCGTTTGATTGAGCCGGTGCCATAGTTGTTTGTACCCACTGAGTGAGCGATGTGGATTTTCCTGCTCCATGTTGATGACTTCGAGCAAGGAGTGAGGCAATCTAGATGTTTGTGTGCCCACTGGGTGCAAGATGTGTAGATGTTTCTTCTCCATGTTGATGACTTCGCCTGAGGGAGTGAGGCACTCTACGTTTTGTTTTCCCTTGCGCAGGCGAAGGCTGAGGAAGAGGAAGAGGCGAGGGAAACGGGAAACGGTTCGGAAGCCGCTGAGCCAACTGATGCCCATGTCGTTTGATCCTGCGCGTGTGCTGGGCTTGGGACTTGTCATCGCCCGGCACTCGGAATGCAACTTTGGAGGTACCCTCCCACGAATTCAAAAAATGTAAGTGCACGAAAAAATGTCACGCACAGACCCCCCGCAGACCCCCCTTCAGACTAAAACTTTTAGCCCCTTCTCCGGATACAAAAAAGAACAGCGAGCCCTTTTCGCAGAGAAGGACCCGCGGAACTTGGGGTCGACCTCACTGGGTCAAAATGAAACTGGGTCAGGTTTTAGTCCATGTTTCCACTTGCCAGGGTTCCCAAAATGGGTACTGTGGACGGTTGCGAAACCCATTTCGCAGCGCCTTTCAGACACCCTGGTTTCTGACTCGATTCCCTGCGAAATACCAACGAACGTTATGGTTGCAACCACGGTTTCACAGTGGTGCGAATCGGATTTCGTCCATCCAGCAGCAACCAGGGCCGACGGAAGCCCCGGGGCAAGCTGCCCGCGCTGTCCTCGCCGGGGCGGCCGCAGGCTCGCGGAGCGTGCGAAGCCGAGTCTGGTTCTGTCGGCTTGGCGAAAAAGTGGGCCTGTGGTTTGTTGACTTCCGTTGGCCGAAGTGAGTATTTTACACATTTGACTTCCATGTGCTGAAATGCATATTTTGTGATATTTTTCCAATTTTTCCCGGCATGTTCCCTTCTCGCACGAGCACGTTGCCTCATCTAGGCTGCTGCTTTGAAAGCGCCAAGGTTTGATGGGTGTCGGTCTATCAGTTGCCGCGCTTGCGGCAACCGGTTTGAATGCAAAAGCGCCAAGGTTTGATGGGTGACGTTGGTCTAATCAGAGTTACCGGTTAGGGAGAGAGGGGCTTGCTGACCGTTATGATGTTCAGCTTCATTGTCCTCCTCTCCTTATTCTGCTCATCCTCCTCCTCCTTCTCCTCATCGTCGTCGTCGTCATCATCATCATCATCATCATCACGGCCATTACCGCTCTTTCAAGCCAACTACCCATTTCTTTTTCAATCGATTTATTGTTTGTTTAGTAGTCAGTCTTTGGGTCAATGGGCCACCCAGACAGCGCACAGGAGCGTCATTGGCTTCTTGCAGTCTCGCAGTGGATTGTGATCCGGGTGCGGGTGAGACCCGCTCCAATATTTGGCGTGGTGCCAGAAAACTCGTCAAGAAACGGGACCGGAAAGCCCAGAACGCCTTGAAGAAGGCACGACGCAGCGTCTACCTGCTTAGCCGACAAGCCACCTCTTCATCCGGACTCATTTTGAGTGGAGGTGGGGAAACAGGGGATCTCTCGCTCCGCATCTGCTCCAGCGGTTTACCAAGTCGGCTTGTTCCCCGGCAGAGGGGGGACTACTGCAAAGGGCACGGCCCAGTGAGCATGATAGCCTTCCTAAGCCGAGCCGCAATAAGTTCACAAACTCGCCTCGAGCTCATAGAAGTCTGTACTCCCACCCAATACTCCCCCCTGCAAAATTGCCCAGGTTTAGCAAGTTTTTTTCCTACATTTTTGTTTTTTAAAGACACACACCCACACACACACACACTCAAAGGGTTGGGTTACTGGAACTTCTACAGGACAACCTGATATTTTTTACAAAGTTGCTGTAGCTTTTCCAGTTTCCAAACCCTTTGACACACACACACACCACACACAACCACCTGGGTTTTAAGCCATGGGGCTCCGTTGTCAGGAGCTCCTTCCGCCCTTGCGCGGTGTTGGGCTGGGCTCTGAGAGAGAGAGAGAGAGAGAGCTGGAAGTCCGAAGTGGATGCTTCGGGTGTCAGAATTTTGGAATCCGGAAGGCTCGAAGTCTTGCTGATCTGATTTTCCGGATGCAAGTTGAGAGCTTTTGGATCTGGATCAGGAAGGCAGATTCGTCACAAGAGCGTTCGCACCTTCGCACCCGGCGACGTCTCAGGCTGGGAAGCAGTCTGGGCTCGCATAGCAGTGCTGTGTCTGGAGTGCACACCCCAGAGGAGGCCGGCATGGGCGAGGTGTGACGCAGGGATGGGGAAGGGCCGATGTTTGAGGAAATCGCGCTGATGTTAATGTTGGACTTTGGATTTAACAAACCCCGGTTTATTAAGGGGGTGTTCCCCTCAAAAAGTGAATCCCCACTAATGTTGACCCCGGATTAATAAGCCCCTGTTTACTAATATGGGGGTGTTCCCCTCCACTAAAACCAGGGACATTCCCATATTCCTACACAGGGGTCTATTATTCCGGGGTCAACATCACTGGGACTCAATGCGCAATTGCGCTGCAAAGTTTGTTCCCTAGCGTTCAGACAGCAGATGAGTCACAATCAAAACCCGGATAGATGAAGGTTGGGGCAGTCCCAGCCGGAAATAGTTGCGGGAATCCTTTTCCATTCCTTGCATGGTTCTGGGAATCGACCATTTTTGTACCGATCGGTTTTGAGCAAGTGTCTCAGATGGAAGAAGTTTGGGTGATGGAAGAACATCGGCCCAGAAAGTTGTAGCAGTGGCACGTGCGCCTGAAGCAGCCCTTGCTGTTTTCACACCATCCTGTTGGGGGCTGGGGTTGTTGGGGTGGGCATTTAGAGGAAAGCTATTCTCTGGTTCTGGCAGGCTTCAGCATGGGTTTTGTGGAAACTGTGGTACGTCCATGTGGCCCACTGGCCTATAGGCCGCACCAAAACGAGTACCCTCAACAAAATGACACATGGGTGCGGGTCAACATTAAACTACCAAAAGACTGCAGGTTGTAGTCCATGTGTCCATTTACCAGGGTTCCCAAAATGGGTACCTATTTTTGACCCACAGCCAACATCCCTACAGATAGCAGAGGCATGCGCATGCAGCATGCCTCAAGTCGCCATAAATTGCCGGGGCAGGCTTGGCAGATCCTTGTAGAGTCGCATTGCCGCAAGATGTTGGATTAATAGCAATAGCAATATGACATGTGTGTACTAAGATGAATGGCAAGATCAGGGGCAAAGGGCAGAACATGCATATGTTTGAGACCGAACATTGTCTTTGCGGTAGGTTACGTCTCTGTGCCGTTCCCGCAGGTATCGCTCGGTGAGTCGGGTGGTGCCACAAGTGAGCCACTTGATGAGGCGCGCATGGAACTGACGCCTCTGGTGACCTGAAACGGGCACCTGTCAGTTTGTCTGATTTTACGAGGAAGCCAGAAGGACCGCCACTTCGTTTTGGGGTCCAAGTCCCAAGAAAGGGGGGCCGCACCCACTGGTTGTGGGCGATTCTTCCATCTGGGTGTGGCTCAAACTTAACCAGGAGGGGCAAACCGCAGGCTTTGGTACCCATGTTTCCACTTACCGATCGGGCAACCCATTTTGGAATTCCGGTTTTTTGAGCCACAGCCATCTCTCCCATCGAACAGTCCGGGTTTTGCAGCCCTTCCTTGGGCTGAGTCTGGCTCTGCCTGAGGTTTTCAGGCTGATGATTCGAGTCGTCTTGGTTGATTGGTACGTGTTCCGCCTGTTTAGTCAGCTTTTGTTTTTTTCCAAAAGGGCCCTTGGCCCAAGGGATGTTGGAGTTACTGTTCTGACTGTATCATGTAGATCTTTATTGCTACAGATATCGAGCTCGTTCACGGGGAATCTATCAGCAGCATACCAGCTCTTTTCTGTGGGATAATACCCTCCCCCCGCGGCTCACCCTGTGTCATGGTCTTGAGATGATTCGCTCAGAGGTGACTTCCTTCCGTTTTCGCATGGAACCTAAAACCCTTTCGTTTAATCTTCTTTTTTGGGCTTCAGAGGCTTGTTGGGAGTCCATTTGTTTTGGGCGAGACCCTGGCAGCGGAGGTTGACCGCCAACTTGCTCGACTCAATCGTCCTTCCGGTGGAATGGTTGGCGCATCTCCCAGCTTCGGTTCGATACAAGTCTGCTTATACTTCCCCGTAAACATCGCAAACTCATATCAAGTGGGCCCAAAAGGTGATGTTTATCCAACAGGCGCAAACGTCAGGGCGAGCACCAACCACCGGGCCATTCCGGCACCGAGGTCTGATCAAAACCCCAGCACTTTGGCCGAGGGCAACGACACTCCAGGGAGAAGTGGAGAAACAGGGCAGCCAAAGAACAGGGCAGCAGCCTGTAGCCAAGCGAAAGCACATGCAGAGGACAACTTAGAAGCGGCCTTTGCCGGAGCAAAATCCACGAAAAAAACAAAGCGAAGAAAGGACGAACCATCACACGAAAAGCGTTTGCCGGGACAAACCCAATTCGGGTCAGGCCCGCCCTATGTAGCATGCGGATATCAGTACCGACAGTGCACCAAAATATGTAGCCACTGGCTTGGCTTTGCCGGCTCACAAGAGGAAGTAACCCGGAGGGCCATCACATCCAAGCATTCGAGGAGTCTTGGTGAGGCGGAAGCACACACTGCACGTAGCGCGACAAAGGGCAAGTAAGAGAGGAAGCCCTCCAACTCCGCCAAAGCATATACGAACCGGCCCAGGGCGCACCACGAGAAGCAAGTGACCACCAAAAATGCCCAACATGCTGGCAACTCCACGATACAAAGAATGCCCCACAATCATGAAGCTCATGACGGAGACAAAGCCGAAGCCGAAGGGGGCCGCTGCAAGGCCACAGAAATCTGATGTTGGACAAAGCTGCACACCATACCGACAAAGAAGCTCTCCTGGCCGGAAAGTGAATCACTGAAGATGCAGCGCCCAGGGCGGGTTTTGTGGACGTCCAACCTTCCATCAGAGGAATAGCGGGACCCTGGGGCGCGACTCCCTGAGGCAAATGGCTTTTGAGCCCAGATGCCTAAAAGGTGATGTTTAAATCCACGGGGGGAAAAAACAAACAGGAAACATGGCCTTCCAGGTTCTTGCTACCTTGAAAGGGCTTGACGCCCACTGCGAATCGGTGGCTGCAATTTGGGGTGCCTTTGTCGACAATTGCTAGACTGGGCAGCTTGTCCCAGTATATGCGACTGAATGAAACAAGCTGAGAATGGTTAAACGAATACACGGTAGCGAATGCCGCCATGCAGAAACAAGTAACTTTGACCGTGGCTTTACAGAAGGTGTGTCTTGAAATAGGGGACCCCCCAAAATGCTGGCTTTTCTTTTGGATTTCCTTGAAACCAAACCGCAGTGCAAAGGATACCCTCAAAAAAGACCAGCCCATGGGCTCCGTGGCTCTTCTGATTTGGCTGCAGCTCAAAAACCTATGTACCAAGATGGCGCCTTCGTAAATGGAGCCAAAGACCAAAACCTGCGGTTTGCCCTAGCGCTTTGATTTTGAGCCACACCCATTTGGCCATGGGTCAAAATCAATGGGATCCCATTTTGGGATAGGTGAATTCACCACCCATTTCAGAACCTATTTTAGTGGTTGGATTGGGATGTTCACTGGGGGCTAACCGAGCTTTTGACCCATGCTCATTTGAGAGTCCCACCGATGGGGACTAAGGCTTAAGCAAGCCAGCGCGAGACCAGGGCCAGGCAGCATGCAAGCGGAGGGGCGAATGGTTCAATGTAAAGTTGGCCCCGGATTAGTAAACCCCTGTTTATTTTTGGTGCATTTTGCTTGGATGTTAGGACTTTATTTTTTTGCCAACTAATGGGTTTTCTATTAAATCACTAAAAGTTAAACTTTTAGCAGGGGAGCAGAAAGCAATGAAGTTATGAATATGGGGGTGTTCCCCTCCAAAGGTGAGAAAACAAACACTAAAACCAGGGACACCCCCATATTGATACACAAGGGTTTACTGGGTCAACATTAAAAGCCTCCTGTGTAGGAAGTTTAAGAAGACGTCTTGGGCAGATGAGCTTATAGGAAACGTCTTGGGCAGATGAGCTTATAGGACAGGCATCGGTTTGGACAAGTCCTAATTGTTCAAGAGAGTGTGAGTCTGAAGATGTGTAGCCGGGCAGCCGGGCAGCCGTGAGCCTAGACGACTCCGGGCGAGTTCCGGTAGGCGGTCAGCTCCGCGCACAGCCTGCAGAGCCTTTCTCGCGTGTCCGACGGCGGACGAGGTCGTCGCGCGCCACCCGGGCACGCTGCGCCGCGCGCGGCAGCTGGCGTTGGACACGCAGCCCGATGCTGCGCTTAAGCGCTTGAAACGAGACGTCAGGGAAAGGAAAAGAGGATCAGAAGCAGAACGAGAGAGAGGGAGAGGGATAGAGGAAAAAAACGAGAGAGAGAGAGAGAGGACAAAAACGAGAGAGAGAGAGAGAGAGAGAGAGAGCGCGAGTGTGAAAGGGGGAAGAGGGGCGCTCAAAACTGAGGTTCTTGCATTTTGACACTTCTGCGCCTCGGCTTTGCCGGCTTTACGCACTTAACATACTTGAGCCAACTTAGACAAGCTCGATGGGTCTTGCAGCCAGATGCGCCATTGGCGTGCGCCCCGGCGCATCGATGCCGCAACGCAGGCGACACAGCGAGTAGCTCGCTGCACGGGACGCAGCGCGCGCGTTTCTCGCCAAACTTTGCAGAATCCTGGCGCATCTATTGGACAACGCCAAGCGTTTCACTGTACTATGTGGAACCAAAAGTTCTTGTGTTGCGTCGTGTTGGGCTTTGCCTCCATATATTCTATTTTTCACTTTCTCGACGGGCTCGTGGTTTTGGCTCTTGGGAAAATCTTCTCTTTCCTTTTGTCTTCTACCGCTTCTCTTTGCATGAGTGTTTGTCGTGCTTCTTGTTCATTTTGATTTCGTTGGTCGGGTTCGTAGGAGTTGAATTTCAGAATTTCTGGGCATGGGGATTAGGTCGCTGCTGTGATTCTTGCCTGCTCTTTTTGTATTTTGACAGGACTGTATTGGATCCAATCTGCTTGCTCCCATGCTTCTATCTCCGCCTTTTCTCTTCAGACCTTTCCATGTTTTGTTTTTAACGTTTCTTGTGTTTGATTATCGCTGCTTGGATGTCTTCCCCCGATTATGATTTCAACTCGCCTTCGCTGCGCGGAATTGAGAGGGTGACTTCAACACTTTGTGGCATACGCTTGAGAGTATATACTTCGACATGCTTCTGCAACTGGGGCTGTGAGAAGGAGACCTCCACAATGTGCAGCCTTGGAAATCAATCTCGGATGGTATCGCAACTTGAGCCGCATGGCTGAATAAACGTAACAAGTCAAGACACTCAGGTGTATTCATCACAAGCCTCCCAAAGAGAAGTTGTTTCAGCTGGGTTTTGGGCTTGATTTATGCGTGACATATGACCTGGAGGCTGTGCTTTTCAGGCCTCAGCTTTCCAGAAGCAAGCGATGCCTTTTGGCCGCCAGGCCACAGCTGTAGCCGCAGCCTTGGCATCTGGCCAATCGCGGCAACACGGGATTTCTGGCGATGGCTCACAGGAATTCTCCTTCCCCCACAACAACTAGATCTCTCAGTAGTGCCCTTTTATCCTTCTTTGGGGGAGGGCTCCCCTACTAAAATAGACTACAGAAACAAGGGTACCCTTATTCTAACCTCTCTACTGGAGGACCTTGACAAGTTTCTTTCCCCACACAGTTTCTCAAAGGTCGTTCCTTCTGATTGTGGTGCTCTGGGTCCCGGATGTTGAACCAAATTGCTGTGGATGTCCCGCTTGGCACAAGGTTCCTTTCTGTTTGGGGTTGTTGACTCTAGCATCAGCTTGCGGTTGGCGGCATCTTTAGTTTTTGTTTGCACATGTTTGATCGCCTTGTGGATGCAAGCCGAGCTGACATGGCGTTGATCAGCATTAATTGTGCGTTCAACCGGCAACCTTTTTGTAGCTTTGCGTAGATTCAAGTTGCAACTGGGTCTCAAGCCAACATTGACAGTTTGTAAGCATGTAGCAAGCAACTTCCTGCAGGTCTCAGGTTGTAGCTAGTGTGAGGAATATCATGTTGCAGGGGGCGGGGGGGGGGAGGGGTAGTTCGTGGTTGAATTGGAAATAGAGATGGTTCCTTTTTGACCCAAAAGTGGGGCGGTGCAAAAGAGGACAATTCATTGGCGGCTTCATGAAGCCTATTTTTCTCCAAAAGAGTTGGTTCTTTTGGCCAGCACTTCTGCAATCTATGGAAGCTTCTCAACTGAAGCAAGGGCTGAGCTTTCATTTCCAGAAACACGTGTTTATATCAGGAACTCCACTTGAGACATGAGTCAGTATGAGAGCATTCCCCAAAAAGTCCCGTATGCCTGGTGGGCCAACGCATCAGTTCCGCGTTTTGTGGCACATGGCTGTGGGTCAAAACCAATGGTACCATTTTGGGGTAGGTGCACCACCCATTTTAGAACCGATTGGGATATTCACTGGGGGTACGGGATTTTGACCCCATGGCCACAAGCATCCAATGTTCAGCCATGCTCCCAATTACCTTCAGCATCATGAGAGTGCACAAGGGCGCCACTTTTTCCTGGAATTCGCGTGCTTCAAACAGTGTACACAGATGTGGGTGTCAATTTTTGAGGGTACCCTTTTCAGGTTGGATTAAAGGAGGACACAAGGGAAGCTGCCCTTTTTGGGAGTGCCCAATCTCTCGTTAGACCCCCCAAAAAAGGGTGAGTGATTGCCCTCGTGTTTTTGCCTCAAAAGCCGAACGACCGTCATGTGTCCCGCAAGAGAAAAAAAAACAAGGCGCCGCTTTTTTTCGTTTGAGGACTCGGCATCGGAGGCCTCTGAAGGCGGGGGTGTGAGCCAAGCACAGCTTTTCGGTTAGGAGGAGCCCCAAGAAAAAGGCAAGTCTTGTGACCCACGGTGTAGGCTAAGTCACGGGAAGCCCAGTTATTTTTTTGTGCGATTTAGATACGATTTTGATATGATTGGAAAATATGGTTTTGTTACGCCGGTTTTACGATATCTTTTACGATATGGGATCAGGAAATTGGAATTCGTTTCAACAAAAAAAGTAAACTAATGGAAATCGTATTAACATCGTATTGAAATCGTATTCAATTTGTATTAAAACCGTATTTTTGCGATTTTAACACGATTTCAATACGATTTGAATACGGTTTCTAATACGATTTTAGTACGGCTTTTTGCACCCCTTGCTTTCAAGTGCATGTCCAATGTGTAAAAAAAAACGTAACAAAAACATAAATGTTACAGGAGTCGTATTGAAATCGTAAATCCGAATCGAACCAAAATCGTAATGAAAACATAAAACTAAATATTCAGGAAAATGCTAGTTAGGCTGACAGCGTAGGTCACAAGGCAAGTCTCCACTTTGGTGCATTTTGTTTGGATGTTAGGACTTTAACTTTTTGCCATCTCATTTGGGTTTTCCATTAAATCACTAAAAGTTAAACTTTTAGCAGGGGAGCAGAAAGCAACCAAGTCCAGGTTTTTTCATTGGTGGGAGGGTTTGATGTAACCTGTCTGGTGTTTTTCTTGCTGCCGTTGCTTAAAGATAAGCTCCTTTGGGCTTCCTTTAAAGGTATTGGGAACCCCAGAATATGCCGCTGGTTGATTGGGGGTCCCATTATGCTAGAGATTCATAATGGGACATTGATTGGTTCGGTGTCAACATTATTCAAGACACCACAAAGCAGCAAGACTCGCTATGTTGGGAGGTGTCGGCGGTCAAGGCCGAATTCGCAGTATGAACAATGATGACGTCTTGATATGGGTTTGTGGCAAAAGGAAACCCGAAAAGGCAACCACCTACTCTGAAGGTCCCCGTATTTTGAGACAAGCCCATATTGGTTGATGTTTGGCACGTTTCAGTGGTCTTTCGGGCGTGGGATGCAAGGTGCTCCTGGGCAGTTTGGACAGCATGGATGGCACCTTTGCACGGCTCAGCCGTGCAACTGGACATTGGTAGCAGAGTATCCCTGGATAATGTCCGCCTCTGATTAATAAATAGGGCCCCCCCCCCGCTGAATGCCCCTAAATAAAGTTAAGGGGAAAAATCAGGGTCGGGACAAGTTTAGAATGTGTTTTGTATTGGGCTCTGTTTTCTTAGTTTTCGAATACTACTTTAGAATTGGGCCAATTTAAAGTAGTATTGGGCATGTTGCTTTTTCTTATTTTGCTTTGGGGGGAATACTAGTTTAGAATTGGGCCAATTCTAAAGTAGTATTGGGCCAAGAAATTTTGCATGAGTGGGAATCAGCTTAGCTTTATTTAGGGTCAGGAATTATTTAGTGCATGAGGCTTCATGGGGGGTAGCATTGCTGGCAGGGTCAAGTTGTGATTGTTGAAGGTTTCCAGATAAAGAATTTGATGAAGGGAATCACTCAATAATTTTGGGATCTGATGGAATTGGAATCATTTTTTGATGAGCCAGCTTGAATGGACAGCTTGCCCCTGAATAAAGATAAGAGAGCAATTTTCGATCAGCGGGAATCAGCTTAGCTTGATTTAGGGTCAGGAATTATTTAGTGCATGAGGCTTCATGGGGGGTAGCATTGCTGGCAGGGTCAAGTTGTGATTGTTGAAGGTTTCCAGATAAAGAATTTGATGAAGGGAATCACTCAATAATATTGGGATCTGATGGAAGAATCATTTTTGAGCCAGCTTGAATGGAAAGCGTGCCCCTAAAAAAAAGGATCAGAGCATTTTTTGGGGGAAACATTTAGCTTTGTTTAGGGGTAGTCTATTATTTGGTTTGGGAAAAAGTTTAGCTTTGTTCAGGGGTAGTTTACTAATCGTAGGTGGACATTACTGCCGCTGTATGGCGACGTCAGGTGCATAGCTTGGGCAGCGGTAGTGAGATATGATGCCGTGGATGATTCTTCTCGTCTACGTTTGTGGTCCAAGCGCCTCCTTCGAGAAGCACGGAAGCTGAGACGCTCTGCAAGACTTCGTCGATGCAGCAGCTTTGTGTCCTGCACCTGAACGTTGACGTCTGGCTGGCAGCGATTTGGAACCAACCTGTTACATCTTGTGCACGAGGTTTGGGAGTGATCTAAAAGGCTAAAAGCAGGTTGCCCAACCTGACATAATTAGGGCTTTCCGAGGCATCAAAGCACACACACACACAGACACAACATGCACAAGCCCGCTCATTGGCAAGCTGAGTACTGTAGCTTCGTCAACTGAGTGATTTTGGGGGTATGACCTAGCTGACCTTTCTTTGTGGCTCTGCACTAACCCTAAACCATACTGAATCCACCTTAAATCCACCTATCCTAAATCCCTAAACCTCATCACATCTGTTGATTTGGGGAGAGTAGAAACACGGCCTACCCACCCTCTCCGACCCCGTGATGGAGCCTGCCCAGGTGTCCCAGGTCCGCGAGAAACCCCGCGCCCACCCACCCACCCCACCGACCGACCGACCGACCGACCGACCGTCCGACCAACACGTGCTTTCGTATTTTAGAGCAATCGCCACCTCACGTACTTCTGAGTTCCCCAAGTTCCACAAGTCATTCAGAACTCCAGAGCCGATATGGGCAGAGGAGCTTCATGCCCATGATCCTAGCTTTTGATTGTCTTGGCCATGCCACCCGTGGCGCCTGACATATTTGTTCAGTGGCGCTTGGCTCACCACTCAGACATCAGCTGCAGGTATATAATATATACATTTTTTGTATGTATACATATTTATTTATTTATTTATTTATTTATTTTCGGGGACGGGTCCCCCAAAAAAGATGAGCCACCCATGTGAAAGTGGCTCGAGGCTCTGGGGACATCGACCTCTCCGGCCGGAACGCAGGCAGCAGCCCAGGCGAATCGAGAGTTTCTCACGCGATCGAAGGCTTTGGGCAGCGCTGGTCCCGAGGGTCGAGGAGCTCCTAAAAGAAGCGAAGCTCGAGGCCAAAGGAACCTCAGTTTTTCTCGCACAGCTCAAGTCCTATCATATTTGTGTACATAGGTGTCCTTTTTAGGTGAGCCTGGTTAAACATAGATGGGCTCTGGTTTAGATGGGCTTTGCGGCCCATTTACCAGGGCCGGGCGCCTCCGGCTTCACCTCGCCACTGAAAGCACATGGACTTCCTTGGCATCCACCGCATGTTCTCGGGCGGGCGTGTTGCGGAGCGCTGGTCCGGAGCTTTCCAAGATTCTGCTGGCCGTCGCTGGTCAAAGGCAGAAGAGTCTCTATGTCACCAATATGTGGACACAATGGGCACGACAGAGGCATGATGCTGTGGATGCACTAAATCCATTTCGCACCATGAAATGAAGCCATGGTTGAAACGATGACGTGAGCTGGTAAGTGCAGGGGGAGTCATCAGACACCAGGGTTTCTTTGGTGGTGCGAAATGGATTTGGCCCATCCGCGGCAGGTGTCCTTTGGAAAGGTTAGCTTGGACAGAAATTGATGGTTTCCACTTTAGATTGGTTTTTATAAACCATTTGCCAAGGACACCCATCTATTAAAAAAAATATCACCTGCGTGAGAGGCTTGTCAAATGCTGATTAATCATGAGCTGCGTAAGCCTCCTTGAGCTTTATATGTGTATATCATGTATATAATATGGCCTTCTCGTTGCCGACGAGTACATGCAGGATACCCGCACTCAATGTTTTGCCGTGATTTCACATCTTTTGCCCCAGGCCCCCTCCTCCTACCTTGCACACACTGTGCCACGCAACCTTGAAGCTAACAGGGAACTGAGGATGCCACTCGAGTGGGAACTGCCTGAAACTTCTGACCCATCTCGGAGAACTTGGCAAACACTGGCCGTGAGTGCAAGGATGTACCCTCCCTCCCATCCACTATCATGGGGATTTGGAGGAGGGTAACCATGTGAGCAATGTGGGCACAGGCGAGCAAGGAAGTCAACAAATTCTGGCGCTTGGCATGAGAAATTACTGTACAAATGGGATGTGAAGATTCAGTATGAAATTCTGCAACGAAGGCGGAAGCTGATTTTCCTTTGGATAGGGATAGAGAAGAAACAACTTGAAATCGTTGCCGCAAAAAGCGCGCGGCATAGAATGCCACACTGCACAACAACTGCAACAACTGGGTTTTGGAACACTTGCCAGCTGGCGTCATAGGCGTCCTTTTTGGCTGTTTTGCTAGAAAAATAGAGGGCCCTGGTTTACCTGGTGGTTGAATCATCTACCAGGGCCATCTATTTCCCCTAAAAGGACACCTATGGCTGGCGTGCGTTGTTTTGGGTGTAGGAGCTCGGGGCGGGAACACAAGACTGGGAGGCGTAGGCAAATATGGTCTCCAACGATCCCCGCGACGGGTTTTTCTTTTTTGGTTTCCCTTGAGGGTTGCGGGATCACTCGGGGTTTATCCCCACTTCTGCGATACAGGGGAATCTCCCTGATACAAAGGAATCTCCCCTTTTTTTGGGAGGTTGGTCTTTGGGAAGCGACTTCCTGTTGTATCGCTATTGTTCATGGGGTTGATTCCCCATTCTTTTCAACCATCGTTCTTCCTGAAAAGACGGATCCCTGGAAAGAACTGGGACTGTAGCCCTGGAGCTGTGGTCACTTCCCACAGCCCTGCCCTTGAGACCTCTCCAACGAACGGCACAACGCCACGCCGTCGATAAACAGGTAGCTCCTTGGCCGCCGGCCCCGCGAGGGCGCCGCAGGCGGGGGTTCGCCGCGCATGTTCCATTTCTTCCAACGACGGAACTGATGACCCTGTTTGCCACAAAGTGGGGGTTTGCCGCCATGGGTCATTGACTGCGCAATTTGGTTTGACACTTAATTGTCACATTGAGATGTACAAGAAACAGGTGCGGCTGGAAGTCTATATGACTCTCTCCTTCATCATAGTGGTTTCTTGCACCCTCCCATCCACGCTGCCGCATGGAATGGGGTTCCTGAAAGACCATTTTCCTCGCTAACGTGGACCCTTTGGTGGGTTCCTAACGTGGACCCTTTGGTGGGTTCCATATCAGTGAACGGGAGGGTATCTTACAATTCAGGACGGTCAAACCATGATGGAATTGTAGCCTGCTGTTCAAACCAGTGACAGCAATGCACGTGTCTGGAGCTGGAGAGTTGTGTGATTTCGGCGTGGCGTTCGACTGACTTGATCTTGGAATTGCATTGAGCGTACTGACTACAAGAGCTGTACTATAATGTACCAAGTGTTATGCATAAATACATATTAAATACATGTGTATAAATATATATATATATATATATAAATATATATATATATATATACACTGTTACATCAGTTGTTGAGTCTTGTTGATCCAATTAGACGCAATTGGGCCCGCTTGGGTCGGAGGGCTTTGGATTGCGACGTTTTGGATGTGGGTGTCCTGCTGTTTGGTTGCTCAGGCAGCGCCGTCTTGGATGTTGCTCATGTCTCTGATATTTGCTCGTTCCTTCAAGATTCCTTCAAAATGGTCCATTCATTTTTTGCTTGAATGGCACATTGATTTGGCCTGAGAAGCTTATGTCGATAACGGAAATCCTCGGCTGGCGTTTCTACCATTCCACTTGCGTGTGTTTCTAAGTATAATGTTGACCCCGGATTATTGATCCCCAGTTTATTCCCTGGTTTTAGTGGGGATTCATCACTTTTGGACGGGAACACCCCATATTAATCAACTGGGGTTACTCAGTTGTTCACTGGCACCCTTTTTCCATTTTTTTTGGTGGCTGCCCCACTAAACATGGTCTTCCCCAAAAAGGGTACCTTTTTTTTACAGGGTCACTGAACAACTGAGATTAACATGGGGTCAACATCAGGGTGGCAGTCGCATTCCAGGAGGACGATGGATCAGAGGCCGCAACCGAGAGAGACGAGTCACGGAAAATAGGGGGCGCGGGGGATTGCAAAGAGTGGCGCCTTTGGTCCCGGAAGAAAAAGGGTGCAGCAAATGAATGCGCAACACATGCTTTTGGGGATTCGAATCTGAGAGGGGTCCACCCTTCCGAAGGGCCGTTTTTTGTTTTTTTTGTGTGTTGCACGTGCAAGAGGGGTTAAACAGGTTTCCGGTGCTGGGTCTCGCTTGATAAGGCCGACCTTTTTGGGCCTCGTTTACCTCATCGCCCCGAGAGGTGGACCTTGTGGGTGTTTTGGCCCACTGGGATTTGGGACATTTTCGGCTTCCAGCCAGGTAGAGGAGTCCATCGAAGAGCAGTTCAGCACGGAGCTTGGAACGGGACTCATTCTCCCGGGAGCCGGGCAGTTCTGGTCATTTTGTAAACCCGGAAAGTGTGCCAGGGCTCCTTAAAAGATACATTTTGCAACCATTTGAAACATGGCTTTTTCCATGCCAGAATAAAGGGAAACCACCATTTGCAAGGCAATGCTCAGTTTTTTTTTTTTTTTTTTTTTTAAATGTAAGGATGCCTGTGTGCTGGGGCCCATGCGCAGTCCTTTGATTCCAAAGGCGTAGGTGCCATGGCAGACACCTCGCATCACCAAAAAGAATGCCCGGGATGCGCCCTGCAACAGGGCACCGTGGGTGCGCCCTGGTTGTGCTTCCCCAAGGGTGCCATTTTGGTACCACTTTTTTGAGCCACAGCCCACTCGCAAACGGTATCAGCGTCAGAATTGCCAATAGCGTTGACAAGTTGACAAGCACACCGTGCAGCCTTTTGATTTGCCTGAACACTAGGACTGGCGCAGCCATAGTGTGATCAGCACGGTACTGGAGGAAGCAAGCAAGACATGTCAGTCATAAGAGGTCTGACAGTAGCAATGTAAAGGGGTCGGCACCACCAGCAGTAACAAATCTCTACCCAGGTGAGGCCTTTTTCATGTGAAGGAGATTAAGATGCAGAGGAATACCGAGGCAAAAGGAGATGGCCGTGGGTCAAAACCGTTCTGGAATCCCATTTTGGTTGGTAGGTGAATTCACCACCCATGTCAGAACCTAACTTAGTGGTTGGACTGGGATGTTCACAGTACGATTAGGATTTTGAATGGCCAAGAAGCGCAGCTCGAGGCGAACTGGAAGCCTTCGAAGAGGCAGAGGGGGTAAGACGCTGTCGGAATGACGCTGTCCTCCTTGAATTCTTGGCTCCCAGCCATCCGGTTCCTTAGCCTTTCAGCTTTTTAGTGTGTAGTGGGGCTTTCCATTTCGCCCACCAAAAGATATTCACTTTTAGCCGGGGATCTGAGGACTAGAATTGGTTTGGCTTGGACTTGGAAGGAATAGATGTCCAGAGCTTGGCGATTTATGATTGAAGTGCTGAAAGTGGTGGCATGCTTGCTGGGGAAGACATGTTTGATCGTAGTTTCGTTTCTCGGTTCTCGTCGCCCGGATCTTTGTGGAGTTTCCCGGGATGAAGGTGTAGTGCCAAGCCTGCGAGACCCGCTTTGCATTCGCTTCATCGCAGCATCACGCTCGTCTTCGCGGATTCGCCTGCGGATTCCCCAGCAAAATGCCGGGAGCCCCCCGTGATTGAGGTGAGGCAAGCTTAGCTTCCCTTCCCCCGCTTCCAACCGCTTGTGGTTGGGGTCATCGCTGGTGCTGCGGCAGTTTGCGCTCCCAGCAGACCTCGACGCAGGTGGAGCAAATTGTTTGGGTCCTTGGCGCATCGGAGCTGATGAGATTCAAATAGCGAGCATGCTGCTGGTGCTGGATGGTCCTCTATGGAACGTTGGTGAGGTACGCAGCACGAGAACCGTTGCGAACGGCTTCAACGTCGAAACGCGAGATAGATATGTTTTCAAGTTCAAGGCTTGGGACTCAGGCGAGCCATTGTCATGACGACGTGATCTGCGTAATCTACGTGGTCGAGAGCAATGACCGTGGATTGAATTGGGGCTGCTCGTGAAGGGCTTGACAAGATGATGCGGGTGGAGGGTGTGAAAGATGCGGCGCTGCTCTTGGCAAACATGCAGGACCCGCATGCATTGACCCTGGAAGAGGTCACAGACAAGCTCGGACTTCAATCGCGCCGCGGGTTCCGTCTCCAAGGGCGGGCCGTGGGATGCCACGATGCGAAAGGCTTCCCAGAGGACTGACATTGGGATGGCGCATCTGGTTTCTTAGCTTTTAGACTTTTCAGAGTTGAGTGGTAGGTTGCCATTTAACCCACCAACTGTTAAACTTTGTCGCAGGGGATTTGGGCAGCCCAGGTTTTGTATTTTCAGCTGGCGTGATGCGCTCCCAGCATGCGCGCGCTGATGGCCGATGGCTATGCCTTTCATGTTGCCGTTGCAGCTTTGAGCGAGAGAAAAAGGACACCCCACGGACAAAGGACATGTTTGGGTCTCCGGGCGCTCTGACGTGACCAGGGTCCTTTGCAGTGGCTCGTGCATTCTTTGGAACATGTGCAGTGTCTTCCGATTGGTACAGGTCTGAGAAGCCAGCAAGCCCATTTCCCGTTTGCCAGGCTGACAGCAGTGGCGACAGGTTTTGAGACGGCCTGGCCCACGCGCCTTGGCAAGTCGCGAGCTCTTGTTGACAAAACAGCTCAATGTCAGATGTGCACACACAGCGGAGTTGAGTGCAGCAGGCAGACAGGAAGGATTTTCCAGACAATTTTCTGAGATATACTTTCCGTGATCTTGATACCAAACTTGCTTTAGCATGTGCTGATCTGCCCAGTTTAGTTAGTCACAAGCATGAGCCCAATTTGAGCTATGGATGGCACTTGAACTACAAGCCAATTCCAATCGAGGAGCACAACATCGTTCTCTTTCTTGTTCTTGTTTTGGGCTAAAGCGTTAACCGTAGGTGGTCGCTTGTCTTGACTCTTAATAAGTATCCACTTGGGCCACCATTTTGGCTCAAGTGGACCTTTTGATCTTTGGTCTTGTGATTTGAAATCTTTCTTTCCCCTCTCTCAAAGCCATGTACGCCCCCGCCTACGCCGGTGCCGCGGTAGCAGAGGCTAAGGCTAAGGCAAAGGCCTCCATGGCAAAGTACCTGGCGAGCCTCGTGAAGAGGGAGGAAGAAGGATGGACCGTTTTGGCTGCCGAGGTCCCTCAGGCACCTGACGAGCGTTTCTTCTCAAGCGCAGATGAGCTGGAGCAGACCCCCCTTATCCCGGCCAAGCGCAAGGCAGAGGATGAGCCGATGGAAGATGCAGCCCCTGGGGTGGCGCAGGTGCCGAAGGCCCTGACACGCCCCCCAGGGGCGTTCCTGGAGCTCCTGAACCCGCCGGAGGAGGACGTGCCCATGGAGGAGCTCCGGGCGCAGGACGAGAAGGAGCTGCCGATGCCCAGGTCCCCCTCGGCTGCAGCCCGCTTGGAGGAGACCCGCCTGGATGCCCGGGCAGACGCCAAGTGGCAGAGGCGCCGGGAGCTGATGGCGAAGGTCAAGGAGCAGGCGTCCTCGGAGGAGGATGAGAACCCCGCAGCCCCCCCGCCGGGGGGGAGCGTGTTCACCAAGGCCCTCAAGGTCTCGGAGGGCCTCTACCAGTTCAGCGACGACCAGATGGCGGGCGACTTCCCTTGCTTCGATGCGACCACGGCCACTATCCGCCGACTGCAGGCCAAGGACGTCCAGCGGCTCCTGCGAGGCTTTGAAAGCCCCCAACTCAATCCTAGGACCGAGGCACCTCCATGAACGATGTCCAGGACAACCCTTCCTCCTGGACTTAGTGTCGCACTTGGCATCCCTTTCAGGTGACCCTGATTGGGAATTCCCCCTAACACTGAAAGAGGGGGTCCCCTTGGGAGTCTCGGACCCTAGTTTGGCCCACTAAGGAGGAGCTTAAGGGAGAAGCCTGGCTGGGGGAACCCCCCCCGCCAGTGGCTCATGGTAACTACCCAACGGCTGAACTCTTTGCCAAGGAAATCGAATCAACCTGTTACGAGGAACGAGCCTTGGACATGGTGGACGGGCCCTTCACTCGCTCCGAGGCGGCAGAGAGGTGCCGCTGCAAACCGGAGGAACTTTGCCCGGGCCCCCTTGCAGGGATTGATGAGTCGGACAAGATCAGGACGATCTATGATGGCTCAAAAGGGGGAGCAAACGCACACATCCAGGCTCACACGGAGGAGAAGACCACCGCACCGATGGTTGGAGACTGCCTCCATGCCATCCACTGGCTCAGGACAGCGGCGGACCATCCTCATCTACTCCGAGCCCCATCCTCGGGCACTGATGAGGAACCTCGGGATGTTCGCCAGCCGGTGCCCCTGATAGGGGCAGGCGGATGATGGAGACCTCAGGCGGCCTGGACGTCTCTCAACACCCTCAGGGAAGGGGCCACTCCCAGGTGCCGAGGGCCCTGATCGGAGGGCCCCATTCCCCCCAACCCCCCCAGGCACGGAACGCCCGGGGGGGAGCAGGGGGGAACCCCTGACGTGGCAGCCGCCGACACAGGGGGAAACCTTCATCATCCTCAAGGCGGATGTCACCAAGGCCCACAGGCGCATAAAAGTGCTCCAGAAAGACTGGAAATACCAGGTGGCCTGCATCCAGAACCGGTGGTGGGTCAATAGAGTGGGCACGTACGGCATGGCCTCGGCACAACTGTACTGGGGAAGAAAGGCATCCTTGGTGCTCAGACTCTTGTACTACATCTTCCCTCAGGTAGACTGGCACTTAGTTTTTGTGGACGACTACTGCTGGGTCCTCAGATGCAGCAGGGCGGACTGGGACGCCACAGCCATCCTGGCCACTCTTCTGGCGCTGGGAGTCCCGCTTTCTTGGAAGAAGACGGCGCTCTCCCCGGTCAATACCTGGTTGGGATTCGTGGTGGACCCAATCACGCCCTGTGTGCTGCTGGCTCCAGTCAAGCACGTCATAATCCTGGCCACTCTCAAACGGCTGGCCCAGGGGGACATCTTTACCAGCAAGGAGGTGGAACAAGCCCTGGGCCGGATTCAATGGGCTACTTCGGCGTGTCCATTGACGAAACCTTTCCTCCAGCCCTTTTGGAGCTGGAAGAAGGCCTGCACCACTTCGGGCAGGCCACCGAAGCTGGTTCGTGCTCTGGCCATCCTTCTGGGGAAGCTCTTCAACCAGAGGTTCCCACTGGCATCTCCATTTGCTCCCACACTTCCATGGACGGGGGCATCTGATGCGGGAGCTGGCAAACAGGCGGACCATGCATGGGTTGGTGGTTGGTGCTCGGACGTGCCCAACCCCGACAAGTCCCGAGTGAAGTGGTTCCAACACAGAATCACACCGGAGGGCGAGCCGTGGGCCTTCACTACTGGGGACCCGCAGCGGGCGATAGCGGCCTTGGAGCTCTTCGGCCTCCTCCTTTTGGTGAGGGCTGTTCTGCTTTGTGCAGCCGGCTCGGCTTCTCACACTAGGATTCTGGTTGCTAGTGATAACCAGGGAAACGTTTTCTCCCTGCTTAACGATTCCACTCGCAGGATGCCCAATGCGGCCATCCTCATGGAAATTGTGTTAACACTGCATGACCACCAGGTCATGTTAGGACCGTCGCATGTGAAGCGCGACTTTAACACATGGGCGGATGAACTTACTCATCCGGACCCGCAATTTCCGACTGAGAACCGGGTCTTCCCCTCAGTCGAAAGCGAATTGATCAAGCTGATCTTCGCTACTTTCCTTCCTCACCCATGATGCCGGGAGGGCATCCGGTGAGGTGGGAGGATTCCTCCCTCGCTGTGGGAGTGGCATCAATTCTACTCCCATCAGCTGCTGAGGGGAGCTGCCCAGTGGAGCTGGGCAATCCTCCCATTTTGGCACTAATCCTTATGCGGCGTAAAGGATGCACCGTTCGCGATTAAGGTACCAGTAGCACCAATGTGGTGCTTTGAAGAGTCTTCTGCTTCTCCTTCTCCTCCTCCTTCTCCTCTTCCTTCTTTTTGTTTTGCCTCGCTTTTTCGTTTCACTATCTGGTCTATCTGTCTCTATCACTATCTCTATCTCTCCTTCTCTCTCTCTCTCTACTCTGTGTCTATTTTTTTTTCTCAATGTTTCTCTGTTTATCTTTTTCTTCGTTTATCTCCATTTCTTTGTTTCTCTCTTTCTCTATTTCTCATGTTTTCTGTTTCTCTTTTCTTTGTTTCTCTACATTCCTCCATTTCTCTATCTTTCCAGTTCTCCATTCCTTCATTTCTATAATTCTTGTTTTTCTCTATATCTTTCTTTCTCTCTTTCTCTATTTCTTTATTTCGCTATTTCTCTACTTGTCTATTTCTCGTTCTCTCGCTCTCGCTATCCTCTCTCTCTCTCTCTCTCTCTCTCTCTCTCCTGTATCTCTTTTGCTCTCTCTCTCTCTCTTTCTCTCCCACTCCCACTCCCACTCCATCTCTCTCTCTCTCTCACTCTCTCTCGCTCTCTCTCTCTGTCTCCCTCCTCCCTTTCTCTCTCTCTCCCCTCTTTTTCTCCCTGGCTATTGCTTTGAATTTGTGCGTGTGTGTTTTCTGTTCGTCCAGGTCCAGCCCTATTTGTGTGCGCACAACCTGGCAAGAAGGGACCGGAGGATGGCCACCGGGTTTGGGTGTGACTTTGTGAGGGAACGCTTTTTGGGTCGTTTGTAAAAGGCAAATCAAAGGAAACGAACCCAGTTTTCTATGGGTTGATTCCTTCTCCATTCTTTTCAGCCATCGTTCTTTTCAAAAACCGATCGCCATTTCCCCAGGGTTTTTGGGTGGTTTTCTAGAAAGAAGGATCCCTGGAAAGAATGGGGAAGTTATCCCTAGAAGTTTGGGCTTCCCTATTTTGAGACTACCCCAGTTGGTTGTGCTCTTTGTTCCTGAGGGACATGAGCTACGCGGCCTCAAAGTCTGGGTGAAACCGTTAAACCCGTGGCCGGGTCGCTCTCAAAATAGACACCCTTTCGGGCGTTTTTTTTGTTGGTTTCCCTTTAAAGCCACAGGGTCTCCTCCATGTCCCTTTTTGGAACCTCCAAAAAGTGTTTCAGTTTCAGGGAAACGAGCAGTACATTGATCACCTTTATGAGACAAATGCAATGACCTCTGAACACACCTGCCAAACAGCGCTGCTTTTCTAGGGTTGATTCCCCATTCTTTTTAAACATCGTTCTTTTCAATCACCAGCCGTTTCCCCGGGTTTCTGAAGGTTTTCTAGAAAGAAGGATGGAGAGAATGGGGAAGTGCATTTTGCTATTTTGCCGCCGAGGTGACCCGAGGTCCTTGTATTCCTATTAAGCCGGCAGCGGCAGGGCGCAGTCGATGCGCGAGATGCTTTGCATGGAAATGCACGGCACTTGCTCTGGATTTGGGGATCTTTTATTTTTGTCCACTTGGATCTGGTTTTGCTTCTTTTTTGCAACCTACTTGAGCGGTTGCTCTGTTGGGATGTAACTTGGGGCGCCCCCCAGTGTCATGATGCCTGCTATCCCCGCCTTGACCAAACTGCATCCGCACGGGACGTCCACAAAAAAGGCATTTCCATCCGTGAATGGCCCTGCACGCTGTCCGAGCAGCACCGTCCTGACCTGGGGCTGAAAAGAAAGTGCCTCTGGGTCAAGAGGAGAGGTCGCAGCTCAACAGAGGGTTGCTCTCTTGATGAGGCACAAGTTGGATGTGGGACTTTGTGCCCTTTGTGCTTTTGTGCCGAGCAACCCTCGAACATGTAACTTGCATATTTACACTCATTTGTTTTGCCCAATTGAATTTCACCAGATACCAGAGCAGCACTCTGAAGCAGGCGATCGAGCTTTGCGAGTGCTTTTCTGGTTTGGACATGTACCAGTAGCAGCATCTCCTGTGTGGGAGAATTTTTGTGTACCGTGACTTCAGTGCAAGCATTTGAGGTGATCATTTTGCCAGCTGCTTGGGAGTATGCATTTCGATTTGGACGTACATTCTTGCAACTTCTTTTGCTTGCGTTGAGGTGCTCGTGTGTGTGCACTATGAACAGGCAATCTCTCTTGATGCCGAAGTATGCTGTTGGTTTGTCTCGATGCGAATCGCCGCATTAGCAGATTGCAACAGGCCAAGAGGGCCATGTCGGCTGTGGTTCGAGGCATTTGGCATCTCTCGAGAGAGTTTGCGCTCGATTTGCAACCGGTGCAAACAAGGGGTTGACCCCGGGTCAAACTTTTTCTGGCTGCTGCCCAATTCATTGCCATGGCCAATTCCTGTCAACCTTGCTTTGCATTGTGAAGCTGCACCCGCCAAAAAAACAATCAGGGGCAGTACTCAGTCACGTTGTTCACCGATCATCGCATCAGAGAAGGTGACAATCCCATTCTACTTGTTTATGCTCTGGATATCCGGACACAGAGCATGTCCTTCGCTTGGCAGGGTCTGGCCAGAGACAGAAAATTCTGACCTCTTGAGAGCCCTGAAGGCACGGGTACGTGGCGTCACCTTCGAACTTCGGGGGGGCAGCCATGTACCCACGAAAGCGATCTCCCGTGAGAGTGTCACTGGGAATCGCTTTTCCTGTAAACGCTCAGGGGTTTGGAAACCGCCTGGCATTGTAATTGCAGAGTTCTGCACAGGTGAGTTGCCTGAGTTGCCCTCTCCCAGCCCATTTTTTTCGGGGCAGTGTATGGAATTTCGGGGGAAGATTCTTTGGGACAACTCAGCAGATAATTGCGAACTTTTGGCCTTCCTCCTGGCCTTTGGCCCTGACGGCGGCCCTTGCATGACGTCCCGGCACCTGCCAGTCTTGGCGGGCACGCTTGGAGCTGTGACATCTTGCGTCCGACGCTAATTCATTCAGGCAAAATGGATGACGATTTTGAAGTCCCCACAGACACATGCAGGTGTATGTGTATATATATATATATGTATGTATGTATATGTATAATACACATGCACACCTCCGAATATATACATATATATATATAAGTATATGGAGTATATGCGCACCCTCCCCCGCAAGGCCTGCAATTCAGTTCTTGCCCATTTGATTTGTCAGGTCTCAAACTCAAGAGACTTGCCATTTCTGTCCGTAGGCGAAAACATGCTTCAAAATGATGACTTGAAAAGTATGTTCTCAGAAGCACAGGCAACCGAGCGAGCGGAATTGGAACAAGCAGTGCTTCAAACCAATCATGGCCATAATTTGAAGAAGAGGCTTCAACATGCTCATTCTTGAATAGGAAACTAAACGGGAATGCTCACGAGCCAGAATTGGAAAGGAAAGCCACGTATTTGCGTAAACACAGATTATGTACACAGTATGTGTTTTCGTTCACGTATCAATCATATCTCGTGTCATGACGCACGTGGAGCGTGTATCGTGGTTTTCTTTTGTTATATATATATATGTGCATGCATATGTGTTTAATGTGTATATGCACACACACACACACGTATTCTGTACACAATATGTATTTCAATCATTCACCTAATCATGTCGATAATCATGTTGTTTTTGCATGACCACCTCCTGATGATGGAGGGGTCAGAGTAGCTTGGTTTCAGACAGGAGGACTCCCATTGTTCCGATTCGGCACGGGCATGGCGGGCATCTTGAAATATCCAATTGCACAGTTCGCTTCATCCGCGTCTGAGAGGCATTTGTCAGGGAAACCAGCTAGCAGGGATACGGGTGGAACCAGGGATACGGGAGGATTCCCCCGTTTGATGCACCTTGACTAAGTTTATGGGAAATGGCGCCAAGGGAATCCCCCCATATCCCCGCTCCCTCCGTGTCCCTGCTTGTTCGTTTGTCCAAATTTGAGGCTGGTTTTTCCGGCTGCGCTTGCAGCGTTGCTCTTGCATCCTTTTTCTTCGCAGAGTCGTTGGCTTTAGCTGAGCCCGTTCCGAAGTGATCTCAAACACCGGGGCATTGTGTTCATCTGCATCAAGACGTGTGCTCCATGGGGGAAAACAAAAAAAACACGTGGAACCCCAAGTGCCAAGCGGGATCGAGGTTTTTCTTGGGGCTCTTGGCAAGCACGCGCTTGCCAACGTCCAGCTGGTGCTCAGCTGCTCGGTGTTTTCCGACCTTGCCATGGAGAAGGCGGAGAAGATGAAGAAGGTGACGCGGGAGCCCACGATGTGCGAAATGCTGGGCATGGCCGGAGACTTCAGCCATTTCAACAAGGCATGTCGGGTCGGAAGGAGGCATTCAGAGCCAAGCAATTTTTTGTCATGCGCCGGATTCTGGATTCGATGGGATATGAGTTGGACTGACTCCGGAGCCTCTGCTTTTGTTCCAGCTGTTTGGTGATTGTCATCATCCGAAGTCCCGACATCAGTCCTTTTGTTCCAGAGAGCAACGGAAGCACCATGACTAGCACAAGGAACATTTTCCCAGGAGCACACCGGGTAATGCCGACCCCGGACTGATCAACTGGCGGATTTATAGAGGGCGAATCCCAATGTGAAGGATCGCAGCTGAAATGAGACACCGTCCACCAGGGTTATAGGCTACCGATGCTTTTGTTTGAAGCCGGGATTTAGGAGGTTGGAGAGCTGGTGTTGGGCTTCCAGCTAGGCACAAAGATTCCAAAGTTCAATCTAGTGGTTTTTACCAAGTTGGGTCTGTCCTTTGTCGATGCCCTTTTGGCGGTGATGTTAAACGGAAACCAAGGGGCAACCACTTGTTTTGAGGATTCCCTCGAAAAGCACAGACCCATGTGTTCCCTTGAGCTTGTGAGGAGCACCTTCCATAGCCATACGCATAGGAACATCGCCAGAGAGGTATTTCTTCACGGAGCGACCCTCGAATTCCTTTTCGGCCGAGGTTCGCGGATATACAATGCTGGAAACTGGCCCCCTTCAAAAAATGGAGTGCAGCGGGACCCCCGGATGGACCCCCAAAAAGGATCGCCTGCATCTTTCAGATGGATGGGTCCAACCACTCCTCTAGTGTTGGCCTCGGATTAACAAGCCCCTGTTTGTGTGGGAGGGTACCTCGAAGATGGGTTTTCCTCTTGGGGCTACCCTGTGTCAGTGGCCATGTTAGTGGGAGGGAGGGTAACCTGGGGCTTGGGACAATCTGGGGCAACATGTCCTTGGTGCATTTTGCTTGGATGCTAGGACTTTAACTTTTTGCCAACTAATGGGTTTTCCATTGAACCACTAAAAGTTATTCACTTTAGCAGGGGAGCAGAAACTCATTTGCCCAAAGCCAACCTTTTGACCTTTTGGATTCCCCTCCCTGATTCATGTTTAGCCAATCCAAAAGGGGAACACCTTTTACTTCTGGATCCTTCGGGTTTTCGTGAGGAAAGCAACAAAGACTTCACTGTTCTTGGCATGTTTTTTTTTTTTTTTTTTTTTTTTTTATAAATAGTTTTTTGGTTCTGCTCATTTTTACTGGGGGTCTGCAAAAAGCTTTAAGTTTTTTGCTACCATACCAAGAGTAGAGATGAACTTTTTCTCCTCCGACCCGTGGCGGTAGGCGGATCCGTTCCACGTGAAGAAGCGCGGCTCCTCTTACAGGACTGCCGTGGGGGATGGGTCCTCGTTGGAACTTGGCATCTGGGGCGCGGCCCCCCCCCCCCCCGTGTGTTGGACTGTTCCGGACTATGCGACAAGAAAGGGAGCGCAAGAAAGGGAGAGCAACATATAGATAGAAATATAGATTCATCAAAAGATCAGATTAAAAGGAAGGACTGTTTTTTTCCGTCAATGGATGGCAGGCGCGCCAGCCCATGACTCGGTAAACGCTTCCCTCTTGGAGTTTGGAGCCGCCAAGGTTGAGACCGGCTGTGGCGAATAGGGTTCGTCCCGCAAAGCAGCAATGGGTGATTGTCTACACCCAATTCAGATCATCACATCACATAGCAAAGATGATATAAATGCATTACAATACAAATCATCATAGCGCAACATACATCACCGCATTGGGGATCTGAATGATGCTTTGGCGCCTCCGGCTCCGACCGCCGACAGTACAGACCTGCTTTCTTATAAATGTGTTCCAGGTACAGTGCATGTGCACAGGAGAAATCGATGTGGGAAGACGTCTCTTTGCTGCAGGACAGCAATAGGAAGTTATCGCGCACGGCTGCGTGCAATGAGCAGAGGGGTGTTGGGGTCGATTCGTTTTCTTACATGTGTTTCTCACGTGCCGCGCGAGCAGCAATGGACATAGGTAAGAAGCTGTGTGTGATGGACGGGGGTGCTACTGATGCAATCAAGCTCTGTTCTGCTGATGCTTCCTGTTTTTGTTTTTCCTTTTTCCCCTTTTTGTTTTTTCTCTGTTGCTTGCGTGCTTTTCTTTGGAAAGGCCCCGCACAGGACTTGAGTTGGGGCTGTTCATTGTCACGTCCCTAGCTGCTTCTTCTTGTTGTCTGCATTCTTTCACACGGAAAGGGGTCCCCGCAGGACTTGAGTAGGGACCATTGGTTTGCCGCGGTGCGTCAAGTTCTCTTCCAGAGTTGGGGAGGTGTGTTGTTTTTGTTTGCAACATCCCCCTCCTTTTGTTAGAGAGGGGGATGTTGCCAGCAATGCGTTTTCTGTTTCTGTGTCAATGACTTTTTCAGGCTTCGCAAATGCCACCTTCTGTCTTTTCTTGCTCACAGGTCCAAGCAAAGATGCGATGCTTATTTTTGGGGTCCCTGTCAATGATCTTTCGTTCGAGCTGAACGAACGCTGCGCCCGTACTAGCCTCTCACGCGCGCATCTCCCGTATCGCAATCGGCTCGATGTGCTCGTGCAAGGCAGTGGTGACGCGAGCTTCCGATTGGGCTCTTTGACATCGTGACCTTCCCAATGAGCGAGCTCCAGCAGACCGACAATCCATCAGTTCACCATTGCGATGTCACAATGGACTGCACGGACGACATCAACATGACCTTGGGCGCAGCTAAAATTGCCGGCGCGGTCGGTGGAGGCTGCCCTCCGCCTGAGTGGCGGACCTATGCTGGCCGAGTGCCAGAGGCCCACACGCCTAGCAGTGTTTGTGCAGGCTCTCTGTTCGGCAGTGGTAAGCACGGGTGTTCTACAACAACTGTCACGATGGCGACTGCCGTTCTCAACTTTACAGCAAATACAGGAAACAAAAAGAGTGCGCGCGTCCGCGGGAGGGTCGGGGCAGCAGGCAGCGTCAAGCGAACCCACGGGCGGCTTTCTGTCTCGCGTGGGCTTTGCGCCCTGGGCCCAATAGAAATGTCTGACGAAGCTGAGCTCCAAGTGCTGCCGCCGCCCTTTGGCTTGAATGTCCGAGCGAAGCATCTTGAAATGCAATGACGGCGCCAAAGCATTTTTCAAGCAATGCCGAGAAGATAAACCAGTCCCTCTTCCAGAAGATGGTGTATGGCAAGCCCTATCGCGCGCAGCGCATGGATGTAGCTGACATCCCCGGCCAGCTGTCAAGAAGGTGGGAGCATGCCGGATTGCGGACAAGGTTGATGCAGAAGTTGACGAAGGCTTCAAGTTCATCCTGCAGCATGGCCCCAGGTCCTCCGCTGAGATGCAGCAGCTTCGTGTGGTTGCCCGAATCCATGTGCTGGGCATGCAAAGTGAACCCAGGGCCGTGGCAGACAATTCGTACGGCGCAGAAGTGGAGATGCTTCCGTGGCTTTTGGAAGAAGTGCGTTCGAGAAGTTCTACCAGCTTGTGCGACACGCCTTTGCCGATACTACCAGCAGGGCTGATAACCGTAAAAAGACACTCATAGGCCCTCATATCCTTGTGCAGTGTGACAGTTTGGCATGTCTTTTTTGCAGCTTGGCATCATTGCGGGGTGAAGACAAAGATGGTAACGGAGCCATGGCTCACTGCTTCGCCTGAACTCTACGTGTGCAGATATACTGAGGTGGACGCTGCTTCATTTCAGTCTGACACTTTAGCGCGGCTTTTCCACTTTGTTTTCTCAGGCATAAAAAGCAGCAGCAGAAGTGCAGGTTGAGCGGGTGAAATGCGGAAGCCTGACGTTGTCAGACACTGGTCCGGGGACGAAGAACAACAGCATTTTGAGACATGGTCGTTTATCTTGAACTCATGCGTTTGATGCTCATTCTGCAGCTGACGAGCAGCGTGTGGAGGCGAATCTGGACACCCCAAGTATTCTCGATGGCTCCTAAGTCATGTCAGAGGCTTTTGGCTGGAGGTCTACCGTATTTCCGGGAAACAGGTTGATAATGAAGTCTTGATGAGCGTGCTAATCCGATGCTCACATCCTCGTTTGAGGACTCCTCGTCTGAGGACCCATGCGCAGCTGAGAGTAAAAACGCTACAACTTCTGATGAGGTTTTACTTTCTTCGAGCAGTGAACCAACCTGCGACAAATGGACCTTCACCCGTGGACATTGACCGTCTTCATGACAAAGGCAAAGGACACGGAAAAGGAAAAGGCAATGGTCAGAGGAGTCCATGGCAGCGCTACCGTTTTCAATCAGCCCCCAAATGTCCTGGCGCCAGCCACAGTCATTCTGGCAGGCCAACGCTCATGCGCAAACACGTGAGTAGGCGAGCTACCAGAAAAGGGAGCCATTGCCCAGATCTTGCCAACCAAGCCAAGGGGTCGCAAAAGGTCTCCACCATTCCTCCTTAAACAAATCAAGTTCCTGTCCAAGGATGATAGGCCGAACTTCTCCACTACCAAATTGAGGTTCTACGGCCAGCATGTTGAGGTACCCTTCTTGTTCAGCGATTGGTCCTCCTCCTTGATTGCGTAGTCAAGACAGAATAGAGGCTGGTTTCTTGAAGTTCTGACTGGTTGTCCTCACGGCTGCTGCAACTCACACAAGCAGCACACGATGAAGCTCTAGGCATATAGGTCAAACTGTGCAAAGTCCGTTGCTCAACGCAAAGGCTCACAAGGTCTTGGTTGGGCTGCTGCCTCTCGCTCTGACTCCCTGAGCAGCTCCTTCGACACCTCCAGAGCTGTTGCATGACTTTGCCAAGCACGAACGTTTGAGTCTCTGCCTCTGTCACAAACGCTTCGTATCGCTTGCCAGGTCAAGAAATTTGCAAGCGTCCCCCCTGTCCCACTTTGCCTTGTTTGTACTGCTCTTACTGAGATCCACACCACTCCGCGGGCTCCACAGGCGCCTTAACAGGAATGGCTGAATCACCTCCGCACTTGTTGCAAATTGGCCCGCAAAGTTTGTTGGCGATCAAAAGTGTATTTCGCTATCCCAAGTTCGGTTTTCAACCAGGCAAGAAGCGCAGCTTGTAGCGCGTTGTGACAGCAGCAGTGCTCGGACATTGTGGAGCAAAGGTCAGGTGTAGGACGTGCTCGACATCTCAGTGCCAAGGTTCTTTGGTTGCAGATGCTCACCAAGTACAAACTTTAGAAATTCTTGCAACCCGCTCAGCTCAACGTTGCAGATGTAGGCACTAAGGCTTGAGTTCTCACTGCGTGACGGCCTTGGCTAGTATCTTGTGCAGTTTGCTGGCGGGTTTACCTTTGCCTGCAGCCTGTGTATTTTACCTGTGGTATAGTCTTTTGGTTGTAGTGTCGGACGGTCTGCGTCAGCGAGCGATGTCGAGTGCGGAATCCAGCAGTCGTGACGAGCAGACGCTTGCTTTGAGAAACATTGCGCAAAGACGGCTTGGAGGAACTGGCGAAGGATATGGGGCTCCAAATGCGCTGGATGATTTTTACGCTATCACTCAGACTCAAAATCCGCTGACTGAGGAAAACGGTTTCCGGAGCATGGAACTCCACAACAGCGAGATGGGCATTGGGCTCGATTCGGTATAGGCTCAAGCCTTTGGTTTGGTTGAAACACTGCAAGGCTGACGGCTCACTCGTCGGAAAGCATCACTCATGCCTTCCACAGTCTGAAGGTGAAGGAGTTGCAGGGGAATACGCCTCACCAGTCTGCCAGTTGATTCCCTCCGCTGCAAGCTGCCGAGCAACTTCATAAATGCTTGCGCAGTGGGACAGTTTGGCATGTCTTTTTGCAGTTTGGCATGAGAACATATCATGACCCTTCGCAGCCTTTTGAGACCATGTAATATCTGGAGCCGTTTTTGTTGCTAGGTGGAAAAAGAAGGGCCAACGTGGGTGGCAGGCGGGTGGCAGTTTGTCTTGGACCCAATTTCTCGCAAGGTCATTGCAGCCAAGGAGCGCTTGGTGAACGAGAACATGCGCGACAAGGTCGCAGCGGTGAACGCAGCCGTGAACATGAGAAAACGCGGAGGCGATCATTCATGATGATGCATGTCACTTCCAGACACACGTCAAGAGGAACCCTTGTGCAAAGGCCGCCTTCAAGAGCATCAAGCGCTTTGTCGTGGGGGAGTTGCATCGCTGCAATCACAGATGCAGCAAGAAGACTCAAGAAAGTTCGCACGATTATTATACGAGTCCGGAGGAAGAACTTCACGTTGAATGGCACGAGTCCGTACAGTCACCTCATTTGGGGTGAAGAAAGCATTTCCGTTTGGAACGCGAATTTGCGGGATGTGCCGAAGTATGGCGCCGGCAGAACTGCTGCAGCGCGTGCGCGGTGCTAAATTGAAGTGTGCTTGTGGGGGGCAAGCAGAGGTCTACGAGAAAAAAACAGACTGAGCGGAACTGGCGCAGAACACAACTGCAGACGGCCAAGCGCGTAGTAGCAAGCAGCTCGCGAAACACGAAGATATACCGCCAAAACCGAAAAATCGAGAAACCAAAAGACTTGACTCCAAACCTAAAAAGCCTCGAGAAATCGAACAACTTGACTTGTAACCCAAAGGCCTTGAGAAATCAAAAGGTTCGGCTCCAAAACCCAAACGACCGCGAGAAATCGACAAACAGGAAACTATCTGTCAAAGGAAAAGAGATGATCAGGCAAGACATGTCTCTGGAATCTTGTCTTTTGATTTCTCGAGTTGCCTTTCAAAAGTCAAACGGTAAACAAAAAGACGCGCATCCCTAGCTAGGAAAAAGAACATGAACAACTGGAGGCAAACCAATGGTCTCTGCTCAAGTTCCATGGGGCCCCAAAGACAAGAAGCGGCAGCAGGAAACAGCTTGATTGCATCGAAAGCGCCCCCCCTCCTTCACTTGCGGAGAGTTCTCCAAACAACAGAGGAAGCTGCAAACCAAAACTACTCGCGCATGAACAGACAGAGGCAAAAGGCCCCTACTCAGCGCAAACAGCAGCAAAGGATAAGAAACATCACCAGGAAAGAGCTTGATTGCCTCAGTAGCACCCCCATCCTTCACTTGCGGAGAGCTTTCCAAACAAGAAACATTAGAAACTGAAAGCAAAAACTGCAGGCGTCCCCATCCCCCAGCTAGGGACAAGAACGTGAACGGAGTCAAGCCAGTACTCCAGTCCCATGGCGGAACGCAGAAACCAGTAGGCGCCCTGCAACGGCTCCAGCCGTCACATCCCCAGCTAGGGAAGAGAACTTGAACAAACGAACGCAAACCAATGGCCCCCAAAAACACCCCGGAAAACACGGAGAATCCAGCAACATGGCGTGCCTTCTTTTCCTTTGACAGACCTTGTTGTTGGTTTGTTGATTTCTCGAGCATTTGTTTGGGCTTGGAATCCAAAGCTACACAAACCCGCACTTGATTCTTTTCGTCGGAAAGGGCACCCGCAGCATTTAAGTAGAGACTTTTGCTTGACCGCCGTTTGTTCGCTTTCTTTTTCCAAGCTGGGGATGCCTGTAGTTTTTTGTGTTGTTTTCGTTTCTGTCACTTTGAGCATGTCCCCGCGAGACGCAAATAGTTCGTTTCCACCCTGTTTTCTAGGCACGTCGTTCTGGTGATGCTGGTGATGCTGAACTCGTGATGCTGAGGATGCAACAACGAAGGAAGGCAACCCAGAGAGAATCGAACGCCCCGGTTTTCTTACGCAGCCGTATCCCGCAGCCCCTCCGTATGAAACGAAAAGGGAGTGTCTGCGAAGCAGATGAATTCGTTCCCCTGAGGTAAAGGGAGCGCTATCGGGTAAGGAGGAAAAACTGCGTTTCTTGTGCTCAACACGCCGTCTGTAGTGGGCGGATATCATGGCAGCACTTCTGGTTTACGTGCGATTACGGTATTCATTCCCGAAGCACGTGCACGCAAACACACCATCAACATTCGTATCAACACGCAGCATGCGTATCCTTGCATTAGTTTTTATGGCTTACATGTCCATCTCTGGCTCGAATTGCAGCAACGCCCGTGTGCTTCAACCATGTACGGTGGAAATTCACGTTTGTGACCTGTTGTAGACGACCAATTCGAAAGGTATTCGCTAACTTGGTAAGTCTTTTGTCTCCTTTTTTTTCTTTCTCGAGATAGTCCAGTGGTGAACATCATTTAATTGAAAGCATTCACGCATGCTTGCTCTTCTAACCTGAATCATCAAATATTTGGACGTGTTGTTTAGGGGACCCCCCAAAATGGTTTCGGTTTCCCTTTTGGCTTCCCCCCTTTTGCACCACGGAAGAAACTGTAGCCTCAAAATAGAAGGCCTTCGCCGCCCATTTCGCATGCGGTATCTGCTTCCTCTGGAAGTCAGCGGATCTCAACAGGACAGAGATTCGTGCAGGCATCACCACATTCCTTGCCATGGCCTACATTCTGCCAGTGCTGCTTGGTTGCAGTGTGCCAGTAGCACGGCTTTTATATCTCTCAGAAGGCTCTCGTGAAGAACCTTAGGTACCCGTAGGTTTCTCATCTACAGTGCCTAGTCAGATGCTATCAAGGTTCTGTGCATATCCTAAGCAGTTGCGAAGAACCAAGCAAGAGATGAGTTCCTGCCTCATGATCGGTTTCAACAAGGTCAGCAGCTTTCGTTTACGAGGTGACCCTTGAAGCATGACCCTGGTTTGAGCCTTTCATCTTTCCCGAAAACTGTTAGAGAGGCTGACTCATAGGATAAGTGGCTTTTCGGAGCCATTGCTGGACGTACTTGAACTGAGGCGGACATGTTTGGGCAAAAAGACCTTCGGTAGAGCAGGTGCTATTTGCCTGCGCCTAGCATGAAAATTGCCGCCCCCACCTGTGGCCCCCCTCCTTTCATGCATGGCCAACAGATGCTGGCTTTTTTGGCAACGTGCTCAAGCATTGGACCAGTCTTGGTCGAGATTTTGCTGGATAGGAATCTTCATACTTGCTGACGTTTTCTCAGCAGCAACACACCAGCTCGATGTTGGGAGATTCGGAATCGTCCTGTCTCGCGGGTTGGTTGCCGCCAACGAAAGCGTTTTGTCTACAAGTTGGGTAGGTCAAAGCATTTGCTACCATCTTCATATGGCTGTGGGTCAAAACCAATGGTACCATTTTGGGGTAGGTGCACAACCCATCCTAGTCTATTTTAGTGGGGATTGGGATGTTCACTGGGGGTACGATTTGGATTTGACCCATGGCCATATGGCTTCCTCCTCGCTGCAGATATTCCCAACCAATTCATCAGGCATGCAATGGACGTGGGTCACCATGGGTCACGCTCCCATTAGTCTATTCACAGTAGGGAATATGGGAATGTCCCCACAAGCCTTCCTTGCACGGATCCATTTGCGGCAAGGAACTCATTCCCACACTGTATCTCTGTTAGAGGGTACGCTTTGGGGGGTTGTCAAAAGGAATTGTTTGAAGACAAGGCTACATATTGTGAAAGCCCTAGTTTATGGCTTAACCACTTCCTGCTTGGGGGTTCAACTTAAACACTTTGAGCCGTCGAGAGTCCATGCTCAATTGGGGGGGGTGTTCAAAACAGTTTCGGGAACCCAAGGATGCCTTTTGGTTGCTGAGAACCAGCCACGTCTTAATTCAGTTTGGCACCCCGAACGAACACATGCGTTGCCGAGCTTTCTTGGGTGTCTCTCGTCTTTCTTTGAGGATACCAAAACTCGTTCGGGTGGTTTTAGAGGCAAAAGGGACACCGTTCCACTTCTTGAGGGTTTGCCTAAAGACCCAAAGTTTCGGCGCGGGAAGCTCGTGGATAGATCGTGGATAGATCGTGGCCCTGTGAAGAGCCCTTGGCTTGCATGTCAAGGAGGCAAACCCCAAAGTTGAACCATAAGCAAACAAGCGGACAAACAAGCAAACAAACAAACAAACAAGCAAACAGGCACAAGCAAGCAGACAAACAAACAGACAGACAAACAAACATGCAGCGCAAATGTGCGCGCGCGGACGCGCACGCACACCCACACCCACACCCACCGACACCCACTTCCACTTCCACACCCACACCGCCACCCACACACTCTCACTCACACACACACACAGTGTCGCCTATGCTATTTTGGAGAGGAGGCCTTGTCAACTTGCCAACGATGTTCGATCCAGAAACCGTTCAAGGCAACGGCAGCGTATCGGGAATATCGGTGACCCGCTCACGGAAAGTGTTTCGTGGTGCACTTGCTCAACCGCACGAGAAGTGCCTTTTATCTGGGCGATTATAGCAAGCTCACACGACCTTACCCCAGCTGGTTTATGTGGGAATAACCCCCCCCAGGTTGGTGAGGCTCTCTGGCTAAGTTCAATACGAAACCACCAACCAAAAGTGGTTGGTGGACATGAATCCCACCATGGCGTCCGAAGGCTCCCCCGTCCAAAAACTCAGCCGCATCTGTCAGGAACAGCGGCATGCTTTCCATTGCTATGGGTGGCTACCGCCAGCAGCTGGTGTGTGCCACAGCGCTGGCCGCTTGCATCGGCTGTACCTTGATGGGGCTCTTGTCCAACCTGCCTTTCATGCTGGCGCCTGGCATGGGTGTCTGGGCAAAGAATGGGATCCCAAGGCATGGGATTTAAACGTACATATATATATATATATATGATTATATATATATATACATGATTATATATGTATGTATGTATGTATGTATGTATGTATGTATGTATGTATGTATGTATGTATGTATGTATGTATGTATGTATGTATGTATGTATGTATGTATGTATGTATGTATGTATGTATGTATGTATGTATGTATGTATGTATGTATGTATGTATGTATGTATGTATGTATGTATGTATGTATGTATGTATGTATGTATGTATGTATGTATGTATGTATGTATGTATGTATGTATGTATGTATGTATGTATGTATGTATGTATGTATGTATGTATGTATGTATGTATGTATGTATGTATGTATGTATGTATGTATGTATGTATGTATGTATGTATGTATGTATGTATGTATGTATGTATGTATGTATGTATGTATGTATGTATGTATGTATGTATGTATGTATGTATGTATGTATGTATGTATGTATGTATGTATGTATGTATGTATGTATGTATGTATGTATGTATGTATGTATGTATGTATGTATGTATGTATGTATGTATGTATGTATGTATGTATGTATGTATGTATGTATGTATGTATGTATGTATGTATGTATGTATGTATGTATGTATGTATGTATGTATGTATGTATGTATGTATGTATGTATGTATGTATGTATGTATGTATGTATGTATGTATGTATGTATGTATGTATGTATGTATGTATGTATGTATGTATGTATGTATGTATGTATGTATGTATGTATGTATGTATGTATGTATGTATGTATGTAATGTATGTATGTATGTATGTATGTATGTATGTATGTATGTATGTATGTATGTATGTATGTATGTATGTATGTATGTATGTATGTATGTATGTATGTATGTATGTATGTATGTATGTATGTATGTATGTATGTATGTATGTATGTATGTATGTATGTATGTATGTATGTATGTATGTATGTATGTATGTATGTATGTATGTATGTATGTATGTATGTATGTATGTATGTATGTATGTATGTATGTATGTATGTATGTATGTATGTATGTATGTATGTATGTATGTATGTATGTATGTATGTATGTATGTATGTATGTATGTATGTATGTATGTATGTATGTATGTATGTATGTATGTATGTATGTATGTATGTATGTATGTATGTATGTATGTATGTATGTATGTATGTATGTATGTATGTATGTATGTATGTATGTATGTATGTATGTATGTATGTATGTATGTATGTAATGTATGTATGTATGTATGTATGTATGTATGTATGTATGTATGTATGTATGTATGTATGTATGTATGTATGTATGTATGTATGTATGTATGTATGTATGTATGTATGTATGTATGTATGTATGTATGTATGTATGTATGTATGTATGTATGTATGTATGTATGTATGTATGTATGTATGTATGTATGTATGTATGTATGTATGTATGTATGTATGTATGTATGTATGTATGTATGTATGTATGTATGTATGTATGTATGTATGTATGTATGTATGTATGTATGTATGTATGTATGTATGTATGTATGTATGTATGTAATGTATGTATGTATGTAATGTATGTATGTATGTATGTATGTATGTATGTATGTATGTATGTATGTATGTATGTATGTATGTATGTATGTATGTATGTATGTATGTATGTATGTATGTATGTATGTATGTATGTATGTATGTATGTATGTATGTATGTATGTATGTATGTATGTATGTATGTATGTATGTATGTATGTATGTATGTATGTATGTATGTATGTATGTATGTATGTATGTATGTATGTATGTATGTATGTATGTATGTATGTATGTATGTATGTATGTATGTATGTATGTATGTATGTATGTATGTATGTATGTATGTATGTATGTATGTATGTATGTATGTATGTATGTATGTATGTATGTATGTATGTATGTATGTATGTATGTATGTATGTATGTATGTATGTATGTATGTATGTATGTATGTATGTATGTATGTATGTATGTATGTATGTATGTATGTATGTATGTATGTATGTATGTATGTATGTATTATAATATATATATATATATACACATTTATTTATGTATCACTATAAGTGATACATTTATTTATGTATCACTATAAGTGATACAGTGTAATTGAAAACCAAAAAGACAACGAACACCTTTGCAAGTTGATGTTCTAGGCATTGAGGTCTAGGGACTGAGCCCATTTGTAGTTGTCACACAGGTGTTGTAATCATGCTGGTTGAATCCGTTGTTGTCTGTGCTCGCGCATTGCGTCAAGAAGACCACCGTTGGAATCTTGATGGTCGCACCAAGCAAGCAAGCAAGCAAGCGAGCGAGCGAGCGAGCGAGCGAGCGAGCGAGCGAGCGAGCACACAAGCAAGCAAGCAAGCAAGCAAGCAAGCAAGCAAGCAAGCAAGCAAGCAAGCAAGCAAGCAAGCAAGCAAGCAAGCAAGCAAGCAAGCAAGCAAGCAAGCAAGCAAGCAAGCAAGCAAGCAAGCAAGCAAGCAAGCAAGCAAGCAAGCAAGCAAGCAAGCAAGCAAGCAAGCAAGCAAGCAAGCAAGCAAGCAAGCAAGCAAGCAAGCAAGCAAGCAAGCAAGCAAGCAAGCAAGCAAGCAAGCAAGCAAGCAAGCAACAAGCAAGCAAGCAAGCAGCAGGGGCGCGCCGCAAGCAAGCCGCAAGCAAGCAAGCAAGCAAGCAAACGCCACCGCCTTAACGCCGCGCATGCGCACGCACGCACGCACGCACGCACGCACGCACGCACGCACGCACGCACGCACGCACGCACGCACGCACGCACGCACGCACGCACGCACGCACGCACGCACGCACGCACGCACGCACGCACGCACGCACGCACGCACGCACGCACGCACGCACGCACGCACGCACGCACGCACGCACGCACGCACGCAAGCACGCTCGCACGCACGCACGCACGCACGCACGCACGCACGCACGCACGCACGCACGCACGCACGCACGCACGCACGCACGCACGCACGCACGCACGCACGCACGCACGCCACGCACGCACGCACGCACGCACGCACGCACGCACGCACGCACGCACGCACGCACGCACGCACGCACGCACGCACGCACGCACGCACGCACGCACGCACGCACGCACGCACGCTCGCACGCACGCACGCACGCACGCACGCACGCACGCACGCACGCACGCACGCACGCACGCACGCACGCACGCACGCACGCACGCACGCACGCACGCACGCACGCACGCACGCACGCACGCACGCACGCACGCACGCACGCACGCACGCACGCACGCACGCACGCACGCACGCACGCACGCACGCACGCACGCACGCACGCACGCACGCACGCACGCACGCACGCACACAAGCCCGCAAGCACACAAGCGCGCCTGCGCGCACGCGCACGCCCAACAGCCTGCCTCTCGCCCGCCCGCCCGCGAGCGAGCGAGCGAGCAAGCAAGCACGCAAGCAAGGAAGACACATATGATCACATATGCTACAAACACCACAAGAGAGACCACATAGCACTGTAAACCTCATACCCGTACCTTAACTCAGATACGCAGATATAGACACAACTCACTGCAGGTGATTCAAATTGCAGCATTAACATAGTATTGAGAACGCCCACACCCACACGAAGACATTTCCAAAGGCACCCGTGAGGCCCTGCAAAAGAGATTCGTCATGTGGTTGCTCGCCACATGGACGAGTCTAACACATTCTTTGCACACCAACTATGTTGCATGTTTGTGTTCCGCTTTGCACATGGCCCGTCGCCACGACGCTTGGCGAAGACCCTTTGCCATGACCTGCCAAAGGCGATGCTTCGCTGTCGGAATCTGCGGCGCCTGCGAGCGAGAAGCTTTCGAGATTAGAGATGCTCCTCCATAGGCTTCTTCAACGGGTTGGACGAAAGAAACATGAATAACACGTCGACATGCTAGTTGTGATCAACTCGATTTCGGGAGAGCCTTGTAATTACAGGCCAACCGAGCACAACGCATGTTTTTCTCCACAGAAAAGCCAATCACTTGATACGATTTGCTTCTTTGATCAAGACAAAATCCCTCTCTTCAGATGCTGACCTGGTATTGGTGACCCTTTCGTGGACACAATGCAAGTTCATGTCTACCGCTTTACTTTTCAGGGGTTCCAACTGGGGTTCCAAGAATTCACATTCCAATGGTCTCAAACTAGCGGACCGGGGGGGTGGGCTGAATATTAGAATGCCCTCCAACACCCAGACACCCAGAAATGAGTCGCACTATCACGTTGCGCGGGAGCTTTGCCAATGCAATACACAACTGGCATTCGCTGTTTGCGAAAGAGGTATCTGCTGCACATCTCCTGAGACCAGCACATTCCAAGTCACGGTTGCCGGAAACGAGGTTTTAGGGGCCCATTTCTGCGATACAGCGGCAATCTGAATGTGATGAAGAGGGCTACTTCCCACGAACATGTTCCAAGTAGCCTGAACATGGCATCAAGAGACATGGTTTTTCTTAGCGTGACGATGCCGAGACAAGTTACCTGTTTCCCTCGCTGCAACTTGCTGACATTGGTTGAGTCACTCATTGTCCAGGGGCATAGGTGGAGTGGAGCCCTGTTGCACAGTTGGCGATGCAGCCTCGCCAGGCATAGCGGAGCCGGTTCCATCAAGCTTCACCGCCACCTATTCATGTCCACCCATCGCCACTTTTCAAAGAGCAAAGAAGAAATGGAAGCAAAAAGAAAGAAGAAACAGTTCACCTCAACCACCCGTCACTTCTCAGGCAGAAGAGAAACAAATGCACAACACATGCATTCGCCTCTTCACGAAGGCACCAACGCCTTCTTCACCTTCACGGTGGTTTTGACCAACGGCGCGCCCTGGCGCGCCGCGCTGGCCGCGGTGTTTCTGGCCGCCTGGGTCTTCGTGGTGCTGAGCCTCACGGGGCTGCGCACGCTGCTGGTGCGGCTCTTCCCCCACGGCCGGGGGGCCGAGTCGGGCCGAGTCGAGGGCCGGGCCTGGGGGGAGAGCTTTAGGCCCAGGGCTCAAAAGAGCTCGGGTATAACAAGCTCTCCTGGGAGGCCTGGCTTCGGCTTTTGCCGAATACGGGCTCCGAAAAGAAGAGAGCTCCATTTTTGCCTTGCCATTTGAAACATGTGGCTTTTGCAACGCCAAAATGAAAGTTGGGAACCACCATTTGCAAGTTGCAATGTTCAGGTGTAGAATGCAAGGATCCCTGTTACATGGGGGGTGCCTTGCGTCAAATGGGGGGTGGATGCGGGTGGAGGAAACATGTGGGTCAAAATTTAACCACCAGGATATGGACCGCCTGTTTTAGTCATGGGTTCCATTTACCAGGGTTCCATTTTGGGGTACCTATTTTCGACCCACAGCCAAATGTGGATTTGGGGGAGGGGGGTGACTTTTGGAGATCTCCATTTATAGTTCCATTTCCTTTGTAAGGGGAAGACTGGATAACTGGAAGTGTGGACCCTCTACCCCCCTCCCCCTTGTGGTTGGGGGATCTCGGGGTTCAGCGCGGTGAGGCGTCATGGGGGTCAACAAGCAAGGGCAGCGAATTCAAGAAGGATGCCAAAGAAAGGGTACCCGATCTTTTTGACAATCAGCTGCTCTTGTATTGCACCCTCGTGTCGGATTGTGTGGGTATTCATTTCTTCCAAGCTGCTGTAGCGTTGCGGTGACCGGCACTGGCAAACTGCATCCTCTTTGTGGAGTGTGCTGCCCAATGTTCACATGCGTCCCCGGGCAGCGCTCTGTGGAGATTCTAGTTTATTTGCCGACAAGAAAGGCAATGAAATGCAGTTTTCTTCTGTTGCAGGGTCATGGTGGGAGATCGCACGCACGCAGCGCTTGCTGCAAATGAAACGCTCTTGCTGGCGAAGGATTTTTGTTGAAGGACTGATAGTAATGTACAACATGCGCAAGACACGAGAGATATGCGTAAGACTCATGCAACAGACATGCGCGCTCGAGCAAGACACTCTTCTCTTGGAAGATACTGGTGGATGTAGAACGGGAGGAGGGAATCAACATACACCCGCAAGACAATGTAAGATCAACAGGCAACATAAGACAGCCACACACATGTGGCATAGTCAAGAAGGGCTAGGCAGCCAGCCGGAATGTTGCAAGTGGCCATGGTGGAAGTATTTGCTTACATGGGAAGGTAACGTAAACCCCAGATATAAGATTTTGGGGTGTCCCCTTTTAATGGGAATTCTTCTCTATGTAGGTAGGTTGGGTCGATTGTTCCAGGGTTCCCATTATATACCCAGGTACTTGCAGCGACCGCACGCAGCGTTCCGTCAGACTTCAGAGCGGCACACGTTTGGGTCTGAAGCGGCATAACCGACAGAGATTTTCGTGATAAGGTTGCAATGATGTTTGGGCCTCTCTGTCCGACGTTCTTCGTCGTGCCCCTGCCATTCTTTCTCCGTGTGCGTTTGCCTCCGCTGTCCTTGACTTTCTCTTTGGTGCATTTTGCTTGGATGTTAGGACTTTAACTTTTCGCCAACTGATGGGTTTTCCACTAAACCACTGAAAATTATTCACTTTTAGCAGGGGATCAGATTTCGCAACCGAGTTCTATTTGTGCCTTCGTTTCTCTGTCTGCTTGTTCCAGTCCCCGGTCCGGCTCAGTGCAGCTCCATTTGTCCGTCTCAGCTTGTTTCTGCTTCTCTGTTTGATTACCCTTCCTCCCACTAACGCACCTGACAGAGGCTCCCCACAAGAGGAGATTGATCTTCCACTTACCTCTTAAAAACACAAAGCGTTTCTCAACTTTTCGGGGGTAACATGGGCTATATGTCTGTAAAAGATGAAAACTTCCCCAGGGCAAAAGGAGTTTGAAGGGGTAAGTCCGGGTGCCCTCCCACAGTGGGAGTGAGGGTGGGATGTTTGCGTGTGAATTGATGACACCTGACAGACTTAGGCGATTTCGACAAGAGCATCTGCAGTAGCTGATCAAAGGTGTCCACAGTTTGTCTGCCGAACACTGAAGACCAAAAACCTCTAAGTGCTTTCAAGCTTCCCCAGAATTACTTCCCCCCTTTTTGTATTTGTTATTTTTTGGGGTTCCCTTTGTTTTCCCCACTAACCAGGCAACAAACATATTCTTTTTGCTGAGGTCCTAGTTCCAGCCAAGTCAAATGACATCTTTCAGATGGGCACCAGAGGCATTCGCAAAGGCGACCCTGCGTGGCGAGATCGGTCACGGATCTTGGGTTGCAAGTTGGCCACACGGGTCCCAGTCCCACCTGGGCCGACCTGGCAACAGGCCATGAGCCAGGCTTGTGGAGCTGCCGCTTTTGCCTTTTGCCCTTGGCTTCTGAGGTGTGAAGAACGCCATTGGCGCTGGCGTGGGGCTGTTTCTGACCTTCATCGCGTTTCAAGGCTCCGAAGGCCGCCACTGGCCTTGTCGGTAGGGACCTCTCTGGCTTAGGGATATACTGGGAAGCCGCTGGTTTTGTATTTAAGGGCAAACTCCATATGGATGTCGTTTTTTTAGGGGACTTCCCCCCCAAAAAAACAATAATAACGGTGTTTTTCCGTTTTGCTTCCTTTTGACAACACAAAGAAACAGGTTGCCGGCAAAAAACACAGGCTTAAGCTCTCAAACAGCTTTTTGTTAAAGCTAGATTTCTCCCCCTGGCGCATTCAGTTTTTTGGGTGGATCCCGTCACATGTGATGTATTAAAATGGGGGGCGGGGCCGCGAAAATGGCTTCGGTTTGCTTTTGGTTTCCCGTTGCATCCCCAGAGAGAGGCACTCAGACAGGCATGCCTTTGGCCAGCTGCAACCCCAAATTGTTGGGTCGCCCCTTCCTTTTGTTTTTTCCGTTTGGTTTCCCTTAAAGCCAAGGTGAAAAGGTGACCCTCTAAAAAGCACAGACCCAGTCGTTGCAGATTTGGCCTACTAGCTTTCGAACCCACCACCGAAAAGAATAGGTTCCGGTGATTCGCTGAAGAGGATCTCAGAAAGGACAAATTGAGACTTCTACGGGCCTCGAATAACATGAGTCTCGCTCGAAATCAGTCAGAGAGACAGAAAGAGAGACACTGGCATTCATGTTCATGAACTCATCAGGATGAAAGACGGACAGTTTCAGGATCAGTGAGAACAAACACAACCATCGCCTGTGCACTTGGCGTGCTCTTGGTGTTTTGCTTCGTGTGTCAGGAGTCCAGTTACATAGAAGAGGCTGCCTAGGAGAGAACACTGCCCTGCGACAGGTATGGGCCTCACTGTGGACAACCCCGCCACACTGGTGGCTTTGCTGACCTTGGAATGATTTTGAGGACGACACATGAAACATGAGCCACGCATAATGTAATGTCAGTCGCAACACATGGGCAACACCTGGAGCAGAATGGAAACAAACAAGGTTACGCCGACGCGAGTCGCCTGGCACCCATCAAGCCTCATGTTTACACAAGTCACTGCGCTGGCCAACAAATCGTGCACACGGTAGCAAAAGACTGATCAAATAGAATGTCAACGAACTCTTTCATTTTAAATGAGTTTCATCAATTAGTTCAGTAAAGGTTCAGGTGTGCGTTGTGACAACATCCTGTTCAGTTTCAAGTCTGCGTTGTGACAACATCCTGTTCAGTTTCAAGTCTGGGTTGTGAGCGTGGGCGTTTTAATTATGAATTGTGCCAGCATGCGAGCAGCGGTTGTGGATGCGTGTGGGCGTGTGTAATACCACTTGTGCCAGCATGCGTTCAGCGGTTGTGGATGCGCGCGTGGGTGTGCTTATTATCGATTGTGCCAGCATGCGTGCAGCGGTTGTGGACGCGCGTAAGCGTGTGTATTACCACTTGTGCCAGCATGCTCGCAGCGGTCGTGGATGCACGTGAGCGTGTGTATTCCCATTTTTGCCAGCATGCGTGTAGCGGTTGTGGACGCGTGGGCGTGTATATCACCACTTGTGCTGGCCTGTGTGCAGCCAGCGGTTGTGGATGCGCGTGGGCGTGGTTATTATCAATTGTGCCAACGTGCGTGCAGCTTTTGCGGATGTGCGCGGGCGTGTGTATTACCACTTGTGCAGGTTAGGATCATGTGTAAAGACTCCGAGTACCAAAAATGTAAAAAAAAAAAAAAAAAAAAAACAAAAAAAAAACATGAGAGATGCACGAAACAACCAGGAGCCGGGCGGCGGTACCAGCAACAAACAAAGTGAATTGTTTTGTTGTTCATTTGCCAGGGTTCCATTTGGGTACACAATTTGACCCGCAGCCTTATCAGAACGTGAATGGACGACATTGCAGTAGTTTCCGTGCAACATGCGTCACGCCGTGATAGCTTCCAGTTCGGGCCGAGCCATGTCTCAAGCAGGGCTTTTCATTTGCGTCGAAGGTACTCGGTTGATTTCTCCATGAGCCAGAACGTTTGCTTCTAGGATCTTGTTTGGGCCTTTGGCCGATTTTCGCGCACTGGGATCCTGGGTTCATTTCTCAAGGGCGCATCTAGCATTGGCACGGGTCTTGAGTGTACAGCTGAAGAAGCATGTTTTGTTGGAAAAGGCAGGCAAGCTTTGCGCAGACTCCGGAACAGCTGTTCCATGTTCAGGTCCAAAGGCCAACATGTAGGTTTCCTCTGGAAATTCCTTTGAAAAGGCGTCAAAAGGACAATTTCCCAGTGGTTTTCCCGGATGTCAATTGGTGAAAATCAGCCGAGAGGTTTTGGTTTCGCGGATGTGCCATCGGAGCGGAATGTTTAGGTGGGTCTCAACTCCTTGAGCCCCAAGAACTACGACGCCGCCAAGCTCTGGCTGAGCTTGGCTGAGCTGCGCCTCGGTTTCTGGGAGCGGGAACCACTTTCTGATGCACCCAGCTTTTCAAAGATGTTGCGGTGCAAAAAAGACCTGTGGCTTTGCCATTGGCGTTTCTACAGACCATTTCGAAGGGTTCTGTTTGGAGCGAATGGATGTTTAAAAGGCGTGCCTTTTGTGGAGTTGGCACCTTTTTGGTCGTGTGGGTGGGGTGTTTTAGGGCTTCCACAGGATATTTGCGAGTTACTATCGCAGGCTCAGCTCCAGTGTTTTGAGCTACAGCTGATTCCGGACTCTGTGCAGCTGCCAAAGGGTTCGGAATTCACGACCTTGGCATGTTGATCTCCATGTGTGTCAAGAACCAGGAACCTCAAAATGGGTAGTTTGCCTTAAAGGGCGAAGCCCTTTTACACCAATCGAAAAAGGGTACCCTTCGCCTCAACAAAACAAACAAGGAATGCAGGAAGGGTTTCCTGGCATTGGATTCTTTGATGCATCTAAACCAATGTCGCAAAGTCTGCAAAGGCTATAGAAGCAAATTTGTGCCGTTCAGTTGGCCGAATCTTTTGGATGCATTTCTTGTCCCCGGCGTGTCTGATTTGAGTTGAATGAGTGTGTGTACGCTTGCCATGTTCTGCAATCGTGTATGGGGTTTTGGGATGCTTTACACCACCAATACAAGCTTGTAAGGCAGTATATACCGCTTATGTAAGTGGTATATAACCTCCATACCTCAAAAGACTCATACCTGAAAATGCCCTGGCTCAGAGGAACTCCTCTGCAAGAGGTCCCTTGGCAGGCACGGACAGTCGCAAGGCATGCGGGCTACCTTTGGGAGACTGTCCAGGGTATCCTCCATTTCCAAAAGTGGTGGTTTCAAGGGACACCACCAGTGAATTGCAACTTTTGAAGGGGAATCTTTGGTGCATGTTGCTTGGATGTTAGGACTTTAACTTTTTGCCAACTAATAGGTTTTCCGTATCAAATCACGAAACGTTAAACTTTTAGCAGGGGAGCAGAAAGCGACCGAGGAATCCAGAGACCCCCGTTTTACATGGTGGCCATCCGTCGGTTTCTTCGATGGCCCTCGCCAGTCTCCTCTAGTTCAGGTGCCTCGCTGGAGTGCTTATGGTGGCCAATATCCGCGGAGCACTGCAACTTTGCCTGAGATCTCGTGGCAATTGGTTTCCAGGTCCTTTGGGGCCCAACGCCACAATCCAAATGTGCAGACTTCGCATTCCTTTGATTCTTTGGGGGGGGAACGCCACAATCCGAATTTGCAGACTCTGCATGTGTGTGTGAGAGTGTACCTGACCTTTTTTCCTGCAATCATGTGGTGCCTGACGTCGCCATGGAAGTGTGCAGGAGACTGCGCAACGTCCTCTTTCAATTGCACACCGTTCGCGCGTTAAGCTTTTTGTGGAAAGACAAGGGTGACACGATGGCTGCTCTGGGCATGAAGTAAATGTTGGCAGAAAGAGTGTTGTGTTTCAACCTAGCTGTGATGCGTTTTGATTTTCGGGTACTGTTGCGGCACTGGACGGTTCGGTGGTTTCGTTGAAGGGGTGTGCGCGATGTCCCTGCTGGTGAAACTTACTGCGACGGCCGTATGCTATGAACAAGGCTCTTTCTGTCACACGTGCAACATTCTAACCAACGCGGCTTTTTTTTTTGTGAGAAATACACTTCCAAATGGTTGGTGGACATAAATCCCCACCTAATGATGTGCACCAGAGGGTCCAATTGGAATTCATAGCCATACCCATTTTGTAACAGTCACAGGCTGGCTTCTTCTATGTCCGTGAATTGGACACACACCCATGGTCATCGCGGGAAAGAATTGCACTAGCTCGGACAGACCGGTGCAATCGCTGGTTGCAAATTTGCAAATTTGCAAATGAGCAGCGTCGAACACCGATTCCGTTTGGCCATTCCAGATGGTTCTACCTGGTTTAATGAGGATTATACTAAGGCTGATGCAACCCTTTACAACCATCTTGGTAGAACAAACAGTCAACGGGTTTTGGGTGATTAGGCGCCGTTCAAATGATTGTGCTTCCAGGCCTCGATTTCTTACTCCAATTGTGATGTTGGGAGAGGGCTATTTCTTCAACGCGCTATTTCTTCTGCACATCATGCGGTGCAGAATGACTCCCCCAAAACTCGGTGATGTGTATAATTTACAACATACATATATATATATATATATATACATATGTATTTATTTAAGGGTAGGCTTGAATGCTTATATATATATATATATATGTTTATCATATAGGAAAGGTGTGTTTAGTGCTATCCCCCGACTCTTTGCCTTTGCCTGCGAGTCATGCCTCGCCAGTTCATACCAAGGCCTGCGGTGTTGATTTTATAAACTAAAGCAGGTTTCTTAATCGCGGGTATGCCTCTTTTCGAGAGTTCCCCTTTTGGGGGTTTAATATTTTCAAGGGACGCAACAACTAAGAAACCCACCCGCTAGGTTGCCCTATTTCGAGACACTTCAGTGTCCCCGGTGCGAAGGCTTATTGGCATCTGCTTTGGCACCGTGGTGTGCTGGATCGAGGGAGCCGTGAATGGTGTGGAGCATACACACCTGGGCTATCCCTTTGGGAGCTTGGGAGACAGGCCGGGCGGCAAAACTTAGGTCGGCCACAATATGGGCGCCAAACTGACGAGGCAAAAACCCCTGGATCCTCGACGCCTTTTTTGTTGTTTTTTTTCTTTTCTGCGGAATGTTGCGGGAGTGGCTACTTGATGTTTGCCTATTCTGCACAGGTCTTGACGCTGAAACAAAATCGCCCAAGTGTTTTTTTTTGCACAATAAAGCCGGCTACATGCAGCTTGCGTTCAGAGCTGCTAGGAGAAGCTTTGTAAGCTGGTAAGCAAATGTTTTGTGCTTTAGCTGCAGTCTGTGACTGTGTGACTGTGGCGTACCACGTGTTTGGGCTGTATCCTGAGAACTCTTCGTGTCTTTTTCTTGAGGCTCGGTACCCGTCTTCTTGGTTATGTTAAATGGAAGCCAAGAGGAGCCCCATCCTTTTTGGGGTTCGGACCCACATCCCAGGCTACGCAGCTCGTTTTTCTTTCTTTTTTTGCTTCGGAGAGGTCAGTGCAGGGCTTCCGCATCTACTTGCCCGAGGGCTTTGTGAGTGCTCCCACGCTGGAGGGCCTCGTGGGCACTGTGTTTGAAGGCGGACCGACAGGGCGCAATGGGGGACAGGGCTGGTGAACACTTGCCTGGACTGAAGCCGTTGTTTCTGTTTTGACTTATTCATGCAACATGGTTATATGATATTGAGTCTGATACTTTTTGATTTAAGATATCGATGTTATTGTTGTATATCATGTATAAAGGTAACCAGGGTTGGTGATCACCTGTCCAACCTCAAACAAGGATGCCGCATATGTTTTTTTGTCGGTGGTCATGGACCGCAAAAGGAATGTAGTTGACTTTGAAGGAACCATGACCAGGGCAGAATGAGATTGGACGAGGGCACAGACTTTGGCCGGCCAAGTATCAGGCAAGCCCACGTGGCTCGGATTGGTCGCCTTGGTGGTTTGGATGTGCGTCTTCTGGTTCCCTTGCAATGTTTCGGGAAGAGCATGCAGCCCACCAGCAACGCGTGGTTTGGATTTTGAGCTTTTGGTGCTTGAGGCCAGATGCTTACCTCTGAAAAGCATAAAACTGTTCTCAACTTTTTGGGTAACATGGGCTATATGTCTAAAGGTTAACTCCCCCAATCCTTGGAGTTTTAAGGGGTAAGGATGGGAACTTCCACAAAGCGAGCTGTTGAAGGGAACCCCCAAAAATCGGCGAATCGGACATACATCCGGCAGGGAAATATCATGCTCGAAGGGTCCGTGTGGGAAGGACACGTGGGGCTTAAGCGGCGTCTCGGACAGAAGCACAGGAACAAAGGAATTCCACAGGAGCCAAAAGCATTGGACTGGCTCTCAAGCGTTTGTTTCCGAGGGTTTTAGTGCTGTCTTTCTTAGTTCATTCTGCGGCGAGGTCAAATCTTTTGGACAAGTGACCTTGCCCTCGGAAGCCAGCCCCTTGCTTCAGTTTCATGCGCATATCTACCTGGCTCCAGTTTCATGCGCTTCTTTTTAAAACCACCACTGTTCATGAGAGTGTGTCTTCTGTGTTTTTTTTTTTTTGCGGGCGGGCTGTTTGGGGTGATTTTGAATGGCACACTTCCAAGTAAGGACAAGAATGGAAGTCCGGTCTGCGGGATGTTTTTGTGCTGCTGTCCGCGCCTCGTGCTTCTTCTTGCGCTGCAACTGCCGCCTTTTTGGTCAGGTTGGGGAATGACCTGGCCCATCTCACAAGGGAACCCTCCCAGTCCCGAGATGGCAAGTCAGAGTGGCAGTCATGGGATTCTGAGTGTCTTGTTCTTCAAATCTTACTTCAGGCAACCCTTAATTGGTCGTTTGGATTGGTGGTTTGGATTTGGATTTGAACCTCTGGTTCTTGTAGAGGGGACATGAGAAACCGCCAGTCCAAACCGCCAAACCACCGGGCTCCAAACCACCAAATGGGGGGGAAGCTGATTATTTCGCCTCAAGCCCCAGCAAACACCGGAGGCAGTGAATTGCCTCGACCTGACCGATCGGCCGGGACAATTCATGAGCCAGGATTCGCAGAACAAAAGCGGAACGGAAAACAATGTAGGAACATTTAGACTTCCTTTCTTTGGACTTCTTGTAGGAGCAGCCGCCAGGGGCTTATTCTCCCCGCGACCTTTTCACTTATGGCTGCCTGAACCCGTTGGACAGAGGAAACAACATATTATCATATGCGCCGGGATCATATGAGCTTTTCTTGTTTTAGAGGACCCCCCCCCCATCCCCCCCCCAAAAAGGGAGATGGTTTTCGTGCTGGTGTCCCTTTTGTAAGGCCACAAAAAACTGGGTACCCTCAAAAAGACATACACGCGGGGTCCCATATGTTTGTCAAAATGGGGGCGCCCTAAACAATCCGCATCCACATGTTCCATGGGTAGGACGACCGACCCCGGCATCTCACCTCGACCCGCGAGGCTTCAGCGCCTTGTCGGACCCCACGACCGCGGCGACGTTCTGGACGGCGGTCTTCACCTTCTGCTACACGGAGCGGGTTTTTCAGCGGGAGGGGCCCAAGGACCCGAGGCCTCGGTGCGTGAGGAGGCTCCCATTTTTTTTTGGGTTTGCTTTAGTCCCCAAAAGAAAAAGCCGCAGCAGTAACTCCCAGGAAAATGGAGGTGTTCATTGTCTATTTTTTTTCCTTCCGAAGCAGTTTCCGGAGCCGAAGAAACTGCTTTTTGGCTTCGTGGCTTCTGCGAACCGAAGGAGACTTTGGACGCTTACCTGAGATTGAGCGATCAGACGGGTGGAACGTATGGCTGGCAGAAAACCTTCTTCTGAAGCTCAAGAGGCCAACTCTTGCTCGTTTCATCCCTCACCTGAATTTGACTCTTCTGGAAACTGGGGTGGTTTCTCTTGAGGTTAAAGTTTAACCTACTACTGAACGGGGGTGACTGTCGTGGTGAACATTTTTGGCCAGATACTTCCGAGCCCGTGTAATTCATTTCTTTTGAGCAACAAGCGCTTGATGCGACGTTTTTTTTTTTTTGAGAAGAACGTCTGGCGTATCCAGAGAAGACCGGCGGAAATGGCTGCGGGTCAAAAGTAGTATCCAACATGCAACCCTGGCAAATGGAACCTGCGATCCTCTAATTGTGACCCACAACCAATTGATACGGTGGGCTGTTGGGTTCTGTCAGACGACAGAAACCGCAGTGCAATGAACCCAACCAGGCTTGTCCGAACAGCCCAACAGTCCATAAATGATGGCAAGCGTACATGGCAGGCCAAAGCTCACCTGAAGGTACTTTCATCAAGAACGCAGAACCCATGAGCGCCGTTTTGCAGCTCGTCTACAGGTATTGAAATCCTGCGTTGTTGATTGATAAAGCGGTCCGCTGGCGGGTGCTATATGGCCGTGGGTCAACACCAATGGTACCATTTTGGGGTAGGTGCACCACCCATTTTAGTCTATTTTAGTGGGGATTGGGATGTTCACTGGGGGTACGGGGTTTTGACCCACAGCCATAGAGTTTCAGGCTTCTTTCCTCGCTGGATTGCTTTTCCCTCAGCGGCTATCCAGCAAGTAGGCGCACGCAATCACGCGCACGCAAGCAAGCAAGCCGCCCTAAGCCCACTCCCCTAAACCCACCCTAAACCAACCCTAAACCGACAACAGGCGTGGGACAGAAAATCCCGAAACAAAAAGTCGGCCGCATATTCAATTTAGACACCTCCAACATTCCTGATACTCGTCAGAGAGCCTTCTGTTGACGAGATTCGCCAAGCGACTCAAGCTTGGCGCCCTTTTCGCTACGAAGCAGAAGTCACACGTTTTTCCGGGGGTTGCGCCGTCACCCAAGGTGAAGGTGGGGTCTTTTTCTGATTTTTGGTTGAAGTATGATCATTTGCTCGGATGGATGAGGGAAGCACCCCATTCCATTCTTGAATGTCTGCAAGATGTTCTTGACCCTGGCTGCACATCGGGAACTGGATTTCGATCCGCGAAAAGGCACACGGTTCTCAAAAGGAATCCCAAGAAGGTAGCAAATGGGAAGGTGTCAAAGAAAGAGATTCGGGCCCCCAAGGATCCCAAAATGGGGTTCGCTGTTCCGTTGGATTTCCCTTTAACCCCCCCAAAAGGGTAGCCTCAAACAAACCTACACCCCCATTTCTGCGATTCTCCAGGACCTTCTGGACTCTTCTGGCACCTTCATTGCCGTAGCCAAGGCCGAAACTCCGAGAGCCGGGCTGGCGCCGTTTTTGGCGGTTGTTTGGGGCCTGGGGCCGGTTGTGCCTCTTCTTCTCAGCTTCCCTCTAGTTGGTGGCTTGGATTGGCGGTTTGGCAGGTAGAGGGGAGTCACGTGAAGCCCCAACAGCCAGGGGTTCGAGTTTCCAAACGATCCCAACCACCAATTAGGGGTTAGGCGATTTTGGTGGCCGGGTTTGTTTTGATGTTGTGGATGCGGTGCATTTGTTTTCAGGGTTCAGGGTAACGACCCTCCGGAGCCGCAGACCGAAGGGTTCGCAGCATGGGCCAGACCTGAAACTCGCCCAAAAACGGTCGCCAGTTGGATCACATCCCCAAACAAGTGATATGACCATAGGTGTCCTTTTTTGGATGTTTGGCTCGAAAAATCGATTTCCCTGGTGGTTTTTTCTCATCTACCGGGGATATCCATCTATTTCCCCTAAATGGACTTGCCAACTTGCGCCCCACATTTGGACCTTCGGGGCAATCCTCCGTCCAAAACACCGCCGAGACAAGCCGTCTGGCGCATACATACATACATACATATACATACATACATACATACAAACATACATACATACATACATACATACATACATACATACATACATACATACATACATACATACATACATACATACATACATACATACATACATACATACAACATACATACATACATACATACATACATACATACATACATATACATACACACATACATACATACATACATACATACATACATACATACATACATACATACATACATACATACATACATACATACATACATACATACATACATACATACATACATACATACATACATACATACATACCTACATACATACATACATACATACATACATACATACATACATACATACATACATACATACATACATACATACATACATACATACACACATACACATACACACATACATACATACATACATACATACATACATACATACATACGACACGGATCGTTTACATACATACATACACACACATGGACTCACGTAGCGGGTATAAAGAGTAAAGCACTTGTCTGCCGCAGCCACGTCAGTTTAAGGTTTGGCGTAGGTGGATGGGGGAGCAGCCGTGCCCACTGTGTGAAGGTCGGTACGGGACCTTCCGGTGGTGCACGGTGTGTAGCTCCTTGGAGCAGCTCCGGTTCGCTGTCCTCCGTGGTTTTGAGCGGGAGGACAGCGAGGAGCTTGGGAGAAGGATCAGGGACTTCTCCTCGACCCTCCTGTCTTGGGGCGCTCGGCTCCAGAGACAGCGGGAGGGTCGCACTCTCGCCCAGGTCAAAGCCGGTGGTGCTGGGCCTGTGGTGCCCGCGGGGCTAGGGGCTCTCGGGCCGGCTGAGCCCGCTGGCCCCCTCCGGCAGGAGGGGATCGGGAGGGGGCGCACTCGGCGTCCTCTCCTGCTACTACCTCCAAGGCAGCCCCGGAGGTCCCAAGGGCTTCCCGCACGCCAGAGAGGCGGAGGAGGAAGGAGAGCAAGAGGAGCCGCAGCTCCCGGAGGAGGAAAAGCCGAGAAAGGGCTAGGCATCGCAGGAGGGAGGCTTCTGCGTCACCTGTGGGCGCCCGTGCCTCCCAGGGATCCCCCACCCCCGGCTCCTAGGGCCCGTTCCCCTGCGGAATTGCCTGAGGAGGTTCCGGAGTTGGCTGCCGGTAGGAGGGAGGCCAACGAGGTGTCCCTCACTGAGTCGGAGGGTGAGGATAGCCCTGAGGCGGCCGCCTCTCTTGAGGATAGCCCTGAAGCGGCTGCCTCTCCTGTTCCTGAGGAGTCGGGAGTTGGCAGTGCTTGGGTTGGGCCCATTCGAGCTGTTAGGAGACCCCGGGCGGTGGTCCCTTGGAAAGGAGGAAAGAACAAAGGCAAGAAGAAGCGTGAGAGGCAGGCCCTATTTCGGGGCCGTTGAGGGAGGCTGGAGTAATGCCTCCTAAGATTTTGAGGAGGCCCGCAGCAGGTTTGCCGCTGGTGAGGCGCCCTGCTGGGATTTTGAGGAGACCGGCTGCTGCTGTGATAGAGAATGGGGAGAACCCTCCTAGGCGCCGTCGCCGTGTGGGAGGAGGAGATGAACTGGTGCTGGCCGAGCTCGATATGGTCAGCCTGGGAAAGTTGCAGAGGATCTGGCTGGATCCATGCGTTTACTGGATGGAAGAAACTTCTGTGGTGGGAGTTGTCAAGGGTGCCCGCATTGAGGGGTCCGGTGTTTATTTGGACCTCTTGGTGGAGGGGACCCGATCCGGAAGACTCTTGGAGTATGTCTCAGGCACTCCTGAGGGGCGCATTAAGCTGCATGTGTGTCCGCGGGAGTGCGAGCAGGAGCTCTGCGAGGATGGCCTGGTACATGGTCGTGTGTTTCGCGAAGTTCCGGGTGTGCCCTCTGAGGCGTGGATGTCAAATGCGTGCAGGGTGGAACCCGATGAGAATCGTGCTCTTCGTGAAGAAGCAGAGAAGCTAAGAAATGCAGGAGTTGCGGGAGCTCTTGCTCCTGATGAGAACTCCTATGAGCCCGAGGCGGGGGACTTGGAGGCGGATCAGAAGAAGAGGAAGGAGGCTAAGGAGAAGAGAGAAAAGAAAAAGAGGAAGAAGGTGGTGCTTGAAGGTAAGAAGGCGTTGAAGGATGTGGTGGGGTCCACGGGATTGGACCCGGACCCTGTGGTGAGGAAAATCTTGTTGAGGCGTGCATCCAGGACAGTGAGGAAGAAAAGGAAAAGCCTCATCGTCCTCGATGTCTGAGGAGGAGCCCGAGGAGCTGTTCGGATGCAGCACGAGGCCCGAAGAGGTGGGCCGCCGCTTCCCCGGCGTGTTGGCGGCTGAAGGAATCAGGGAGATGCGAGCCAGCCTCCTGAAGAACACGGGGCAGTTGTGGGATTTGGAGGATGGCCCGCTCCCTCCTCTGAGCACCATGTACTTCAGGCAGACCTTGATGTCGAGGATGGCACCTCCAATGGCTCGAGACGACTGTGCTACGGGCTGGACCTCCTGTTGCAAGGCCGGGCTGCAGAGCTAGGCGACCTTTTGGTGCAAAGGATCAAGAGCCTGGAGGTTGCTGCTGGCCTTCCTCGGTGATGCAGAAGATGGAGCTCCTGCCCATGGATGCATCCCGTGTGGCGCGCTATACCGAGGTGCATGATGCGGCTAAGGTGGCACGAGATGAGGCCCGAGCTTTTGGCTGCAAAGGATCAAGAGCGGGCTGGACAAGGCGTTGCTCTGGCCTTCACTATTCGGTGATGCAGAAGATGGAGCTCCTGCCCATGGATGCATCCTGTGTGGCGCGCTATACCGAGGTGCATGATGCGGCTAAGGTGGCACGAGATGAGGCCCGAGCTTTGTCTGCTGGCTCCCGGGCACAAGAAAAAGGAGGTTCAGATTCAGGTTGGGTGCCGTATGGGCTGCGAGGCAGAGATGAGAAAGGTGGTGGAAAAGGACAAGGCGAGAAGGGGAAAGATAAGGGTCGTGCAAAAGATTGGCCCAAGAAGAAGGAGGAGAAGAAGTGATGAAGAGGAGGCATTCGGGAGAGGGCTCCGAGGTGGAGTTTTCTCCTGGGGGAGCCGGGGAGGCGGTCGACCGTGAAGGTCCCCCTCCTGGGCGCCCTCTGGCCGTGCAAGAGCGGCTGAACGCTATCAAGCTGAGGCTCCCAGGGTTAACCTTAGGCGAGGCCGGTGGATGCTTGGTGGATTTGCTAGATCTGTTCAATGTTGGAATGTTGCGCTGCAAGTCCCAGCCCATGGAAGGGAAATCCGTATTTCCTCTTCCCCTAGCAATCCTATCCGAGCTTTCGCCCGCCAAGCATGCGCTGCTGTCCGCAGTGTGCCGGAGTCTCAACTCCCTTGCGGGATGCACAGACCCGCAAGGCCGGTCCTCGCACGCTGGACGCATGGCCGTGAAACAACTCGCGGCGGCCGTTGAGGTTTGTGAGAGTTGGAGTGAGGTTTTTCAAGATGTGAACTTCTCGGACTTCCTGAGAGTCAAAGGCATTGACTACAAGGGGGATGAGGTGAAACTTGCTGTCAACCTTAGTTGGGAGTGCCTTGCCCCTGCTCTCCCGGATGAAGTAGGGAAACTCAACTTGGCAGAGCTTTGCACCCTTGGAACCCGCTTTTACGTGGACCATTTCGAGGACTTCTTGGTCCCTTCAAATGAGATGAGCCTAGGCAAGCCTCCCCGAGTTTTTGCCGATGCCAAAGAGTGGCCTTCTATTTGCCAAGGCTTGGTGGGTAAGGGGATCTGCGAGGTGGTGCCTTTGGATGAGCTGTTCCACATACAAGGTCAACCCCTCCTGAATGGCATGTTCGGAGTTGGAAAAGGCGAGTTTGTGAACGGGAAGGAGACACTCCGGTTGATCATGAACTTGATCCCTTTGAACAGAAACTGCCGAGGTATTTCCGGTGACGTTGGAACGTTGCCCCAAATTTCGGGGATGTCCGCCTTCGTGTTGGAGGGGTCTGAAGTGGCCCTACTGTCGTCTGCTTTTTCTATCTCTTCCAGGTTGCCCCTGCGTGGAAAAGATTCCTGAGGTTTAACAAGCTTGTCCCAGAGGACCTCGTTCCCTCCTCCCTTACTGGGAGGAAGTGCGTCCTTGCCGCCAAGGTCCTCCCTATGGGGTTCCTTAACAGTGTTAGCATCGCCCAGCATGTGCACCGTAACGTGATTAGGAGCGTGGACGCCCTCCTTTTGACGGGAGATCAAGAGATCCGGAAGGACAAGAGTTTCCCCGCGAGCTCCCACCTTTTTAGGATCGACCTCGACAACTTCGATTTCATCCAGAGAGTGGACTCCCAGTTGGCCTTCAGGCTGGAGGGGAGGGAGAGCCCGGAACAGAAGGCTGTCAGGAAGGCCTACGAGTCGGCCTGCCTGCCTCGGCATCCCAGGAAGAGTGTGGTTAGTGCTGAAAGGGCAGAGGTGCAAGGTGCGGTCGTCAGGGGCCAAGAAGGGGTGGCTTATCCCCGCCCGGAAA